TCATACAGCTTGTGTGTGGATATGTGGACCAACCCTGCCTTTGATCGACTGGTACACTTTATTGTCCCTGTAGGCAAACATGTACTCTGCATTTGACCCATCCTTCAATGTCACTAGACCAACCTGTCAGGAGCAGTGGTCGTCACAATGTAGTGGACAGTGATCCATCCACACATGTTTATGCTCAGCTTGGTCAGGACCACAGGAGCTGTTTTGAGTGGTGGGAAAATCGAAACGTGTTTCTCTACTTTTGACTTGTTTGCACAAAGAGCCAAAGCAATTTCCGGTAAAACTTTATAATACTGTTTGCTTATAAATCATTGACTACTAGTTTATAAAACATTAACGTATGTCTTATTTATATTAAAAAAAATCATCTAAACATTAACAACTCATTAACAAGACAACTGTTTTTGAAATCATTACATACTAATGAACAAATAATCTTATAATCATTAAGACATGTTTTATTTAAGTGCTTATAATCATTCATAAATGATTCACACATGATTTACTAATTGTTCTTATTATATGGCTCCTCACAGCAGCAGTAGAACGCTCCATTGATTTGAATGTAATTTCAAAACGTTCCACCGGTCATTATTTTTTATAACTGACCTCTCAAAACAATAATGACCGCTGCCCATGGCAACGCACTCTCTGCTTGTCTTTCAAATGTGTGGATAACTCCGCAAGTAGTTCCGGCCACTCCGGAGCTAGCCACGCTCAATCAACACACTTAAATGTTAATCGGAGAATACTTATACATATTCATTCTTCACACACGTGCATGGAGATTTTCAGAATTTACTGGTCTTGTCTTCATGAGAAAAATACTATTTCTCTGCGTCAAAAAGCGATCGTGAAAAACCCGGAAGTAGTTCCGGCCGCTCAATAAACGCAAATGCCAATCAATCAACGCAATGAAATGTTAATCGGAGAGTAATTTATACATATCCAGTCTTAATACAAGTGCACGGAAGTTTTCAGAATTTTCAGTTTACGTTTTCATGACAAAAACACTGATGCAATGCGAGAAAAGGCGATCCCGAAAAACCCGGAAGTAGATACCGGCACATTTTAAGATACCGGCACATTTTCGGACACATTTGCAGAGGATCGAATTATGGATTTAGGTTAGGTTTATGTTTGGGTCACTCACCGCTGATGTTCAGAATTCTTTGTTCAGTTTTCATGCAGTTCCAGAGAGTTCTAGTTTGGAAGTTGCCAGCCTAACTGTTGCTAGCATAGCCACGGGAAAACCTTTGGGAACCATTTTATTTTTTGTCATTAAATAAACCTTTCGGCATTCCTAAAAGTGGACTGAAGTTTATGTTGTGTGTTCTGTTGGTATAAAGCCGTATAATAAGCGGGATAACGTATATTACGCAGGTCATTATCGGAAAATAAGTACCGACAGGGCGAAGCGGACCCCGACGCGCAGCCCTTACATTCTTACGTTCATTATCAAATTTTGATTATTCACATGTAACGTTATTCTAACAATATGCTACTCATCAGCTAATTATTAACAACTCATTTATGAATAAATATATAATAAATACCTAATGATTGTTAAATCATTAAGAATGTTGAAATTCACATCTGCTACTCATTACCTAAGTGTTTCCAGCTCATGAACAATGATCAGGTGATATGTTAAATATTCATCAACATCAAAATAAAAGTATACGACTCATGATCTACAAAGTATCAACTCATTTACTAAGTATTCATATCATGAACTACTCAGAAACAGAAAATATACAACAGTTTTCAATGTTTTATTGACATTTAATTATAAATCATGACATTATATAATCATTGATTGACTGCGGAACCTTCCGCAGTCAACCATTGGTTTTGTATTTCTTTATTCCGTCATTTTTTTTGACACGTTTCACAGCTTTCACATTTTCAACAATTTCCACAAGTTATACATAAAAACGTTCCACATGTTTGGGAGATTATTGCTATTACTTTTGGGACTTCAGCGATTTCCGGTTTTTCCGCAATCGGACAAAAATCTGCATTGAGAATTCTGCAATGCATTTTAATAGGCCCATGCATTTTAATAGGACTTCAGCTCTTTCAGACATTTCTACAGTTTCAATGATTCAACAGTTTCAAGGATTCAACAGTTTCAAGGATTTCAGCAGTTTCAAGATTTCAAGAGTTTCAAGGACTTCAACAGTTTCAAGGACTTCAGCAGTTTCAAGGACTTCAGCAGTTTCAAGGACTTCAGTGTAATCATGCAACCTAATAGGGATTTTTCCATGTAAACCAGTATAATGCAACTTAATAGGGATTTTTCCATGTAAACCAGTATAATGCAACTTAATAGGGTTTTTTTCATGTAAACCAGTATAATGCAACTTAATAGGGTTTTTTTTTCATGTAAACCAGTATAATGCAACTTAATGGGGATTTTTCCATGTAAACCAGTATAATGCAACTTAATAGGGGTTTTTACATGTAAACCAGTATAATGCAACTTAATAGGGTTTTTTCCATGTAAAACCAGTATAATGCAACTTAATAGGGTTTTTTCCATGTAAACCAGTACAATGCAACTTAATAGGGATTTTTCCATGTAAACCAGTATAATGCAACTTAATGGGGATTTTTCCATGTAAACCAGTATAATGCAACTTAATGGGGATTTTTCCATGTAAACCAGTACAATGCAACTTAATAGGGATTTTTCCATGTAAACCAGTATAATGCAACTTAATAGGGATTTTTCCATGTAAACCAGTATAATGCAACTTAATGGGGATTTTTCCATGTAAACCAGTATTATGCAACTTAATAGGGATTTTTCCATGTAAACCAGTATGGGTTGGGATTTTGGGGGGTGTTTTAAAGGAGATTAGGGGTGGTTGGGTGTTAGAGGGATATAATGGGGGGAGGTAGGGAGGGTAAATGTGAAAGGGTAGGGATTTGTGGGTAAATGTGGGGGGTTTTTAAAATGGGTAGTTTGATGTAGAGCTGGGATATGGGTTGATTGTGGGAAGTGGGAAGTTAGTTGGGGAGGTTTTGTAATTGGGAATGGGGAATAGGTGTTTGAGGTTGGGTGGGGGGGGGTTGGGTTAAGGGGGGGGTAGTTTATTGTGTTTGGGTGGGGGAGGGTATGGGTGGGGTGGGGGATGGTTATTGGGAGAGGGGTGGGGGGATTATGGGGGGTGTGGTTAGTTAAAAAGGGGTTTGGGAAAGTTTTGGGGAAGAGTTTGAGTGGGGGGTTGTGGGAGATATGGGGGGGGGGAGTGGGGTATTTGGTATTGGGTTGGATTTTTATAGTGATAAGAATATATAGGTGTTATTGATTATGGAAATGTGATAGGGGGTGAGTTAGATAGGGGGATAAGGGGGGTGTAGGGTTTAAGGATTTTTGGGGTTGATGGTGGAGTGAGAAGAATATGGGGGAAGGGGTGTTGGGGGAAAGATTTTGGGAGGTTGGAAGGAATGTATGGGGTGGGTAAGGATCGTATATTTTGGTTTATGGGGAATAGGGAGGATGGTTATGGGGAAGTGGGGAAATTTTTATGATGGATGTTGTAAAGAAGGTTTTTGTGGATGAAGGGGTGAAGGGAGGGTAGGATTTTGGTGAGGGGAAAATGATGGGGGTTTAGGGTATAGGTGATGGGGTTTTGAGGGGTTTATGGGGGGAAGAAATTATTAGGTAGGGGGGGGTTGGGGGTTTATGGGTTGTTGGAAAAAAAAAAAGGGGGGGGGGGGGGGGTGTGGAATGGAGGGGGGGGTGTAAATAATATGGGATAGGTTAAGGAGTGTTGGGTTGGGTTATTTATATAGTAGGATATAGGGGGATGGGTTGGGAATAGGGGGGGGGGGGGGGATGGGGGTTGATGGTGGGGGAAGAGAGAGGTAGTAGGGGGGGGGAGGGAATGGGTAAGATGATTAGGGGTGTAGGGGGGGGGGGGATAGGGGTTATAAAGTGGTAGGGGGGGGGTGGAGGTAAAGGTGTGGTGGGTTGGGTAGGGGGGGTGTTGGGTTAGGGGGAGAATGGGTGAGGGGGGGAAAGAAGGGGGTGTATTATGGAGTGAAGGGGGTAGAGAAGTGGGGTTGAGAGTATGAGAAGGGGTGGGATAGGTTGTATTGGGTTTATTTGGGGGATGTAATATTGGTAGAAGGTAGTATAGATGTGAGTGGGAAGATAGGGTAGGATGGTGTTATGGGGTAATAGGGGTGGGGAGAAGATAGGTAAATTATTGATGGGTAGGGTTGGAATTTGTTGGGAAAATGAGTTTTGGATGTATTTTTAAGGGTTGATGGGGGGGGGGGAGGGGGGGAAAAATTTTATTTGTGTGGGAGGATGGGGGATTAGATGAGAGAGAAATGTAGAAGATTATTGGGATGTTGGGGGGGGGGTGTAGTTAGATGTAAGTTTGGGATTGTGAAGATGTTTTTGATTGTTATGATTATTGGGGTTAATGATTGTTATGGGGAATTTGGGTTTTGTGTGGGGAAATGGATGTAGGGGGGGTGTGGAGGGGAATGGGATGGGGAGAATATGGAGATGTAGTAGGATTGGGAAGGGAGGGTATGGGAGGAATTTAGGTGGAAGGATGGTATGAATTGGGGGATGATGATGTGAAGGGGTATTTAATGTTGGTGGGTTATGTGGTGAAGAAAGGGGGGGGGGGGGGGGGGGGGGTGGGAGAGGGATAGGAAAGGGGGAGATTTTTGTGTGGGTTTTATAGATGAGGGGGGATTTGGAGAGAGAATGGGGAAGGGGATAATGTTGTTGGTGGTATGGGGGGGGGGGAGTGGTAAGGATAGTTAGGGTGTATATGGTAGGGGGAAGAAGGAGGGGGGGGGGAAAGTGGGTTTAATTTATGGGTGAGGAAGGGGGATTGAATGGGATGTGTTTGATGGGGGGTATTAGAAAGGGTTTGGGGGGGTGGAGGAGTAGAGGGGATTGGGATGTGAATGGTTTTAGGGGAAGGGGGGAAGGAAGTATTAGGGTTGGTGTGGTTAGAATGGAGTTGGGGATAGGAGGGATAGGGTGGTGGGGGGGTTTTGGGGGGGGTTGGGGGGGGTTTGGGGGTTGGGTGGAGGGGGGGGGGGTGGGGTTGGGGTTGGGGGGGGGGGGGGTTGAGGGTGGGGGTGGGGTTGGGTGGGTTGGTTTTATTGTTTAATGTATGAAGATGGAGGGAGGAGGGGGAAAGAGGTTGGGGGGGGGGGGATGGGGGTATTTGGGTGGAAGGGGGGGGGGTATGAAGGAAATGAAGATAGGTGGTTGTGAATAAATTAGGGGGGAGGGGGTATGAAGGGGGAGTAGTTGGGGGGGGGAAGGGGGAGAGTTTTAGGTGAGGGGAGAGGAGATTTGGTATGGGATGTTAGGTGGGAAAAGGGGGATGTAGGGAGAGGAATATTAAGAGGTGAAAAATGTAGGGGATGGGTAGTGAAGATGTTGAGTGTTTGGGTTTAGGGGGGGGAGATGGCGGGGGGGGGAAGGGGGAGGGAGAATGGTAGTAAATTTAAGTGGGGATTGGGGGGTTGATGGGGGGGGGAAAAAGAGGTTGGAGTTTGGGATATAGGGAGTGGTTTAGGTAAGTGGGGGGATGGTATATGTTAGGGTTTTGGGGATGGAATTATGTATTTTGTGGGAGTGGAGGTGGGGGGGGGTTTGGGGGGGGTTGGTTAGGATTTATAGAGAGGGAGTTTGAGAGGAGAATGTTTAGTTAGGTGGTGTTTTTGTGAGGGTGAGGGGGGAGAGAGAGGTTAGGGGAGAATTATGGGTATGGTAGGGTGGTGTTTTAATGTTGGTGTTGTTAAGGTTTGGTTGTTTGAGTGATATTGGGGATTTGGTTAGTTGTATGGAAGTGGGGGGTTGTAGGAGGGGATGGGGGGGTTAAGGGATATGAGGATAAGAGGATGGGGTAATTAGGGGGTGATTATAGTGGTGGGAGGGTTTGAGGATGGTTTGATGGATGAGAAGTGTTTTATTTAAATGGTGGTGGTTGATGAGGGGGGGAGAAAGGGGTATGGGGGGATTAGAATATAGGTTTTATGGTAGATGGTTTTGGGGGTAGTGGAGTGTGAGAATAGAAAAGAGGTAAGGGATATGGTGGGGGTGTGGATGATAAGTTTAGTATTTGTAGGAAAGGAGAGGGGGGGAAGATTTTAGATTGTAGTGGATAGGGTTGTGTTGAGTTGTTTTATAATGGGTTGGGGGGGGGGGGATAAGGGGGGGGGAGGAGTTTAGATATTTTGGAATGTGAATTGAGGTGAAGTTTTGAAGTGGGAGGATAGGTGGATGGGGGGAGGGTAGGGAGATTAGGAGGGTTGTGTTTTGGTATGAATGAAAGGGGTATTGAGGTGGTGGGGGGAGAAGGGGGGGTGGGGGGGGTATGGGTATGAGATGTAGGGTAGGAAATAGGGTGTAGAGGATGGGGAAGGGGTGTTTGGATGGGAGGGTGAATTATGGGGGGGAAGAGGGGGGGGAATATGAAGATTTGGAAATTAGGGGATGGGGTGTAGATGGAAAGGTATGGGAGAGGATTTGTATTAGGAAGGGGGTGTTGGTGATAGAGAATATTATTATTAGTTTGTGGGTTTTGTGTGTTGTTGTTGTGATTTGGGTTGGTTGGAAGGGGTTGGTGAATGGAGGGGTAGTGGAGAGTTATGGGATTGGGGGTGGGAGGGGGTGGTGGGTAATATGTGTGATAAGAGGGGGGGGAGATAGGAATTTGGGTGAATTGGGAAATAGTTGGTGGAGTTGGGGGGGGGTTGGAATATGGAGGGAGGAGTTAAGGAATAATAGTATGATGGTGATAAGAAGAATGAGGGGGGAAGGTGGTGGGTTGGGGTGGTGTTTGGTTGGGGTTTTGGGATATAGGAGATTGGGTGAGGGGGGTTGGTGGGGATGGGGGGAGATGGGATGGGGGTGGGGGGTGAGGGAGGGGAATTTATTTTGAGTAAGGGGGGGGGGTGGAGAGGAGTGGTTTGGGGGGGGGGTTGTGGGGTGGGGGTGGGGGGGGAAAAGAGTTGGGAAGGGAGGGTGGGGAGGGGTGTAAGAGGGAAAGAAGTGTAGGGAGAAGGTGGGGGGGTGGGGAGTGTGTGAAAAATTGGGGAGGTAGAAGGGTGGTTTGGGGGGGGGTGGGGTTATATGGGGTAATGGAGGTAGGTGTTAGTTGGAAGTTGGGGGGGAGGGGGGTTTGGATGAGATATGGGTTGGATGTGTGGGTTTGTAGAAAGTGGGGGGAGATAAGTGGGGGGGGGAATGGGAGGGTGGGGTAGGGGGATGAGGGGTTTAAAGGATAAGGGATGATGGTGGATTATTTGAGGGGGTGGAGGGTTTAATGGGGTGTGTGGGTGATGGGTTAGGGAGGGGATGGTGGGGGGTGTTGAGTTAGGTAAGGGAATGGGGGGTGGGAAGTGAGAAGTTAATTTATGTGAATTAGAGGGATTGTTGTTGGTGTAAGGGGGGGTGTTGAGTGGGTGTAGTTGGGGGTTATGGTAGGGGATGGTTAATATGTGTTATTAAAGTAAGGGATTTAGTGGGAGGGGGAGGGAGGGTTTAGGGGTGGTTTGTTAGGGGGGGGGAGTATAAGTGGGATGTGGAGAGATTTGTGGAGGGTGTAGGATTGAGGTTATATATATGGGGGATTGAGGGGTAGTGGGGAGTGATGGTTAGGTATAATATATATATAATAATGGAATATATGGGGAATTGAGGGTAGTTAGGAGTGGAGTGGGGTTTAGTTATGTGGGGGGAATGTGGGGGGGGGGGGGGGGGGATGTGGGGGGGATGAGAGGATAAAGGGAAGATGGGAGGATTTAGGTATGGTGGGGGTGGGAAGTGATTTATGGGGGGTGATGAAATGGAAATTTGGAGGGGTAAATTTTGGGTGGGTTAAAAATTAGGGGGGGGGGGGTGTGATGAAGTGGAGGTGGGGGGTTAAGGGAGGGAAAAAATTTCTGGGATTAGAATTTTGGGATTATGGGTTATATAATAGGAGTGATAATAATGTATTGGAATAAGGAGGGAGGGGGGGAGGGTAGGGGGGTTGGTTTTATGTTTTAGATATATATTTGGTTTTTATATTGTTTTATGGTTTTGATATATTTGTTGTTTTAATGGTTTTTTAAGGGATTTTGTATATTTTATGGGTTTTTTTGATTGTTGGGGTATGATGGGGGATGGAGTTGGGTGTTTTGAAGGATGGGTGGGTGGATATGATTTATGTGTATGGAGGGTTAAGGTGGTTATGTGGGTATGTGGGTTTTTAGAAGAAATATATGGGGATGGGTTTGGGAATGTGAGGTGAGGAATGGGGAGGTTAGGGATGAAGAAAATGGGGGGGGGAGATAGAGGGGATAATATGGTGGAATGGGAAAGGGAGAATATGTGGAAGAAAAGGGAAGTGTATAATTATGGGAAATTGGTTGAGGGGATTTGGGAAAAGTGTGTAGGTATATTGATGTAGAGGTTGGTTTTTAGTGACTGGGTGAAATATGGGGTTTGAATGGGGATGTTGTGTAAAGGTGGTAAGGGGGTAGTGTGGTATTTAGAATGGGGAAGTATGGTAGATTGAGGAGGAAGGGGGGGTGGTAGGATGATGAGGGGGTGGGATATGGGTAATGTATGAAGAATTGGAAAGGTGAGTAAGAGGTGTATATTGTGGGGGTATAGGTTAGAAGTTTGGAGAAAGGGGTATAGGTGTGGAGTTAGGGGGATTGGGGAGGATTGGGTTTTTGAGGGGGGTGGGGTGGGGGGTGGGTGGGGAGGGGTTTTGGTGGGAGGTGGATGGTGGTAATAAATATTTGGGAGGTAAGGGGGAGGTTGGGTTGGGTGGGGGGGTTTGTGGTAGGGGGTTGGGGTATTTTGGTAGGAAAGGAAGGGGGGGGAGGGGGGTAATTTAGTGGTGGGGGTGGGGGGTGGGGGAGGATGGTGAGGGGTGTTTGGGTTGGGGATGAATGGATAGGGGTGGATGGGGGTGTATGTTGTATTTGAAATGGGGGGAATGGGGGAATAAGGATTGGAGGTGTTATGTGGGTGAGTTGGGAGGAAGGAGGATGTGGGGTAGGAATAGTTGGTGGAGGTGTGTGTTAGGTAAGAAATGGGATGTATGATGTTTGAATGTGGTATAATGAGAGGGAAAAAGGGGGGGGTAGTAATATGGTATGGGAATATTGGTGAGGTGTAGATGAAAATTGATAATAAAAGGGTAGTGAAGTGAATAATGGGTTTTAAGTAATAATGCTAGTGGGGAGGGTGAATGTATAATTAAATAGGAAGAATGTAAGATGCTTTGTGGGTAGATGGAGTATGGGAGTTAGAGGATAGTTGGTGAGTTAGTAATTTTAGGGGGAGTGTTTATGTAAGATTATGGGGGTTGAGGGTTGGAGGGGGGTGTAAGGATGGTGTGAGGTAGAGTGGGATGGGGGGTGGGGGGGAGTTTTAAAAGTAGGGGGTTATTTGATTTTGTTGGTGGATGGGTGTTTTAATGGATGGTTAGGGGGTGGAATAGGGGGATTGTTAGGGGGAATTGGGGGGGTTGGGATGTGGATTTGGGGAGTGTAGGGGTTGGGAAGATGGTGAAATATGAGAGGGGGAATGGAGTGGGAGGTGTAGGAGGGGGGTGGAATGTGGTTTTGGGGAAGGTAGTATGTGTATGGGGTAGAGGGAGGGATGGGGTTGGTTAATTTAGGAGATGAAGTAGGATGGTTGGGTTGGGATTGTGTGAATGGAAATTATGGGGGGGTGGGTGAGATGTAGAGGTGGTTAGGGGGGGTAGGGATGTGAATTATGGGATTTGGTGGGTGGGAGCTTTTTAGGAGAGGGAGGGGGGATGGGGGTGTAGGAGGGGGTGGGTGTGGGGGGGGGTGGGAGGGTATGGGGATGAGTTTTTAGGGGATAGGATGGTATAAGTGTGGTTGGTGGGTTTTTGATGGGGATTAGGGTATGGGGGGGGGGAGGGTTGAGTAATTAGGGGTTTTATGTTATAGGTTTTTGGGGTTAGGATTAAGCATTGTTTGGATGTTTTTTTTTTTTGTATGGAGAGGGGGGGGAGTAGGTTTAAAGGTTTGGATAAATTAGATTTGGGTTTGTGTGATGTTGGGCAAGGGTTTGGGTAGGGATGAATAGGAAGGGGGAGGAAAGAAGGATAGATGGGGGAGGAGGGGAAAGGTAAGTGGAGAAGGGAAGGTGAATGGGGAATGGGAAGTATGGGGTTAGTGGGGTTTAAGGATATGGTGATTGGGGAGGATGTTAGATTTATAGGGGGGGGTATGTTGTGTATTGGATGATTATGTGTGATGGGTGGGAAAAGATTTTGGTGATGGAAATGTTATGGGAAAGTGGGGGGGGATGGGTGGGGGGGGAGGAGAGAGTTATTGGGGGTTTGATGAGGGGGGGGGGGGGGAGTGATTTTATATTGGATTTTGTATAATGTTTGGTGAGGATTTGATATGAATAGTAATGTGTTATGGGGTGTATGGTTTAAAAAAGGGGAGATGGTGATGGGGGGAATTGGGTGGGGGGAAAAAGGAGGGGGGGAATAGATAGGGAGGGTTGGTTTAATTTGGAGATTTTTATGTTGAATGAGAAGGGATGGGAGGATGATAATGGGATTATGGGTATGGTTTTGATAGGGTTGTTAGATTTAGTTATTTAGAGGGGATATAGTTGGGTTTGGGGGGTGGGATGGATTAGGAGGATTTTTTTGAGGGGATTATGGTAGGTGGGAAGGGTATGGTAATTGGGTATTGTGGTGTTGTGAGGTGGGAAATGTGTTTTGTTGTGAATTTAGTGTTTTTGGGAATTGGGGATTAGTGGTTAGATGGGAGAGAGTTTTTTAGGATGGAGTGAAAAAAAAAGGGGGGGGGTAGAGTGGGAGGGTGGGATTGGGTTTATGGGGGGGGGAGGATGGTGTTAGATTGGAAGGTGGTGGGGGGAATGAATGTGGGGGGAAGAATGTGAGATTTGATTGATGAATTTTTGGGGTGTTTTGGTGGTTTGGTTTTTGGGGTGGGGGGTTATTTGTGAGTATGGTAGGAAGTGATTGGGGTTTTGTTAGTATTGAGGGATGGGGGGGGGTGGGTGGGATTATGGGTTATGTTAGGTGTGGGATGTGGTGTTAAGGGAGTTAGAGGGAAGGGGTGTGTTGGGAGGGGGGGGGGTGGATGGGTTTTTATGGGGGGTGAGGGGGGGAAGGTTATATAGTATGAGATTGGGGGGAAGTTTTGGGGGTTTTTTAAATGGGGGGGGGAGGGGTGAGAAATGTGATGTTGTGGGATTTATGGGATGGGGGGGTGGGGGTAGGGTAGGGGATAGGAATGTTAGTATGGGGTGGATGGGGGGGGATTAAGGGTTAATATATAAGGGAGGTGTGATGTGGGGAGGGTGGGAGGGGGGGAAGTGGGGGAGATGTGGTTTATGGATAGAAATAAGAGGTTAAGTTATTAAAGAGATGGGGGTTGGAAAGATTATGAGGAAGTAGTGAGGGGGGGGGGGGGGGGGGTTGAAGGAGTAGTGTGGGAGGTGGTTTAGGGAATGTTTTGGATTTGGGTGGATATTTGTATTTTAGGTTTTTGTCAGGATGGTGAAGGGTGAAATATTTGGATGAGAATTTAATTGAGGGGGTTGGATGGATAAGAGGGAGTATGGGAGGGGTGGGTAATGGTATGTTTTTATGGTGTTGAAGTGGTGGGTTGGTGGGGTTCTGTGAATTTTTAGGGGAGAGGAGGGGTATGAGGTATGAGGGGTTGGGGATGGGAAGGGGTTGGAAATATGGATAGTAGTAGGGGTTTAGGGTGATGATGTAGGTTGAAGTGGTGGTGTAGGTGGTGATGGGGAGGGTATGGGTAGAAGGTTTATGAGTGGGTAAGGATGTTAGTTGGAGGTAGGGAGGGATATAGTGGGGTGAGAATGGTTGATTTGGGGGAGGGGAGTTGTGGGGGGTAGGGGTAAGAAGAAGGGTGTTGTGGGGAGAGGGGGGTTTAGGGGTTAATGAGGGGGATAAAGTTGATGGTAAAGTGAAGGTGAGTAGAAGGTAATATGGGTTGGGTGGAGGGGGGGGGGAGGGTAGAATGAGTATAGTAAATAAGGGGGGGGAGAGGGTAAGGGTGAGGGTGTGGAGGGGAGATGGTGGAGGGGATAGGTAAAGGGTGGGTGTAGGGGGGGGGGTTGTGGAGAAGAAAATGGAGTGGAGGAGGGATAGGGGGGGAATTGTTGGGGGGTTATGGAATTATGAAGGGGTAAGAGATGGAGAAGTGGAGGAGGAAAGGGTGGTGGTGGGTGAAGAGGTGGGTAGGGGTGAAGAGGTGATGGGTGTGGTAGAGGATGGAATGGGGTGGAGGGAGTGGGTGGGGGGAAGTGGGATGGGGGGTGTGGGGAGGGGGATGTAGGGGGGAATGTAATGGTATGGGGAATAGGGAGGGATGTTGGGGGAGAAATTGAAGGTGGGAGAGGGTGGAAGGTTAAGGGGGGAGAGGTGGGGTGTTATGTGGGAGGGTAGGTAGGTGAGAGAAATATAGTATGGGGATATTGTGATGGAGATATGGTTATGTTATGTTGGAGGAAGATAATGAGGTAGGGATTTTTGGGGGTATAGTTGTGGGGGGGGGGAGATGGATTAGAGGGAGGGTGGTAGTGGGTAGGAGGGGAAGGTGGGGGGGGATTGGGGGGGATGGGGGAGAGAGAATAGTGAGAATTGGGGTGATAGTGGTGGGGGGATGGGGGGGGGGGGAATTGGGATGGGGGGATAGGGAATGGGAAGAGGGGTAGGGGGGTGGAAGAGGGGAGTAGTGGGGGGGGGAGGGAGTAGTGAAGTGGGGGGGGGGAGGTTTAATAGGTGGTTGTTTGTTTTTTATAGATGTTGTGGTTTTTTAGGTTATTGTTGTTAGGAGAGTTTTTGGGGGGTTTTGGGGTAGTTTTTGGGGGGATATGGGTTGGATTAAAGGAAGGTAGGGAGGGGTAGGGTAGATTATGAGGAGATTGAGGTTTATGGTAATTTGTATTATAATGTGGGGTGTTTTGGGTGTAGGGGTGGGGGTGTGGGGTGGATGGGGAGATTGTATATGGGGTGATGGTATATTTGGAGGGGAGGGGAGGAAGGTTTTTGCTTGGAAAGCAAAAATGAAGGAGTTGTATTTGATAGGTCAAGGTGTTACAGTATTGGTTGGGGTGGGGTGTTGTGGAAAGTGAAAGTATTTGAAAGTATAAGAGGTGGGAAAAGGGGGGGGGTAGATAGAAAAGGAATTAGGGGGGGATAGGGTGAATAGGATGTTGGGGGGGGGGGTAGAAAAGGTGAATGGGAAGGGGGTTGTGAAGGGGTGAGAGGGGGGTAAGGTGATGGATTATGGTTTTTTTATGGGGTGGTGAAGGATGGGGAGGGAGGGGAGGAGTTGGGGTATAGAAGGGGGTGGGGGTTTAGAGTGTTTAGGGGGTTGTTATGGGGGTATTGATTAGGTATGGTGATTGTTGTTTGTATTGTTGATGAGATGGAGGTGGTTTTGATGGGGTTTTTTTGTTTGGGGGTGGTTTTTTTTGGTTTTTTGGTTTTTGTTTTTTGGAGAAAGTAAAGGTTAGGAAAGTAATGAGGGGTGAAGAGGGGGTGGGGGTGGAAAGGTGGAAAAAAGTTAGAGGGAAAGAGAAAGGAGAGGGAAAGAGAGGATGGGAGAGAAGGAGAGAATGAGAGGAGTACGAAGGGAGAGGGGAAGAGAGGGAAGGAGAGAGGAAAAGGATGAGGGGGGTTTTGGGAGTGGTTAAAGTGATATTGTAGGTTTATTGTATGTATTGTATTGTATTGTATTGGGTGTGAGTGTGTAAGGGGGGGATTTATTTGGATGAGATGTTGGTTGGTTATTTTAATGGTTTGAAAAGTTATATGGAATGTGTTGATTATGGTTTTATATGGTTTTTGGTTTGGATATATATGTTGGTTTTGGAATGTAAGGGGGGGTTTGGGGTTTGGGGAAGTGATGATAATTGAAGGGAGGGGGGGGGTAAGTTAGGGAAATTACTTGGTTAAAGAAGGATGATTATGGGGTTTATAAGAGGGTGTTTTAATTGGGGGTTTTTGGGTGTTTAAGGGGGTTTAGTGGGTTTAAATATGGTGGGGTTAAATGGTGGTTTTGGGGTGAATGGTGGGGGGGGGGGTATTAGTTGGGGTTGAGAGGGTTGAATGTAGGAGGGATGGGGTTGGGTGGGGAGGGGTTGGGGGTATGGGTATGATGTGGGAGGTGTGTTTAGGGATGGTGATTGGGGGAGTTATTTTAGATTATTGGTTTATATTATGGGTGGAGTTGATTGGGTTTTGAAGTTATTGTTGGGGAGGTGTGTGGATGGATGTAGGATGTTTAGGTATTTAGGGGGGGGATGAATTAGGGAGGGGAGGGGTGGGGTGATTGTTATTTGGGGGGGGGGGGGGGGGGGTGAATGTAGGGGTTGTTAGGGGAATGGAAGTTGAGGGGAGTTGGGTATGTAATATGAGAGTGGGGAATAAAGGGGGATATGATATAGAGGTGGAATAGTGATTGGGTTGGTGAGTATGGAATGGGTATGGGTAGTTTGGGGGTGTTTATGATTGGGGGGGGAAAGTTGGGAGGGGGGTATGTGGGGAGGTGATGTTGGAAATTGGTTGATGGTTGTAGGGTGGTGGGGAATGTAGGGGTTGGTATGGTGATGATTTTTTTGGTGGATTTTGTTGGAAGGTGTTTTGGGGGTGGGGGGGTTTGTGGTGTGAGTGGTTGGGGGGGGGGGGAATTTAGATTAGGATGTTGGGGGATGAAATTGGGATGGGTGGGTTGGTGTTTTAGTGGGTGTGGGGGGGTATGGTGGTGTTGGGATGGGATGAGGGTAGGGTATGGGGTTTTATGTGTTAGGGGGGTTGTTTTTGGGAAGTAGGATGGGGGGGAGGAGGAGGGAAGGGTATAGTTTATGTATGGGATTTGGGGATGTAGGTGGATTTTAATAGAGGGGGGTGTGGTTTTTTTAGTTTATTGTTGTGGGTTTTTGGTTTGGTTGGGAGGAATGGGGGGGGGTTAGAGGTGGGGGGGGGGGGTGCGGGTGATTGGGATAATTTGGATTTTTGGGTGAGTGGTGGGTTTTGGGGGTTTAAGGATAATTATTATATAGGGGGGGGGGTGGTATAGATGGTTGGATTTTGGGTAAGAAAAGGGATGGGATGGGGGGGTGAATTATTGGAAGGGAGGAGAGGGGGGTTTATGGGGGGTTGGAATGGTTGGGGTGGGGGGGTGGGGGTTAGGGGGGGGAGATGTGTTTAGATTGGGAGTGGATATATATTATTTAATGTGGATTAAGGGTTGGGGATGGGAGGTTTTGGGATATTAGGGGTGATTGATTAGGTGTAGTTGGGGGAGGGGGGTTAGAGTTGGTTGGATTGGTAGGTAGGTTATGAGTGAGTGGAATTTGAGAGATATGTATGGTATGTAATATTTAGGGGGGGAGTGGGGGTAATGGGTAAAAAAAAATGATGTGGGGGTTAATATTTGATATGTAATGTGAGGGAATGTATTGATTAGTTAAGTATAGTATGGGTATTATTGGTTGTTTGGGTTGGGGTGTTGGGATGGATGATGGTGGGTTAGGGTTGTGGGGGGGATAAGGGAGGGTGGTGAAATTGTGGTATGAGGTTGTTAGGTTGGTAAGGTGTTTATGAATTGGTATGAATTTGGGTGGGTTTAGGTGTGTGGTGGTTTTGTGGGGAGTAGGGGGGGGAGAGGGGTGGTAATGATTTTGGTTGGGGGGGTAGGGGTGAGGAAAGGGTGGGGGGGTTTGGTTTGAAGGGTGGGGGGTATGTGGGGGTGGGGGGGGGGGGGGGGGGGGGGGTGGGTTTGGGTGTTGATTGTGGAGATGTAGGGGTTTGTATGGGAAAAGGATGGGGAGGAATGAAGGATGGAAGATGAAGGATGAGGATAGTAAAATCAATGGAGGAATGAGGGGAAAGTAGGGGGAATAGGGGTAGGGGGAATGAGGGATTTAATGAATTGATGTTAGATAAGATTTAGAGGAGAGAGGTGAGGGTGAATGAATTGATAGAAAGGGGGGGGGGAAGGATAGAGGTTTGAGTGATTATTGGAGAATGGGAGAAGGGAGATTTAGTGTGGATGGTTTGTGAAGGATTGGTGATAGTGGGGTGGTGGGTAGATGAGGTTGGATGAAGAGAATATTATTATTAGTGGTGGGGTGTTTTGTGTTGGGGTTGGTTGTGGTGTGATTGTTGAGTTGTGGGGGGTGTTGTAGGGAGATGGATGGAGATAGGGGGTTGGGTATGGAGGTTTGGGGGGGGGTTTGGGGGAGAGTGGATGTGGGGTAGGATTTGGGGGGGGTGGGGGGGGTGGGTGATTGGAGTGTTGGGGGGGTGTGGGGGGGGGGTGGGGGGGGGGTGGGGGAGGGGGGGGGGGGGGATTGGATTGGATGGGGGATTTTGGTGTTTTGTGGGGTTGTGGGGGGGGGGGGGGTGTTGAGGATGGTTGGGGGTTGGGGAAGGTTGTAGGTTTTAGGGTGGGGGTAGGAGGGATGGAGGGTAAGGGGGAGTGTAAGAATGTTTGAAATAAATTTTGGTTATATGGAGGGTAGTATGATGGGGAGGGAGGGTTTAATGTTATGGGGATTGTTTTGGGATTTGTATTGGGGGGGGGGTGGGGAGGTTGATTGGGTATGATGGTAATTTGGGGGTGATTGAGTGATGGTATGATGGGTGGGTTGGGGGAGGGGGTGTAGGGGAGTTGGGTTGGATTGGGGGGTTGATGGGGGGGGGGGTGTTGATAAGGGAATAAGAGAAGGTAAGAGAGGGAGGGGGGGGATAGTTGTTGGATGGAGAGTTGGGGGGGGGGGGTTGGGGGGGGAGTGGGGTGGGGGTTGGGTTTGGGATGAGGAGGTAGGGTGGGGGGGTTAATAGGTGGGGGGGGGGTTGGGGGGAATATTGTGAATATGGGTTGGTGGGAGGGGTGTGGGGGTGTAAGGGGGGGTTGTATTGATGGGGGGGGGTTGTTGGTAGGGGGAAGTGGGTGGGTGGGGGTTATTGTTTTTGTGGTGAAAGGTAGGGTTTTGGGGGGGTTTAGGGTGTTGTTAGGTTATTTGGGGGGGGTTGTGAGGGGGGGGGGGAGGGGGTGGTTTGAGGGTGTGGGGTGTTTATGGTATTTTATATTTTTTTGTTGGGGGGGAGATTAGGGGGGGATTTGGGTGGTTGGGATTGATGGGGGGGGGGGATATGGTATGGATGAGGTGAGGATGGGGGGTGGTTGGGGATGGAGGAAGTTTTATATAGGGGGGAGGGGGGGAGGTTGGGGGATGGGTATGTGATGTGGGGGGATGGGGGGGGGGGGGGGGGGTAAGGGTGTTTGGTAGATTTTTAAGAATGTGGTTTATATTTGGAGGATGGATGGAGGGGTTTAGAGTGGGGGGGGGTGGGGGGGTTGAGTATTGGGGGGGGGGAGGGGGTTAGGGGTTTGGGGGGGGGGGTGGGGGTTGGGGTTGGATGTTGTTTTTTTGTTGGGAGTAGAGGTATTGGGAGGTTGGGGGGGGGAAGGGGAATTGTGTTTTGAGGTTTGTAGAAGAGGGTTATAAAAGAGATGGTGGAAGAGGTTTGAAGGAATGGAGGATGTGGAGGATGAGGGTGGTTGGGGGTATTTTGTTTTGTGTGAGAAGATGGGATAAGTTTTATGAGGTTATGATGGTGGGAGTTGAGGGGGGTGGGTGTATGAAGGATATATGAGGGGGATTAAGATGTGATATGGGTGAAGGTGGGGTAGGGGAAGGAGGGATGAGATTGTGAGGAGTAGGGAGAATTAGGGGGGGGGGAGGAAATGGTGGAGAAAGGGTTTGGGGAGGGAGAAGGAAGTTGGTATGGTTTGGGGGATATGATGTGGGGTGGGGGAATTTGGGGTAAGATTGGAGGGGGGGAGGATGATAGGAGGGGGAGGGATATGGAGGTATTTGGGTGGGGGGGTTTTTTTATTTAGGAGGGGAGGGAGAGGTATGAAAGTAAGGGAGTTATTTGGGGGGGGGGGGGGGGGGGGTAAAGGTGTTGTGGGGTTGGTAATGGGTTGTGTGTGGGGAGGGTTGGGAATGGGGGGGAGGTGTGAGGGGGGGGGGGGAGGGGGGGGGTGGGGGGGATGGGAAAGGGGGTGAGATGGGTGGTGGGGTTTGAGGAGGGGTGTGGGAAGATTTGGTTGATAGGATTAGATGATGAGTGGTTTTTGTTGGTTTTGTTGGGGGGGTAATAATGATGGAGGTGAAAGGGAGAGTTGGAGAAAGGAAAGGGGGGGGGGAAAGTGGGAGAAAAAAGTGGGGGAGATAGGGGGAAATAGGGGGGGTTGGTGGGGGAAAGGGGGTGGGAGGTGGGGGGGGGAGGGGGGGGTATGGGGGGGGAAGTATGTTTGGGGGTGGGGGGGGGGGGGTGAGGTAGAGGGTTATGGAGTAGATATTGGGGTGGGGGGTTTGGGAGGAGGGGGGGGGGGAGGTATGGTGGATGGGGGGGGGGGGTTGGGGGGGGGGGTGGAGAGGGAAAAGGGAAAATAAGGGGGGGGGTGGGATTTGGGGGGGGGGGTGGAAGAGGGTTTGGAGGAGGGGGGGTTATAGTAGATTGGGTAGTGGGGGGTGGGTGGGTGGGGGGGGGTGGGGGGTTGGGGTTTAGTGGGGGGTTGTGGGGAGTGGGAGTAGAAGTGAATTGATGAATGTGATGGGAAATGATGGAATTGATGGGTAAAGGATGAAATATGAATGGATGAAAGGATGGGAAATGGATGGGAAGTGGATGGATATGGGAGGGTAGGGGAATAGGGGGAAGATAGGATGAGGAGATGAGGGGAGGGGGGGATAGGGGAGGGGAGAGGTGAAGGGTGGGGAAAGGGTGTGGATGGGGGGGGTTGATATGGTGGGGGTTGTGTGGGATGTAGTTGGGTGTGTTGGTTGGGGGGTGGGTGGTTGGGGGTTGGGAAAGGGGTGGGGGTATTATTGGGTGGTTTTTTGGGGTGTGTGGTGTGATAATGTAAGAGGGAAGTATGGAAGGGATGGATTGATGGTTAATGATGAAAGGGGGAAGGGGGGTTGGAGTGAGGGATTATGAGGGGTTATATAGGTTATGGTGATTTTGGGTGATGGGGGGGGGGGTAGTATTTTATAGGAGGTTGGGGAGTTTAGGGATGGGGGGTTGGGGGGGTGGGGAGGTATTAGGGTTTGATGTGGGGAGGAGGAGGGGATGGGATGAGGGAAGTGGTTATTAAGGTGGGGAGGGGAGTGTAGGGAGAGGAGGTGGTGGTAGGAGATGAAGGGGGGGGGTGGAGGGGGGTGGGGATGGGGAAAGTTAGTTGAGTGGGGGTATTAGGTGGATTGGGGGGGGGTTGGTTTTGTTTGTTAGTTTTTAAGATGTGATAGATGGTGTTAAGTTGGGGGGGTGGGGGGGGGGGGGGGGTAGGGGGGGGGTTTTTGGGTGAATTGGAGGGGGTGATGGTTGAGGGTAGATGAGGAGTAGGGATTAGGGGTGTGTTTATTTGTTTAAAATAGGGGTTATTTGGGGTTGAGAGGGGGGTGGGGGGGGGATGGGGGGTGTGTGATGGGGGGGGGTGAGGTGGTGGGATGGGGGGGGGATAGTTGGGAGAGTTAATGTAGGGGGGGGTTTAAATAGTGGATATTGGGGAGGTATATTGAGTTTGGTGTATGTTTGGGTATTGTTTGGGAGATGTATGAGATTGTGGTGGGATAGATATGGGGTGGAGAGGGGGGTTAGGGGTATGGGGGGGGGGAATAATGGGGATTTAGTAGTTTGGGGGGTTGGAGGAGATAAGGGGGTTGGGGGGGTTGGTTTTTATTGAGGAGTGGGGGAATTGTGGGGGGGGGGGGGGTTGAAGGGGGGGGATTGATGATAGGGGTGGTTGGGATAGGGTGGAGGGGATGTGGGGGTTGAGGGGGGGGAAGGGGGGTGGTGAAGATAGAAGGGGTAAAGAAGGGGGAGTATAAGTTGTGGTAAGGGAAGTGGTAGGTGATGAGGTGGAAGTGTAATGAAGGTAAGGGGGAAATGAAGTGAGGATTTTAAAGAGTATGAAAGAGAATAGTATGAAAGAAAAAGATATTTGAAAGGGGTATAGGGGGGGATGGAGTGTAGAGAGGAGATTGAATTGAGTTTATAGTATGGTTTTAGGGGAGAAGTTTGGGTTATGGAAATGAGTTTGGAGGAATAATAAGAAGGGGGGGAAGGGGAAAAGGAGGGGTAAAATGGGATGGATGAAGATTAGGGGTATGAATGATGATAATAAGAGATAAGAATAAGATATGATATAATTGAATAAAAGAGATAAGAGAATTGAGAAAAGGTGATATATGGTAGGGGGGGAAATGAAGTAGGGTGTGGAAATGATAAAAAGGAAGAAGAGAATGGGGGGATGAGGAAAAAGAAGATTGAGAGGGGGAAGAGGAGGGGTTAAAGGGGGAAGGGGGAATAAGTGAGAAGGAGAAGGTATAAGAGGAATAGGAATAGAATGAGAAATAATAGAGGTGTGGTGTGGTAATGAGGGGTGTATAGAAGGGAGAGGGTTAGAGGATAGAGGGGTGGAAAGGTGAGTAGGGTAATGTAAGAGGATTTAGGAGAAAAAGAGGAGTATGGAAAAGAAGTGTAAGGGGGGGACTTGGTGGAGGAATGGGGGTTGGTTAGTATGTTAATGATGATGGATGTTGGATGGGGGGTTTTTTTTGTTTAAGGGGGTGGGTGAGGTGAATAAGAAGGATTGAAGAAGTGGTGATGGGGTGTGGGAGGGAATTGGGAAGTAGGGTTATGGTGGGGGTATGGAAGAGTATGAGGGGGGGAGAGGGATTGGGGGGTGAATGGAGTATGGATGAAGGGTTAGGGGGGGGGGGGAGGGGGGTTGTTAGGGGAAAGGGAGGGTTTAGGGGTAGTTAAGTTGTGAATGTAGTGGTATTAAATTTATGGTGTAGGGTAGGAAGGGGGGTGGGGGTAGTATGGGAAATGGGGGGGGGATATGAAAAGTGTGGGGGAGGTATGGGGTATAGGGGTGAAAAAGAGGGTAAAATACGGGGGGGATAGAAAAAGAAGAAAGATAATATAAGGGGGTTTTAGGGATTTATAGGAGAAAGGGAAAAGGAGGGGGGGATGGGGAGGGTAATGAATATAGTTATTGGGTTAGGTGGGTAGTAAGAGGGGAGAGGGGGTGAGGTTGTTATTATTGGGGATATGGGTGGGAATTGGTTAGGGGGGGGGAAGAGGTTAATAGATTTTGGGGGGTTTGGAGTTTTTTAAGTTTGAATGTATGGATATGGGTGTAGGAATTAGAGGGATTGAGTGGGGAGGGGGGAAGGGTTTTGATGATATAGTTTTATGGTTGAGTAGAAGGGGTAGGTGGGGGTTTAGGGGGAGTGAGTGGGGATGTGAGAGTGGGGTTATTTGATGGGGGTTGGTTGTTGGGGTTATAGGAGGTGTGAGGTGGGTGGGGGGAGGTGGGGGATGGTTTATGGGGAGGGTAATTTGTATGGTTTGGATGGGGAGTTTTTGGAGTATAATAAATGGGGATTGGAGGGTTGAAGGGTTTGGTAGTTTTTATTTTGGGGGGGGGGTGATGTAGTTGGGGGGGTGTGTGATAGGGGGAGAAATTTTTGGAAAAGGGGGTTGGGATGAGGGGATGGTTTGGGAGGGATTTTGGGTTAGTTTATTGAGGGAGTAGAAGGGGATGGGGGAGGTATGAATAATTTGGATGGGGGGGGGGATGGGGTGGGTAAAGGGGAGGGGTTAGTAGGATGAGGGGGGGATATGTGGGGGGGGGGGTGTGGGTGGGTGGTATGGGTTGGGGTTGGGGTATGGGGGTTGGGGGTGGGGGTATGTTGGGATTTGGAGGGGAGGAGGGTGGGGAGGGTAAGGGGGGGGGGATGGATGATAGGGTGGGAAAATAATATGGATGGGGGATATAGAGGGGTAAGAGTTTGTATTAGGGGGGTTGGGGATTGGGGGTTGGGTGGGGGGGGTAAGGGGGGATGTGATGGGAGGGGGGTGGGGGGGGGTATGGGGGGGGGGGGGGGGGGGGGGAGTGGGGATTTAATAATGAGGTTGGGTATTGGGGGGGTGTTTTTATATTTATGGGTTTTATATTGGGTTAGGGAATGGGGGTTAGTTTGGGGTGTGGTGTTAGAATGAGAAGTAGGGGGGGGTGGGGTTGGGGGTGTTAGAAGGGATAATAATGGGGGAGGTAGGGGGAGGGGGGGGTAGAATGGGGGAGAAGGGGGTAGGGGGTTGTGTGTGTAATGGGAGGTTTTTGAAAATGGGGAGTTGTTTTAGAGGGATGGGGGGGAGATGGGGGGTTAGTGTGGAAGGTGGAAGTTAGTGGGGGGAGTTTGGAATGGGAATGGGTATGTGGGTTAGGGTTTGTGTGGGGGGGGGGTTGGGTTAAGGGGGAAGTTATGGTGGTTTGAGGGGGGGGGGGAGGGGGGTATGGTGGTGGGGATGGTTATTGGGGAGGGGGGGGGGGGATATGGGGGTGTGGTTAAGGTTAAAAAAGGGTTTGGGAAAGTTTGGGGAAGAGTTGAGTGGGGGGTGGTGGAAAATGGGGGAGGGGGGGGGGGTATTTGGGTATTGTTATTTTATAGTGATTAAGAATATGATAGGTGTTATTGGATTATAATGTTTAGGGGGGTGAGTTAGAAAGGGGGATAAGGGGGGTTAGGTTTAAGATTTTTTGTTGATGTGGAGGTGAGTAGAATATGGGGGGGGGAAGGGTGTGGGAAAGAGTTGGGGGGGGGTTGGAAAGGGTGGGGTGATGGGGGGGGGTAAGGAAAATAGGGTATATTTTGGTGTTTGAGAGGGAGATGTTATGGGAAGTGGGAAAGTTTTGAGGAGGATGTTGTTTAAGAGAAGGTTTTTGTGATGGAGGGGGTGAAGGGAAGTTGGATTTGGTGAAGGAAAATGTGGGGTTGAGGAATGGATGGGGTTTTTGGAGGGGGTTTTGGGGAAGAATTATGAGGTAGGGGGGGGGGGGTTATTGTTGTTGGATGGGTGTGGGAATGGAGGGGGGTGTTAAAATAATATATAGGGTTATGGGAGAGTTGTGGGGTTATTTATATGGAGGTAGGATATAGGGGGTGATGGTTTGGATATGGGGGGGGGGGGGGGGGGATGGGGGGGTGTGTGGTGGGGGAAGGGGAGGAGGATAGGGGAGTAATGTGTAAGATGGGGTATGTTGTAGGGGGGGGGGTGGTAGGGGGGGGGGATTGGGGGGTGATGAAAGTTTAGGGGGGGTGGAGGAAGGTGGGGTGTGTTGGGTAGGGGGGTGTGTGTAGAGAGATGGATGGGGGAAAGGGGTAAGGGGGGTGGGGTAATATGGGGTGTAGGTGAAGGGGGTAAGAGAAGTGGTTGAGAGTATGGGGAGAAGGTGGGATGGTTGTAGTTGTTATGGGGAAGTAATATTGTTAGAAGTATATAGGTATGTGGAGTGGGGATAGGGGGGTTGGGGGGGGTTGGTGTTATGGTAATGGTGGGAGAAGGATTAGGGGGGGACTTTTTGATGGGGTAGGAGTTTTTTGTTGGGAAGAATGATTTGGGATGTTTATTAATTGGATGGGGGGGAGGGGGGGAAAATGTTTTTTTGTTGGTGGATGGGGATTAGGATGGAGAAGAGAAAGTGTGATGGGATGTAGTGGGGGGATTTGGGGGGGGTTGAGGTTAGATGTAAGTTTGGATTGTTAATATGTTTTGATTGTGATGATTATGAGGGGGTAATGAGGTTGTTATGGGAATTTGGGTGTTTGGGTGGGAATGGGGATAGGTTGAGGGGGAATGATGGGGGTAAGATTGAGGGAGTGGTAGTAGGGGGGGGGATGGGGAGGAGGTATGGAGGGGATATTTATGTGAAGGATGGTATGAAGGTTGGAGGATGAGTTGGGGAAGTATGGGTTAATGGTGTGTATGTGTGGATGGGAAGTTGGGAAGGGCGTGGGGAGGGAAGGGGGAGATTGGGTGTTGGGTTTTATGGGGAGAGGAGGGGGGTAGTTGAGAATGGAAGGGGGATATTTTGTAGGGTGGGGTTTGGGGGGGAGGGTTAAGAAAGTAAGAGGGTGGGTGATATGGGGTAGGGGAAGTTGGGAGGGGTAATGGGGGGTGTTTATTGAGGGGGGTGGAGGGAGGGGATGTGTAATGGATAGTGTGAGGTTATGAGAAAGGGGGTGTTGGGGGGGGTGGTAGAGTTGAGGGATTGGGGGATTTGAATGGGTTTGGAGGGGGAGGGGGGGAAGGGGGATGTATTTGTTGGTGGGGTGAGAATGGGAGTTGGATAGAGGATAGGGGTTGGGGGGGTGGGGGGGGGGGGGGGGGGTTGGGGGTTTGGGTTGGGGGGGTGAGGGGGGGGGGTGGGGTTGGGGGGTGGGGGGGGGGGGTTTGAGGGGGGGGGGGGTGGGTTGGGGGTTGTTTTATGGTTTGAATGTATGAAAGAGGAGGAGGGGGAGGGGGGGAAAAGTTGGGGGGTGGGGGGGGATGGGTATTGGGTGGGGAAGGGGGGGGGTATGAAAGGAAGATGAAGGAGAGGGTGGTGTGAATAAATTAGGGGGGAGGGGTATGAAAGGGGAAGTAGTTGGGGGGGGGAAAGGGGGAGAGTTTAGGGAAGGGAGAGGAGAGTTGGTAGGGTGATGTTAGGGGGGGGAAAGGGGATGGGGTGAGGAGTGGGAATATTAAGAGGTGAAAAATGAGGGGGATGGGTAGGGTATATGTGAGTGATTGGGGGTTTAGGGGGGGGGGGGGGGGATGGGGGGGGGGGGGGGGGAAGGGGGAGGAGGATGGGGGAGTAATATGTTAAGTGGATTGGGGGGTTTAGGGGGGGGGAAAAAGGGTTGGGGGAGTTTGGGGATAGTGTGGTGAGTGGGTTTGAGGGTAAGTGGGTGATGTATATGGTTAGGTTGTTGTGGGGAGGTAGGGGTATGTTTGTGGGATGTGGAGGTGGGGGGGGGGGGGTTTGGGGGGGGGGGTTGGGTAGGATTGTTGAGAGGGGTGTTTGAGGAGAGATGTTTAGGAGGGTGGGTATTGTGAGGGGGGGGGGTGAGGGGGGGGAGGAGAGTAGGGGTTTGGGGAGAATATGGGTAGGGTGGTTGGGGTGTGTTTTAATGTTTGTGTTTTAAGGTTTGGTGTTTGAGTGATATTGGGGAATTTGGTTAGTTGTATAATTGGGGGGGGGTTGTAGGGGGGAGGGATGGGGGTTAAGGGGAATATGAGATGGAAAGATGATGGGTAATTTAGTGTTATTGTGGGGGGGGTGGGAGGGTTTTGAGGAGGTTTGGGATTGATGAGATAGGTTTTATGTTTTATGGTGGTGGTGTGATGAGGTAGGAAAGGTAGGGGATTAGAATATGGGTTTTATGTAGGAGTTTTGGTGTGGGGGGAGTGTGAGAATAGAAATAGAGTAGGGAATATGGGGTGGGTTTGATGGGATAGGGGGGGGTTTAGTTTTTTGGATAGAGGAGGGGGAGATTTAGAGGTAGTGGATTAGGGTTGTTTGAGGTTGTTTTTATATGGGTTAGGGGGGGGGGGGATAAGGGGAGGAGTTTAGAATTTGGGAATTGTGGAGGATTGAGGGGGTGAAGTTTTGGAAGAATAGGGGGTGATGGGTAGGAGAATGAGGTTGTTGTTTTGGTATGTATTGTAAGGTTTTGAGGGGTGGTGGGGGGAGGAGGGGGTGGGGGGGGGGGGTATGGGTTGGAGGATTGTAGTAGGGAATAGGTGTAAGGATGGGGGAAGGTTTGGTATGGAGGGGTGAATTGATGTGGGGGGTGAGAGGGGGGATTTGAAAGATTTTAAATAGGGATTGGGTGGGTAGGGATGGAAAGGTATGAGAGATTTGGATGTAGGAAGGGGGGGGTGTGGGAGAGAGATGATTATTATTAGTTGGTGGGGTGTTTTTGGTGTGGGTGTTGTGGATTGGGTTTGGTGGGAGGGTAGTGGTATGGAGGTAGGAGGAGTTATGGTATTGGGGGGTGGAGGGGGTGGGGTGGGTAATATGTTGATAAGAGGAGGGGGAGATATGAATGGGGGTTGGGGTGATTGGGGAAATAGGGGGTTGGGAGTTGGGTGGGAATAGGGTTGGGAAGAGATTAAGGAATAAAATTATGATGTGGTTAAGAAGAATGGAGGGGAATAGGTGGGTGGGTGGGGTTGGTGGTTTGTTGGGTTGTTTGAGTATAGTAGGGAGTGGTAGGGGGGGGTTGGGGTAGATGGGGGAGAGTGGAGGGGGGGGGGTGGTGGATAGGGGGATTTATTTTTGAGTAGGGGGGGGGGTGGAGGGAGGAGTGTTGGGGGTTGTGGGGTGGTGGGGTTTGGGAAAAGGATGGGGGGAAGGAGGGTGGGGAGGGGTTAGAGGAGGGGAATGAAAGGGGGGGGTATAAAGTGGGTGGGGATGTGTGAAGAGAATTGGGGAGTAGAAGGGGGGGGGTTTTTGGGGGTGGGGGTTATAGGGGGGTAATGGGAGGGGTAGTGGGAGTTGAAGTTGGGGGGAAGGGGTTTGGGTGAGGAGGATGGGTTTGGGGATTGGGGTTTTAGAAATGTGGGGGGGGGAGATAAGGGGGGATTTGGGGTAGGGGGTTAGGGGGGGGATGAGGGTTAGGGGGATAAGGATATGGTGGGATTATGGGAGGGTGGTGAGGGGGGGGGGTTAATTGGTGTGTGGGTGATGTGGTTGGGGAGGGATGGTGGGGGGTGAAGTTAGGTAGAGGAAGGGGGTGAATTGGAGAAGTGTGAGATTTATGTGAATTGAGAGGGAGTGTTGTTGGGAGGGTGTTTAGTGGGTGTATTGGGGTGAGGTAGGGGATGGTTTAATATGGGGTATTTAAAGAATGGAGTTTAGTGGGAGGGGAGGGAGGTTGAGGGGTTGGTTGGTAGGGGGAGGGGTGAATGATGTGGAAAGATGGGTGGGAGGTTAGGATTGGGGTGGGGGTTATATATATGGGGGATTGAGGGGTAGTGGAGGGGTGGAGTGGTTTTTAGGGTGGGATAGGATATGATATATATATATATTGATATATATGGGGGATTGAGGAGTAGGAGGTGAGTGTTAGGTTATTGGGGGGGAGATGTGGGGGGGGGGATGGTGGGATGATAGATAAAGGAAGAATGGAGGGATGGAGGAGGGGGGGGGGTGAAGTGGATGTTTTGGGGTGTGGAATGGGGAAATTTGGAGTGAATTTTGGGGGTGGGGTAAGAATTAGGGGGGGGGTGTGATGAAGTATAGGGTGTAAAGAGTGAAAATTTTGGATAGAATTGGGGATTATGGGTTATTAAATAGGAGTGGATAATGAAATGGTTTATAATGAGAGGGAGGGAGGGTTGGGGGGTTGGTTTTATGGGTTTTGATATATTTTGTGGTTTTATATGGTTTATGGTTTTGATATATTTTGTTTTGTGTTAATGTTTTATGGATTTTATATTTTATGGGTTTTTTGTTTGTGGGGTATGGGGGGAGATGGTTTTGGGGTGTGTTTTGAAGGATGGAGGATATGGATTTATGGGTTATAGATGGTTAAGGGGTGGGGTTATGGGTATGTGGTTTAAAGAAAGATATGGGATGGGGTGGTGGGGAATGTGAGGTGAGGATGGGTAGGTTTAAGATGGAAGAAAAATGGGGGGGGGGGGGAATAGAGGGGGGGATAATATGTGGTATGAAAGGGAGAAGATTGGGAAGGGAAGGGATGTGGTATAATTATGGGAAGTTGGGTGGAGGGGGGATGGGAATGGGGTGGTGGTAGGGGGAATAGTATGGGGAGGGGGGGGTTTGAGTGAGGGGTTAAATGTATTGGGATGGTTAAGGTGGTAAGTGTTTTGGATGTAGGAAGGGGGGAAGGGATGGTAGATAGGAGGGAAGGGGGGGGGGAGGTAGGGATATGAGGGGGGGGGGGGTATGTAAGGTGGATGGAGGGAGGTGGAGTGGAAGCGGGGGTGTATTTGATGGGGGGTATTTTGAGAAATTGAGAAAGGGTATAGTGTGGGAGTTTGGGGATTGGGGGGAGGATGTGGGGGGTTTTTTGAGGGGGTGGGTGGGGTGGGGGGGGAGTGGGGTTGGGTGGGGGGAGGGTGGGGATGGTGGTAAAATTTGGGAGGTAAGGGAGGGTTGGTTGTGGGGGGTGTGGTGGTAGGGGTTGGGTATTTGGGTAGAAAGAGAGGTGGGGGGAGGGGGTAATTTGTATTGGGTGGTGGAGGGGGGGGGGGGGGAGATGGGTGAGGGTGGGTTTGGTGGGGGGGGATGAAGGATAGGGGGGTGAGGGGGGGTGTATGGGTTGGGTATTAGAATGGGGGGGGGGAATGGGTAGAGAAAGAGGGATGGGGGGGTATGTTGAGGTGGGAAGGAGGAGGGGTGGGGGGGTGGGTATAGGGGGGGGGAGGGGGGGTGGTTAGTAAGTTAGGGATGGAGGTTGTGTGGTGTGTGGTGTGGAAATGGGGTGAGGGTAAAAGGGGGGTAGAATATGGATGGGGGGGAATATGTGAGGTTAGATGGAGAATTGAGAATATTTGGTAGATAAATGAAGAATGGGGGTAAGTTTATGAATGGGAGGGGGGGGAATGGGGGTATTATTAAATGGAGATTGGAGAGGGATGGTGGGTGGAGAATGGGGGGTAGGGGATTAGAGGGATATTTGAGTTATGTAATTTTAGTGTAGGGTAAGGGGATTGATGGGGGGTTGGAGGTTGGGGAGGGGGGGTAGGATGGTGTGGGGTGGGGAGATGGGAGGGGGGGGGGGGAGTGTTAAAGTAGGTTATGAGATATTGTTGTGGATGGGGGTTTTTGGGATGTTTGGGGGGGGGGGTGGGGGAATAGGGGATTGTTGGGGGGAATTGTTGGGGATGTGGATTGTGGGATGTTGGGGGTTGGAAAGAATGTGAATGTAGAGAGGGGGTATGGGTGGTGGGAGTGGTAGGGAGGGGGGGAGGGAATTGGTTTGGGAAGGTAGTATGTGTATGGTTGTATGATGGGGGGGGATGGTTGGTTATTTTAGGGGAGATGGGGAAGGGTAGGATGTTTGGGTGTGGGATTTTGTGAATGAATATGTGTGGTGAGATGTAGATGGGTGGTGAGGGGGGTAGGAGGATGTTAATATGGGGATTGGGTGGGGTGAGATTTGTAGGGAGAGGGGATGGGGATGGGGGTGTAGGAGGGGGGGGTGGGGGGGGTGTGGGGGGGGGGGGGGGGTGGAAGGGGGGGTAGGGGGGGATGAAGGGGGGGGGTTTTTAGGGAGTTATATGGTATAAGTGTGGGGTGTGGGGTTTTGGAGTGGGGGGATTAGGGTATGTGGGGGAGGAGGGGTAGAGTAATTAGGGGTTTTATGTTATAGTTTTGGGGGGTAGTGGGATTAAGAATTGTTGGGATTTTTTTTAAAGGAGAGGGGAGTAGGGTGTTAAAGGGTTTGGATAAATTAGATGAGGGTTGGGTGGGAATGTTGGGAAAGGGTTTGGGGGGTAAGGGAGATATAGGAAAGGAGAAAAAAGGATAGAGGGTGGGAGGAGGTGGAAGGTATGGAGAAGGTGAATTGGGGAAGGGAAGAGGTTTTTATGGGGTTAAGGGATATGGTGATTGGGGGGGGGGGGGGAGAGTTATGAATTTATAGGGGGGGGGGGGGTGGGGGTATTGGGGTGTATGGATGATATATGGTTATGGTGGGGGAGATTTGGGTTGATGGAAATGGGGTTATTGGATAGGGGGGGGGGATGGGTGGGGAGAGGAGTTATTGGGGGTTTGGATAGGGGGGGGGGGGAGTGATTTTATAAGGGAATTTTTTGTATATGTTGGTTAGGGGTATTATTTGGATTATGATTAGTATGGTTATGGGGTGTATGGTTAAAAAGGGGGGGTGGGTGATGGGAGTGGGGGAAAAATGGAGGGGGGGGGGAATAGAAGGGGAGGGGTTGGTTTAATTGGGGGGAGAATTGTATGGTTGAATGAGAAGGGGATGGAGGGATGATTATGGTATTATGGGTATTGGTTTTGATAAGGGGTTGTTAGTTTATTGATTTTGAGGGGATATAGGTTGGGTTTGGGGATGGTTTTGGGATTGTATTGAGGATATGGTAGGGGGGGGGAAGGGTATGTATTGGGTTTAGTGGTTGTTGTTGGGAGGGGGGGAATGGGGTTTTGTTTGTGTAGATTTATGTTTTTTTGGAATTGGGGGGATGGAGGGGTGGTATTTGGGAGAGAGTGTTTAGATGAATTGGAAGAAAAAAAGGGGGGGGGGGGAGAGGTTGGGGAGGTGGAGGGTTGGGTTTATGGGGGGGGGGGAGGATGGTGTTTAGTTGGATTGGAAAGGGTGGGGGGGTAATAATGGTGATGAAGTTGATTTAGATTGTGATTTTTGGTGTTTTGGTGTTGGTATTTTGTTGGGGGTATGTGTGTTTATTATGTTTGGGATGTGATGGGGTTTTTTTAGGCTGAGGAAGTGGGTTGGGGGGGGTGAGGTTGAGTAGGGTTATGTATGGTGTGGGGGATGAGGGGGTTAAGGTAGTTAGGGGGAGGAATGGGGTGGGGGGGTGGGAGGGGGGGGGGGGGTTGTTGGTTTTTTATGGGGGTGAGGGGGATTTATATATATGGAGATGGGGAAGTTTTGGGGTTTTAAAGGGGGGGTGAGGGTGGAGAAATGTGGATGTTGGGTGATGGAATAGGTGATTGGGGGTGGGGGTAGGGGGGTTGGGATATGAATGTAGTATGGTGGATGGGGGGGGGGATAAGGGGGGGTTATGATAAAGTGAGGGGGGGGGGTGATGGTGGGAGGGGGTGGGGGGGAGGGGGGGGAAGTGGGGATAATTGGTTTATGGATTAAGGACAAAAGAGGGGTTAGAAGGTTATTAAGGAGGATGGGTGGAAATATTATGAGGAGTAAGGGGTGATGGGGGGGGGGGGTTGAAGGAAGGGTAGTGTTGGGAGGAGGTTTGGGGAAATTTTTGGATTTGGGTGGATATTTGTAATTGGGGTTTTTGGGAGGATGGGTGAAGGGTGAATAGTGGATGAGAATATTATAGTAGGTGGGTGGGAGATAAGAGAGGTATGGAGGTGGGGGGGGAATAGTTGTTTTTATGTGTTGAATGGTGGGGGGTTGTGGGGGGAATATGTGAATGTTTTTTGGGGAGGAGGGGTGAGGAAGGTAGGGAGGAAGGGGATGGGAAGGGGTTGGAAATATGGATATAGTATGGTTTAGGGTGATGGGATGTAGGGTTGATGGGGGTGGGGGTGTAGTTGGTGATGGAAGGGTATGGGGTGATAAGGTTTAATGATGGGGGGGTAAGGGGAGTTTTTGGAGGGTAGGGGAGATAGTGGGTTGAGAAATGTAGATGTGGGGGGGAGGGAGTTGGTGGGTAGGGGGGTAGGGAGAAGAGGGGTTGGTAGAGGGGGGGGTAGGTTAATGAGGATAAAAGTTATGGTAAATGAAGGGAGGGAAGGGAGGTTAATGGGTGTGGTGGTGAGGGGGGGGGGGATGTTGAGATAGTATGGATAAATAAGGGGGGGAAGAGGGTAAGGGGGTGAGGGTGGGGGGGGGAGGGGGGAGAGGGTGGAGGGGAGGGGAGGGGTAAGGGGGTGGGGTGAGGGGGGGGTTGGGGGAGAGATAAATAATGATGTGAGGAGTTGGGAATGGATAGGGGGATTTGTTGGGGGTTATGGGAATTAGGGGAAGGGGAAAGAGAGGGGAGAAGGTGGTAGGAAGGAAGGGGTGGTGAGGGGAAAAGAAAAAGGTGGGGTAGGTGAAGAAGGTGGGATGGGTGGTAGGAGGATGGGGGAATGGTGGAGGAGGTGGGAAGGGGGTGGATGGGGTGTGGGAGGATGTGAGGGGGGGGGAATGGTAGATGGGTATGAATAGGAGATGTGAAAGAGTTGAAGAGGGGAGAGGTGGAGGGGGATTAAGGGGGTGAGAGGTGGGTGGTTATGGGTGGGGAATGTGAGGTAAGTGAGAGAAATATAGGTATGGGGATATTGTGGATGAGAGATGGGTATGTTGGAAGGGTTGGAGGAAATAATAGTAGGATTTTTGGGGGGGTATAGTGTGGGGGGGAGATTGGATAGAGAAGGGTGTATTGTAGGAGGGAGGTGGAGGGATTGGGGGGGATAGGGGGGAGAGAGATATAGGGAGAATTGGGTGGGATAGTGTGGGGATGGGGTGAATTGGGATGGGGAAAGGGAATGGGAAAGAGGGTAGGGGGGTGAAGAGGGAGTAGTGGGGGGGGGATGTGAGGGGTAGTTGAAGTTGGGGGGAGGTTTAATAGTGGTTGTTTGTTTATAGATTGTGTGGTTTTTTAGGGGGTTATTGTTTATAGAGAGTTTTTGGGGGGGTTTTGGGGTAGTTTTGGGATATGGGATGAAGGATGGTAGGGGGAGGAGGTAGATTTGGAGGGGGGGAGATTGAGGTGTTTATGTAATGGATTATAAGTGGTGTTGTGGGGTTAGGTGGGGGGTTGGGTGAAGTGGAGTGATTGTATATGGGGGGTGGAGGGGGATAATGGTGGGGAGGGGGAGATGAAGGGGTTTTTTATTGAAAATAAAGAAAGTGATAAGAGTTTAGTTGAAAGGTGAAAGGGTGTTAAAGTAATTGGTTGGGGGGGTTTGTGAAAGGAAAGTATGTTGAAAGGTATATGATGTGGGAAAGGGGGGTTAGATCGATAAGAATTGGATTGGGTGAATAGGAGGTTGGGGGGGGGGGGGGGGTTAGGAAGAAGTGAATGGGAGGGTGGTGGGGAAGGGGGAGATGGGGTAAGGTGATGATGATGTTTTTATGGGTGTGAAGGGATGGGAGGGAGGAGGAGGTGTATGAAGGTTGGGTGGGTGTATTGTGTGTTTTATGGGGGTAGTTATGTGGGGCATTATAGTATGGTTATGGTTGTTTGTATGTTTGAATAGAAGGTGGTGTTTAGATGGTTTTATTTGTTGGGGGGTGTATTTTTTATTTTTGTTGGTTTTTTTATTTGTGAAAGTGAAAGGTAGGAAATAGATGTGCGGGATGGGATGGTGAAAAGTGAAGGGAAAGATAGAGGGGGAAGAAGGGAAGAAGGGAGAGGAAGGAGAGGGGAAGGGATAGGGGAAGGAAGAAGGATAAGGAGGAGAGGGAATGGAGAGAAGGAGATGGGAGGAGAGGGGAGAGGGGTGTATTTGGGAGTTTAAAGTGATAATGTAGTGGATATTTTATTGAATTGTATTTTATTGATATTGGGTGAGGGGGTGTAAGGGGGATATTATGTATGGATGAGATGGTGTAGATATTTTAATGGGGGTAATATTAATTATATGGGAGTGTTTTATGATGGTTTTATAAGGTTTTTGGGTTAATCTATATGTTGGTTATGGGGAAATATGGGGGTTTTTGGGGTTTGGGGGAAGTGATGATAATTGAAGGGAGGGGCGGGGTATATATGAATTATTGGTAAATAAGAAGATTATTGGTTTTTAGAGGTTTTTTTAAATGGGGGTTTTTGGGTGTTAAGGGGGGGGGTTAGTGGTATTTAAATATGGGTGGGGTGTAAAAGGTGTGTTTGGGTGAAGATGGTGGGGGGTATTAGTGTGAGGGTGGAGAGGGGTTGAATTAGGGAGGATGGGGGGTTTGGGGGGGTGGGAGGGGGTGTATGTGGTAAGGATTTGGATGTTTGTTTAGGGGGAGTGATGGGGAGGTTATTTTTTAGATTACTGTTTATTATTATTTGGAATATATGGGGGTTGGAAGTTATTGTGTGGATTGTGTGGGTTAGGATGTAGGATGTTGTAGGGTATTTAAGGGGGTGGATTAAAGAGGGAGGTTTGTAGATAGTACTTTGTGTGGGGTTGGTAGAAGTAGTTGGTTATGTAGGGGGATGAAGTTAGGAGATTGTATAATAAGATATTGGGGGGAAAAATGTGGGATATGAAAATAGAGGGGTGGAATAAGGGATGGGTTGGTGGTGGAGTAGATGGAGATGGGATATGGGTGATGTTTGGTGATTATTATGTGGGGAAGGATGGAGGTTGTGTGGAGTTGGATGTTGGAAATTGTTTGATGGGTTTGTATGGGGGTGGTGGGGGGAATGTAGGGGGGGTTGTAGGGGGTGATTGAATATTTGGTGGAGGTTTGGTTTGAATGGGGGTGAGGTGGGGGTGGGGTTTAGGGTGTGAGTGGGGGGTGGGGGGAATTGTTATATTTAGGATGTTTGGGGGGATAAATATGGTTGTGGGTTTGGTTGTAATTGGGGTGTGGGGGGGTATGTGTGGGGTGGGAAGGATGAGGTAGGGGTATGGTTTTAAGGATGTAGGTGGGTTTGTTTGGTAGTAGGATGGGGGGGATGGAGGGTAGGGAAGGGTATAGTATAATGGTAGGTATTTGTATTTTGATTTTAATAATGGGTGTGGTTTTTTTAGTTTATTGTTGTGGGTTTTGTATGGTGGAGAAGGGGGGATGGAAGAGGGTGGGTGGGGGTGAGGGTTGATTGGGATAATTTGATTTATGTGAGGTGTGGGGTTTGGGTTTATGGATGAATATTTATAGGGGGGGGTGTATAGGGATGGTTGATTTTGTGTGAGAGAAAGGATGGGATGGGGTTATATTAAAAGGAAGGATGAGATTGTAATTATGGGGGGTAGGTAGGTTGTGGATGGGGGGGGGGTTAGGGAAATGTTTTAGATTGGGAGTGGATAGTACTATATATAAGTGTTGGGATTAAGTTGAGTGAAGGAGGTGTAGGGGGATATTATGTGGAATGAGTAGGGTGTAGTGTTGGGAGGGGGGGTTTATAGTCAGTTTTGATTTGGGGTATGTAGGTTATAGTGAGGTGGATTTGAGGAAGTTAGTGATTATTGTATTAGATATTATGGGAGTGGGGGTAAGGTTAAAAAATAAATGATGGGGGAATATTTGATATGAATGTGGAGAATGGATGGATTAGTTAATGAAGTATGGGTAATATTGGTTGGTTGGGTAGGTTTTTGGTGGATAATTGTGGGTAGTGTGGGGGATAAGGGGGGGAGGTGGTAAATTGGTGGTATGAGGTTGTTTAGGTGTAAGGTGTTTATAATTGGTATGAAGGTGGGTGGGTTTAGTTTGTGGGGTGTTTTGGGGGGGAGTAGGGAGAGGATGGAAAGGAATTGGATTTTGGGGGGGTGGGGTAGGGGTTGAGTAAGGGGGGGGGGGTTTGTTGGAATGTGTGGGGGGTATTTGGGGGGTGGGGGGGGGGGGGGTGGGTTGTGGGTTGATTGGAGGATGGTAGGGGGGGTTTGTATGGAAAAGGATGGGGAGGAATGAGATGAAGGATTGAATGAAATAGAGGATGAATAAAAAATAAATAGGAATGAGGGGAAAAGTAGGGGGATAGGGTAGGGGAAATGAGGAATATTAATTATGATTTAGATAAGATGATAGGTGAAGATGATGGTGAATGAATTGATAGGATGGGGAAAGGGGGGAGGGGATAGAGGGATGAGAGGGGGATTAGGTTAATGGTATGAAGGTAGATTTAGTTGTGGATGTTGGTGAGTATGGGATAGTGGGGGTGGGTGGGTGAGATGAGGTTGGATGAGAATATTTATTATGATTAGTGGTGGTGGGTTATTGTGTGTGGGGTGGTTTTTGATTGTTGATTTGTGGGGGTGTGGTTAGGAGAGGGATGGAGAGTAGGGGGGGGGGTATGGAGGGTTTGGGTGTATGGGGGGGAGATGGATGTTGGGTAGGATTTGGGGGTGGGGTGTGGGGAGGGGGTGATGTGGATTTGTTGTGTGGGTGGGGGGGTGGTGTGGGGGAGGGGGGGGGGATGTGGGATTGATGGGGTATTTTGGTGGGGTTTTGTGGGTTAGGGGGGGGTGGTTGGGGGTGGATGTGGGGTTGGGAAGGATGTGGTTGTAAAGGGGGGATGGGTTGGAGGATGGAGGGTGAAGGGGGAGTGTAAGAAGTTGAAAATAAATTTTTGTTATATGTAGGGTATATGAGGGGAGGGAGGTTAATTTTATGGGATGTGTGTTGGATTTGTATTGGGGGGGTGGGAGGTTTGATATGTATTATGTGAATTTGGGGTGATAGAGTGATGGGGTAAGATTGGGGGTGGGTTGGGGGAGGGGGGTTTATAGGATGTATTGGGTTGGATGGGTTGATGGGGGTGTTGATAAGGGGGGAAAATAGAAGGTAAGAGAGGGAGGATAGTGTGCTGATGGAGAGTTGGGGGGGTTTGGGGGAGGTGGGGGTGGGGTGGTTTGGAGATTACTGTAAGGGGATGGTTGGGATAAATGGGTTGGGGGGGGTTAATGGGAATCAATTAAAAAAAGTGGTGGTGGAGGTATGGTGTCAGTTTGGTAGGAAGGTGGTTGACAGATAGTTGTGTATGGTTGGAAAGTATTGTAATTTAGTGAAATAGATATATATATGGTAAAAGTTAGAGGGATAATGTTGTGTGGGAAAATGTTTTGATATGATATTAATGGTTGATGATAGGGGGGTGGGTGTGTAGAGATTATGGAGTTAGAGGTAAAAAGTGTCATATAATCTTGAAATTATTAGGAATAATATGGTGTCACATTTGATGCATGCTGGGGGGGGATTCTAATGAATGGATGGAGAGATGTATTGTTGTATAAGGATGATGGACTTAAAACAAAAGGGTGGTGGGATGAAAGGTGTTTCAGGGTATAGATTGAGGGGGTGAAGGGGGGGTAACGTGGAATATGAAATTAAACCTAAAGTGTTAACAAATAGGGAGAAGAATGTTATTTTTATATCTTTTGTGTGTAGTTTGTGTGTGCTACTGTAGTGGGTTGATGGGTGTATTCGGGATTTGTAGGGGGGATGTGTAAAGGAATGCAGTAGAATAATTAAGTAGTATTTATTTATATAAGGACGTAATGGTTTCATGGTACAGTTATGTATGGATGGGGAAATTTAGCTATGTTAAAAAAGAGAAGATTGATGTAAGAGGATAATAAGTCCATGGATGATTTAGATGAAGAGTGAGGGGAGGGTCAATATTATATATGTGATAACTTTTATAATTAAAAATAGATATATGATGTAGTTAGTTGATGTTGTTGGTTAAAGGAATGAAATAGTAGGGATAAATATGTAAAGGTGGCAGTGGGGTATTGTGAATGATGATGAGAATTATGTAAGTATGAGGAATTATTGGTTGGGTATAAAATGGAGGGAGTAAAGGGGTTTGTTTGATAAAGAATTAGTATGGTTTGGGGGATATTATGTGGGGTGGTGGGAATATGTGGGGGTAATATGTGATGTGGGGGGTATGAACTTAGGGAGGATAATGGTTATTAATTTGGTGGGTGATAATTTTATTTATGTGGTGAGGATAGAAAAAAGAAAGGAGGTTATTTGGGTGGTATGATGAGGATGTGTATGTATTTAAAGTGTAGTAAATATGGGGAGGTAAGAATGGGAGGGAGAAGATGGGGGGGGGGGAGGGGTGTGGGGGGGGGATGAATTGGGGTTATGATGGGTTTGTGTGGTAGAGGGATGGGGTATGGGGAAGATTTGTTTAGATAGATTATGATGATGGTATGGTGGTTTTGGTGTGTTTATTATGTGGGGGGTAAAAATGATTGAGTGAAAGGGAGAGTTTGGGGGAGAAAAAAGGGGGGGGGAAATTGGGGAGAATAAAATTAGGGAGATAGGGTGAAATAGGGGGGGTTTGTGGGGGGGAAGGGGGGGGTGGAGGGGTGGGGGGGAGGGGTGGGGGTATGGGTGGGAAGTATGTTTGGTGGGGGGGGGTGGTGATGGTATAGGTTAAGGAGTATTATGGTTGGGTATGGGTAGGATGGGGGGGGGAGGGTATGGGTGATGGGGGGTGTTAGGGGTGGAGAGGAAAGGGGGGGGGGGGTGGGATTGGGGGGTGGGGGGGTTGGAAGAGGGGTGTGGTATGAGGGGGAAAATGTCATTATATAGGTAGTTTGGGGGTGGGGTGTGGGTGGGGTTGGGGTGGGTTGTAGTGTGGTGGGTAGTGGGGGGGGAGGAAGGGATTTATAAATAAATGATGGGAAAGTATGAGAAAGTGATGGCAAAGGTGATGGGAAAGGTGAAGAAAGTGATGGAAAGAGATGGAAAGGGATGGGAAATGATGGAAGTGGATGGAATGGGAGGGAAGGGATAGGGGAAGATATCTAGAGAAGAAGGAAGGGAAGGGAAGGGGATAGTGGAGAATGGGGTGTGGAGGGGGTATGGGGGGGTTGATTATGGTTTGGTGTTTGGTGGGGATGTATGTTGGTGTTGATGGATTGGGTGGTGGTAGGTTTAAGTGAAGGGGTTTGTAATTATTGGGTTGTTTTTTGGGGTTTGTTTGTGTTCTAATTTAAAGGAGGGAATAATGAAGATATTGAATGGTTAGAATTATTAGGGGGGAAGGGTAGGATTAGGGATAATGGAGTTATATAGTTATGGTTCTGTTGGGGTGGATGGGAAGGTATTTTTATATGGATGTTGGGGAGTTTAGGGATTGTGGATGGGGTGGGGAGTTATTAATGGGTATGATTGGGGAGGAGTAGAGGGAGAGGGGGAATGGTGTATTAAGGTGGGGGAGGGAGGTGAAGGAGAGGATGTTGTGTGAGAGAGGGAAGGGGGGGGAGGGGAGGGGGAGGGTTGAAGGAAAGTTATTTAGTAGGGGATATATGAATATAATGTGTTTGTTTTTTGTTTTTCGTTTTTAGAAGGTTATAGATGGTTTAATAAGGGGGGGGGTGGGTTGTGGTAGGTGTGTTTGTGGGGTGAATCGGGGGGGGATGGTAGGATGGTAGGAATGGGAGAAGGGGTGATAATGGGAGGGTTTAGGGTATTATTAGGGGGTGAGAGGGGTTGGGGATGGGTGATGTGTGAGGTGTGGGGTGAGGTGGTTGGATGGGGTGGGATGGATTTGTGTGAGAGTGTGAAAGGTAGGGTTAAAATAGTGGTGATAAGTGAGTTATATTAGAGTAAGTTATGGGGTTTGGTATTGGGTTTGGGGGGGGGAGATTTATGGATATGTGTTAGAAGATTAAGGGGTGAGAAGGGGTGGAGGAAAGGGGAATATGTGGGGATGTATAGTAGTTTTGTATGGTGAAGGAGAGATAAGGGGATGTGGGGGGGTTGGGTGTTTATTGAGGAGTGGGGAATTTAGGGGGGTTGGAAGGGGGGGATGGATGTATAGAGGTGGGATATGGTGGAGAGGGATGTGGGGGGGTATAGGAGTGGGGGGTGTGAGAAGGATAGTAAGGTAAATAAGGTGATATAGTTGGAAGAAAGGGAATTGTTAGGTGAAAGAGTGGAAGGGGTGTGAATTAAAGGAGAAGTGGGAAATGGAATGTGGAGGGATTTAAGAGTGATGAAATAGAATAGGGGATGAAAGAAAAAGATGATTTGAAAGGGTATAGAATGAGGGTAGAGTAGAAGGTGTTGAATTGGAATAGTAGGGGGGTTTTAGAGAATTTGGTTGGATGGAAGATGATTTGTGAGGGGGAATAAGGGGGAATGGGTGGAAGGGGGAAAAGGAGGGGGTAAAATGGATGATAAGATTAGGGGGGGTGAGGGGGGAATGAATGATAATAAGGATATAAGAATAAGGGGGATGAGGATATTGAATTGAATGAAAAGAAATAAGGGAGAATGAGGAAAATAGTGATATATGAGGGGGGGGGGAGAAGGTAGGGGTGTGGATGATAAAAAGAGAATAAAGAATGGGGGATGAGGAAGAATGAGAGGGGAATGGGAGGAGGTGGTTAAAAGGGGGGGAAGGGGAATAAGTGAGAAATGAGAAGGGTGGACGAGAATAGGAATAGAGGAGAAAATATAGAGGGTGGTGGGGGTGGAAATGAGGGTGTATAGGAAAGGAGGGTTAAGGGGATAGAAGGGGTGGAAATGAGTAGGGGTAATTAAGGAATGTGAGAAAGAAGAGGAGGATTGGAAGGAAGGTTAAGGGGATGGGGTGAGGGATGGGGGGTTGGTTAGTTGTTTAGGATGATGATTTGGATAGTTGGTTTATGGGGTGGGTGAGGGGATATAAGAAGGATTGAAAAGAAGGGTGTTGAGGGGGGGGTGGAGGGGGGGGGGGGGAATTTGAAATAGGGGTATGTGGGGGTAGGAAGATATGGAGGGGGGGGGGGGGGAGAGGATGTGGGGGTAATGGGAGTATGTGGAGAGGGTTAGGGGAGGGGGTGTAGGGGGGGAAAGGGGAGGGTTTAGGGTAGGTTGTAGTGAGGATTAGTGGTATAGAATTTATGTGTAGGTAGGAAGGGGGTGGGGGTAGGTATGAGAATGGGGGATAGGGGAAAAGTGGGGGAGGGGTAGGGGGGGTAGGAGGGTGTAAAAAGAGTAAAATAGGATAGAAAAGGAAGAAGGAGATAATGATAAGGGGGGGGTGTATTAGGGGGATTTATAAGGATAAAGGGGAAGAGGGATGATGTGTAATGATTTTATAGGTAGGGGAGGTAGAAATGGTGGGTTGAGGGTGGAGTTTTTATTATTGGGGGGATATGGGGTGGGGAATTGGTTAGGGGGGGGGGGGGGGGGGAAAAATAATAGATTTGGGGGGTTTGAGTTTTTTAGTTTGATTTTATGGGGTATATGGGTAGGAATTAGAGGGGATGTGAGTTGGAAGGGGGGTGAAAGGTTTTGATTGATTATATGGTTGTATAGAGGTAGGGTGGGGGTTAGGGGAGTGGGATGTGGGGGATTGAGAGTGGGGGATTTGATGGGGGTTGGTTGATGGGGTGATAGAGGGTGGGTGAGGGGTGGGGTGGAGGTTGGGAGGGGGGTTTATGGGAGGTAATTTTTTATGGTTTGGAGGAGTTGTGGTTGATTATAATAAATGGGGTTTTGAGTTGCAGTTTGTAGTGTTATTATTTGGGGGGGGCGGATGTGAGGATGGGGGTTTTTAGGGGGGGAGAAATTGTTTGGAAAAGGGTTTTGGGGATGAGGGGGGTGGTGTGGGAGGGGTTTTGGGTTATTTATGATTGAGGAGTAGAAGGGATGGGGAAGTATGGAATAAATGGATGGGAGGTGGGGTTGGGTAAAGTGTGTAGGTTAGTAGGGATGAGGGGGAAATTTGGGGGGTGTGGGGGTTGGTGGTATGGGTGGGTTGGGTATTGGGGTGTTGGGGGTGGGTATGTTGGGATTTGGGTGGGAGGGAGGAGGGAGGGGGGTTAAGGGGGGGAAGGATGGATAGGGGGGGAAAATAAAAAGGATGGGGGGGGATATAGAGGGTAAGAGTTTGGTATTTGGGGGTTGGTGATTTGGGTGTGGGTGGGTGGGGGAGGGGGGATGTGATAGGGAGGGGGGGTGGGGGGGGGGTATGGGGGGGGGGGATGATTTAATAATAGGTAGGGTATTGGGGGGTGTTTATATGTATGGTTTTATATTGGGGTTAGGGGATGGGGGTTTGGAGTTGGGGTGTTTTAGAATGGGGGAGAGAAGGGGGGGTGGGTGGGGGGTTAGGAGAAAGATAATGGGGAGGGTAAGGGGGGGAGGGTAAATTGGGGGGGAGAAGGGTAAGGGGGGTTGTGTGGGTAATGGTAGGGGTTTTTGGGGGAAAATGGGGGGTAGTTGGATGAAGAGGATGATATGGGGTTGATTGGGTGGGGAAGGTGGGAAGTTAGTTGGGGGGGATTTTGGAATTGGATGGGGGAATGGTGGGGGGTTTGAGGGTTTGTGGTGGGGTTGGGATATGGGGGGGAGTAGGGGGGTTTATGGTGTTTGGGTGGGGGAGGGGTATGTGGGGGTGGGGGGTTGTTATGGGGAGGGGGGGGGGGGGGGGGGATAGGGGGGTGTGGTTATTAAAAAAGGGTATGGGAAAGTGTTGGGGAAGAGTTGATGGGGTTGGGTGGGAGATATGGGGGGGAGGTGGTAATTGGGTATTGGGTTGATTTTTAGTAGTTATAAGAATATGATTAGGTGTAATTGGATTGTTTAGGGGGGGGGGGGGGGGGTTGTTTGGGGGGGTTGTGTGTTGTGTGTTGTGTTGTGTTTTTGTTGTGTGTGTGGTGTGTTTTTTTTTTATGGGGAATGGTTTAGGGGGGGTGGGAGTTAGATAGGGGAGAAGGGGTGTAGGGGTTTAAGAATTTTTGTGTGATGGTGGAGGGGGTGGAGAAGAATATGGGGGAAGGGGGTGTTGGAAAGAGTTTGGAGGGTGAAAGAAGGTATGGGGGGGGGGGGGGGGTAAGGAATAGGGGGGTATATTTGTGGGTTTATGGGGTGAGGGGGGGAGGATGGGTTATGGGAAGTGGAAAGTTTTTAGATGGATGGTGTAAGAGAAGGGTTTGTGATGAGGGTGAAGGGGGGAGGTAGGATTGGGGTGGTGAGGTAAATGTGGGGGGGTTGAGGATGGATGGGGGGTTTTTGGAGGGGGGGTTTTTGGGGGGGGAAGAAATTATTAGGTAGGTTGGGGTTATTGGGGGGGTTGTTGGAGGGGGGTGTGGGGGAATGGAAGGGGGGTGTAAATATAAAGGGATAGGTGGAAGGGTGAGTTGGTTGGGTTATTTAGGTATGGTGGTATGATAGATAAGGTGTATGGGGTTTGGATATGGGGGGGGGGATGGGTGGTGGAGGTGGGGGGAAGGGGGAGGGAGGTTATTTAGGGGGGGAGGTATGGTTGAAATGGGGTGTTAGGGGGTAGGGGGGGGGGGGGGGGGATAGGGGAATGGGAAAGTGGGTAGGGGGTGGGAGTAAGTGGGGGGGGGGGTGGTTGGTAGGGGGGTGTGGGTGTGAGGAGATGATGGGAATGGGGGAAGGGGGGTGGTAATATGGGGGGGGAGTGAAGGGGGGTAAGAGAAAGTGTTGAGAGTATGGGTGGGAATGGGTAGAGGGTTGTTTTTGTATTGGGAAGTAATATGGTAAGGTATATATATGTGAGTGGGAGAATAATGTGGATGTTTATGGTTTAGGGGGGTGGGGAGAAGGATAGGGGGGTGAATTATGTGATGGGGTAGGGGTGGAATTGTGTTGGGAAGAAATGAGTTTGGATTATTTTAAGTTTGATGGGGGGAGGGGGGGGGGAAAAAGTTTATTTGGGGTGGTGGGAGGGATTGGGGATTTAGGATGAGAGAGAAAGTAGGAAGGATGTATTGGATGGTTTGGGGGGGGGGTTGTAGGGGTTAGATGTAAGGTTGGGAGTGTGAATATGTTTTGATTGTTATGATATGAGGGGTAATGAGTTGTTAAGGGATTTTGGGGTGGTTTGTTGGGGGAATGGGATGTAGGGGTGTGGAGGGGAATGATGGGGGGAAAGAATATGGAGTGTAGTTGGGGATTGGGGAAGGATGTGGGAGGAATTTATGTGGAGGGGATGGTTGAATTTTGGGGGGATGATGTGTTGAAAGGGGGTATGGTTAATGGTTGGTGGTAATGTGGTGAAGAAGATGGAGAGATAGGGGAGGAAGGGGAGATTTGTTGTGGGGGGTTTTATAGAGGAGGGGGGGTATTGAGAGAATAAGGGATAATGTTGTATGGTGGGGAATGGGGGGGGATGTGGTTAAGAAAGGTAGAGGTGTGATATGGGTAGGGGGAAGAAGAGGGGGGGAAATTGGGTTTAAGTATGGTGGAGGAGGGGGATGTGGAATGATAGTTTGTGAGTTATTGAGAAAGGTTTTGGGGGTGGGGTGGGGAGGATTTTTGTAGAGGGGGATTGGGATTTGAATGGGGTTAGGGGTTAGGGGAGGTGGGAAGGGGATTTATTAGGGGTTGGGGGTGAGAAGGAGTTGGATAGGGAGGATAGGTGGGGTGGGGGGGGTTTGGGGGGGGGGGGGGGGGGGTTGGGGGGTTTTGGGGGGGGTGGGTTGGGGGGTGGAGGGGGGGGGGGGGTGGGTTGGGGGGGGGGTTGGGGGGGGGGTTGAGGGGGGGGTGTGGGTTGGGGTGTTGGTTTTATGTTTTGAATGTATGAAAGAGGAGGGGGAGGGAGGGGGGAAAGAGTTGGGGGGGGGGTGATTGGTATTGGGGGGGAATGGGGGGTTTGAAAGGGAAGAAGAAGATGAGGATGTTTGATAAATAAGGGGGAGGGAGTAAGAAATTGGGGATTAGTTTGGGCAAAGAGAGTTTAGGGGATGAGAAGGGAGATATTGTAGTTGATGTTAGGTGGGGAAAGGGGATGTGAGGAGAAGGAATATTAAGAGGTGAAAAATGATGGGATGGGAAGTGAAGATGTAGTGATGAGGTTTAGGGGGGATGGGGGGGGGGGGGGAAGGGGAGGGAGAAGGGTAGGAAAGATTTTAAGTGTGATGTTGGGGTTTAGGGGGGGGGGGGAAAAGAGTGTTGGGGGATTTTGGGATAGTGTGAGTGGGTTTGATTGGGGGGGGGGGGGGGGGGGGGGGGGGGGGAAGTGGATTATATGGTTAGGTTGTTTTGGGATGTATGTTATGTTTGTGGGAGTAGGGGTGGGGGGGGTTTGGGGGGGGGTTGGTAGGATTGATTGAGAGAGTTTGAGATGAGATTTTATTAGGTGGTGTGGTATTGTAGGGGGGTGAGGGGGGAGAGATGAGTGGTAGGGGATGAATTATGGTAGTGGTAGGGTTGTTTAATGGTGGTTTTTGTTAAGTTTGTGTTTGAGTGATATTGGGATTTGGTTAGTTGTATGAAGTGGGGGTTGTAGGAGGGGATGGGTAAGGGGATATAGGTTGAAAGATGGATGGGGGTAATTTGGGGTGATTATAGTGGTGGGAGGGGTTGAGGGGATGTTTTGGGATGGATGAGAAGGGTTTTATGTTTTATGTGGATGTGATGAGGGAGAAAGGGTATGGGGGATTAGAATATTGGGTTTTATGGTAGGATTTTTGGGGGGGGTTGGAAGTGTGAGAAGAGAAATTGAGAAGGAATATGGGGGGGGTGGGGGGTTTATGGGGAGAATTTAGTATGTTGGGAAAGGAAGAGGGAGATTTAGATTGTATGGATTAGGGTTGTGTTGAGTTGTTTAATGTGGGTGGGGGGGGGGATAAGGGAGAGTTTTAGATATTTAGAATGTGAGATTGAGGGAAGTTTTGGAATTAGATAGGTGATGGGGGGGAGAGGGAGAATAGGAGGGTGTTGTTTTGGTATGAATGAATATTAGGGTGTGGGGGGAGAAGGGAGGGTGGGGGGGTATGGGGGGGGGTTGGAGATGTAGGGTAGGAAATAGGTTAGAGGATGGGGGATGGGGTTTTGGATGGGGGGGTAAAGGGGGGGGGGTGAATTGATTTGGGGTGAGAGGGGGGATATGAAGAATTTAAGATTAGGAGTGGGGGATAGGATGGGAAAGTATGGGGGGGGAGAGGAGTTGGGGTATGTTAGGAAGGGGTGTTGGTGAGTGAGATTATGATTAGAATTGGGGGTGGTGGGGTTTTTGGTTGTGGGGGTGGTGTATTTGGTTTGGTGGGAAGGGGGGGGGGGTTGGGTGATGGGAGGTAGGGGGGGGGGAGTTATGATTGGGTGAGGGGGGGTGTGGGGGTAATATTGGTGATAGAGGAGGGGAGATAGAATGGTTGGGGGATTGATTTAGTTGTGAGTTGGGGGTGGGGATGAGGGGAAATGTATTAAGGGGAATAATTGTTATATGGTATTAAAAGATAATGGAGGGGATAGTGGTGGGTTGGGGTGGGGATTTGGGTTGGGGTGTTTGGGGGGGTTATAGAGAGGGGGTGAGGGGTTGGGGGGGGGAGAGGGGGGGGGTGGGGAGAGTTGGGATGGGGGGGGGTGGGTGATAGGGATTTATTTTGAGAGGGGGGGGTGTAAGGAGGGGTTTGGGGTTGTGGTGGGGGTGGGGGGGGGGGGTAAATATAGTTAAGTAGGGGGGTGGGGAGGGGGGTAAGGAGGGAAATTAGAATGGGGGTATGGAGAAGGGTGTGGGGGGAGGTGGTGATGAGATAAGTGGGGAGGTAGAAGGGGTTTGGGGGGGGTGGGGGTGATAGGTAAGTGGAGTAGGTGTGAGTTGAAGTTGGGGGGAGGGGTTTGGGGGTGAAGGAGGGGATGGGTGGTTGTGGGTTTGGGTTGATGTGGGGGAGATATAGGGGGGGGATTGGGAGGTGGGGTAGGGGGATGAGGTTATGGATTAGGATGAGGGGGTGGATTATGTGGAGGTGGTGGGTAAGGGGTTTAAGGGGTGTGGTGGTGTTGGGGTGGGGAGGGGATGGTGGGGGGGGGGGGGGGGGGTGAGTTAGTAGAGGTAGAGGTGGAATTGTGAATGTTTGGGATGTATTGATGGGAGAGGGGGGAGTGTTGTTGGGAGGGGGTGTTAGTGGGTGTATGTGGTGAGGTAGGGGATGGTTGTAATTGGGTTTTTTATGTAAGATGGTTTTGGGAGGGAAGGGGAGGTTTAGGTGGTTGGGTAGGGGGGGGAGGTATAAGTGGATGGTGGGAAGAGATGTGGGGGGGGGGAGGGTGTAGATTGGAAGGGTTATATATATGGGATGGAGGGTAGTGGGAGGTGGGGGAGTGGTTAGGTGGGATAGATTATGGATATATTGATATATATGATTATATAGGGGGATTGAGTAGTAGGAGGTGGATGTAGTTATGTGGGGGGGAAGATGTGGGGGGGATTGATAGAGGGATAAAGGAAGATGGGGAGGATGAGGATGGGGTGAATATTTATGGGGGTGGGTGAATGGGAATTTGGAGTAATTTTGGGGGTGGTAAAGGAATTAGGGGGGGGTGTGATGAAGTGGGAAGGGGTGGTGTAAAGGGGAGGGGAAATTTTGGATAGAATTGGGGAGATGTATATAATAGGAGGGGTGGGGGGATAATGAATTTATAATGAGAGGGGAGGGAGGGTTGGGTTTGGTTTTATGGTTTTGAGATTTGTTTTGGGTTTTATATTGTTTTATGGTTTTGATATATTTTGTTGTTTAATGGTTTTAGGGATTGGTAAATTTTATGGGTTTTTTTGTGTGTGGGAGTATGATGGGAGGGTGTTGAGGTGGTGTTTTGAAGATGGGGTTGGGATATATTATTTATGAGGGGTTAAGGTGGGGGTTATGGGGGTATTGGTTTATGATGAAAGAGTATGGGGATGGTGTGGGGGAATTGAGTGAGGATGGGGAGGTTTAGGATATAGAAAATGGGGGGGGGGGGGGGGGGAGATAAAAGGGGGGGATAATATTGGTATGGAAAGGGGAGAAATTGGGATGATAGGAGTGTATAATTATGGATAGTGGGGTGGTAGGGGGATGGGGAATGGGTGTGTAGGGGTATATTGATGGTGAGGGGGGTTTTGAGTGGAGGGGTGAATTGTTAATGGGATGGGTGGTAAGGTGGTAAGGTAGTGGGGGGGATGTAGGGAAAGGGGGAAGGGATGTAGAGTATGAGGTGGGGGGGGGTGGGGTAGGATGATTTGAGGGGGGGGTATTAAGGTTATGAATGGGGATGGGTGGAGTGGAAGAGGGTGGTATTTGGATGGGGTATTTAAGAATTGGGAGGAAAGGGTATAGGTGGGGAGTTATGGGATAGGGGATGGATTGGGGTTTTTATGGGTGGGGTGGGGGGTGTGTGGGAGTTTGTTTGTTGGGAGGGGGATGTTGGTAAAAATTTGTGAGGGTAAGGGGGAGGTTGGGGTTGGTGGTGTTTAGGGGGGTTGGGGGGTATTTTGGTAGAAAATGGAAGGGGGGGAGGGGGGGGTAATTTGTTATTTGTTGGAGGGGGGGGAGATGGGTGGAGGGGTGGGGTTTGGTGGGGGGATGAATGATAGGTGAGGGGGTGTATGTTGGTGGATTTGAATGGGGGAATGGGGAGAAGGATGATGTGGTTATGTGGGGTGATGGAGGGGAGGGGAGGTTGGGGGTGGGGTATAGGGGGGGAGGGGTGGTTTAGGGTAAGTTAGATGATGGGGGGTGTGTGGTTTGTGTGGTGGGAAATGTGAGGGGGGGGTAAAAGGGGGTAGAAATATGGTATGGGGAAATATGTAGTTAAGAGAATTAGAATATTTGGAAGGAAGTAAAGAATGTTGGGTAAATTAATGAGTGAGGGGGATGGTGTATATTAAATGGAAGAAAGAGAGTGATGGGTTGGTGAGATTTGGATATGGGGGGAAGTTAGAGGATAATGTGATTTATGGTAATTTTAGGGTAGGGTTAAGGGATGATGGGGGGTGGAGTTGGGAGGGGGGTAAAGGATGGTGTGAGGGAGATGGAGGGGGGGGGGGGGAGTTTAAAATGTAGGTTAGGTGATTTTGGGTTGGTGGATGGGGGGGTTTATTTGATGGGTTAGGGGGGGGGTGGGAATAGGGGATATGTTTGGGAATTTGTTTTGGATGATTTCTATAGGGTGGGAGATATGTGAGGATGTACCGATGGGATAATGACGGATATTTTCAGGAGTAAGGGAGGTGGGAAGGGATGGTTGTTTAGGAAATTGGAATTGTTCAGGGTAGGACATGAGTAAGGGTTTACTCTGTGTGGAAGTGTAGGTTAAATTAGAGCTGAAGAAAGGATGTTTGTTATAGGATTTTGTGTAACATGGAAAAAGGTGAGGGATGCGGCAAGAGAATGATGTGAGGGGGGATAAGGGGGAAGGAGAAAAAGGGGATTTAGGGTAGGTTGACGATATATGCTGAATATGGAGGGTGGATAGTGGTGTTATATTTAGGGAGGGGTGGTGGTGTGAGGGGGGTTGGTGATGAAGGGGTTCGTGGTATTAGATTTATATTGGGGGAGTTAGAATGGTCAAAGAGTTGTGTGGGTATTTGGTAGTGGGGATGAAAGGCTATGGGGGGAGGAGGGTTAGTTATTAATTAGGGGGGTTATAATTTTTATAGTATATGGGGGGGTAGGGGTATTTACAATTGTTGGGATGGTTTTTTTAGGGAGAGGGAGTAGGTTTAAAGGGGGTGTGGATAAAATAGAAGCAGTTTATAAGTGTATTTATGGAAATGGTTTGGGGTAGTGAGAATGTGAAGTTAGGGAAAATGAAGGATAGAGGGTTGAGGGGGGAAAGGTATGAAGGAGGTGAATGGGAAGGGGAAGTAGTGGGTTATTGGGGTTAAGTATATGGTGATTGGGGAGGGAATGTTAAGATGATGGTTATAGGGGGGGGTTGTGGGTGTATTGGATGATTATGTGTTGATGGGTGTGGGAGATTTTGGGTGATGGAAATGTTATGGTGATAGGGGGTGGGATGGGTGGGGGGGGAGGAGGAGTTATTGGGGGTTTGGATTGAGGGGGGGGGGAGTATTTTAATATGGGATTTTTTGTATATGTTTGGGGTGAAGGTATTTGATTATGATTATATGTTATGGGGGTGTATGGGTTAAAAAGGGGGTTGGTTATGGGGATAGTGGGGGAAAAAGGAGGGGGTGGGAATAATAGGGGGAGGTTGGGTTTAAATTGGGGTAGATTTGTAATTTGGAAATGAGAAGGGGATGGAGGATATTATGGGATTATGGGATGGTTTTGATAAGGTTGTTATTATATTGATTTGAGGGGAATATAGTTGGGTTTGTGGGATGTTTTGGGGATTGTTTTGAGGGATTTATGGGTAGAGGGGGGGGGGAATGGGTATTATTGGGGTTTGTGGTGTTTGGGAGGGGGGGGGGGGGAATGGGGTTTTGGATTGTGTAAGATTTAGGGTGGTTTTTGGGAATTGGATGGAGTGGGTGTATTGGGAGAGAGTTTTTAGGATGGAGTGAAGAAAAAAAGGGGGGGGGAGAGGTTGGGAGGTGAGGTTGGGGTTTATGGGGGGGGGGGGGGAGGATGTGTTATGATGGGAAGGGTGGGGGGGGGGGGGGTGAATATGGTGGATGAATGTAGATTTGTTGATGTGATGTTTTTGGTGTTTGGTGGTTGGTTTTTGGTGGGGGGTATGTGTGTGAGGTATGTTGATGTGGATTGGGGTTTTTTTTATGTTAGGATGTGGGGAGGTTGGTTGGGGGGGGTGGGGGGAGTATGGGTTATGATGATTGTTGGTGATGTGGGTGGGTAAGGGAGTTCGGAGGGGAATTGGGGTTTGTGAGGGGTGTGTTTGGGTTTTTATGGTTGGTGAGGGGGGAGTGGGTTATATATATGGAGATTGGGGGGAAGTTTTGGGGGTTTATAAAGGGGTGGAGGGTAGAATGTGGATGTTGGGTGGATGATATGGGGATGGGGGGGGGGGGTAGGGGTTGGATAGGGAATGGTAGTATGGGGTATGGGGGGGGGGGATAAGGGGGGGGGGGTGATAAAAAATGGGAGGGGGTATGGTGGAGGGGTGGAGGTGGGGGGAAGGTGGGAGATGTTGGTTTATGATAGAAAAAAAGGGTTAGAGGGTTATTATGGGGAATGGGTGGAATGATTATGGAGGAGTAAGGTGAGGGGGGGGGGGGGGGGTTTAAGAGGTATGTGAGAGGTTAGGGGATGGTTTTGGATTTGGGTGGATATTGTATTTGGGTTTGTGGAGGATGGTGAGGGTGAATATGTGGATAGAATATTATTAGTAGGGGGTTGGATGGATAGAGGAGTATGAGGGGGTGGGGGGTAATGTTTGTTGTTTATGGTTTTGAATGGGGGGTGGGTTGGGGGGGGGTTATTTAATGTTTTGGGGGGGAGGAGGGGGTAGGAAGGTAGGAGTGGATGGGAGGGTTGGAAATAGGATAGTAGTAAGGGTTTAGGGAGATGATGGGGGTAGTGGATGTGGGGGTGGGGGGTGTAGGTGGGGTATGGGGAGGGGTATGGTGAGAGAGGGGGGGTTGTATGGGAGTGGGGGTGTAAGGGGGAGGTTGGTATAGGTAGGGAGATATGGGTTGAGAATGTTGATGTGGGGGGAAGGGAGTTGGTGGTAGGGGGGGGGGTTGGAGGAAGAGGGGTTTGGTGGGAGAGAGGTAGGTTACTAGGGGTGATAAAGTTATGGTAAAGTAATGGTGAGAAGGAGGGTTAGATGGTTGGTGGTGAGGGGGGGGGAGGGGTATAAAGATAGTATATAAATAAGGGGGGAGAGGGGGTAGAGGGGGTAGGGTGGGGGGAGGGGGAGTGGGTGGAGGAGAGGGGTAAAGGGTGGGGGTGGGAGGGGGGGGTGTGGGTGAAGTAAAATTGGAGGTGGGATGGAGGCTAGGGGGGGGGATTTGGGGGTTATGGGGGGGAATTATGGAAGGGGTAAAGAGGGAAGAAAGTGGTTAGGAGGGAAGGTGGGGGTGAGGGGGGAAATATGGGGGGTTGGGGTGAAAAGGTGGATGTTGGGTTATGGATTGGGAATGGGGGAGGAGGTGGGGGAAGGGGGTGGGGTTGGGGTGTGGGAGGATGTAGGGGGGAATTTAAGATGGGTATGGGGGGGAATAGGGAGGGATGGGGGGTGGGAGAATAGTTGAAAGGAGAGGGGGTGGGAGGTTAAGGGGAGAGGTGGGGGGGGTTTTATGTGGGGAAAGGGGTGAGGGTAAGGGTGAGAGAAATAGTAGTATGGGGATATTGTGGATTGAGAGATGGGGGTAAGTTGGAAGGTTGAGGAAATAATGAGTAGGATTGTGGGGGATAGTGGGTTGGGGGAGAATGATTAGAAGGGGTGTAGTTTGGGTAAGGAGGGGAGGGGGTGGAGATGGATATTGGGGGGGATTAGGGAAAAGAGATAGTAGAATTGGGTGGGAGTAGTTGTGGGGTTGGGGGGGGTGAATAGGGGATGGGGATAAGGAAATGGAAGAAGAGGTGATGGGGGGTGAAAGGGAGTAGTGGGGGGGGATGGGAGGGTATTAGAGGATTGGGGGGAGGGGTTTAATATGTAGGTGTAGGGTGTTTTATAATGTTTGTTTTTATAGGTTATTGTTTTTAGCAGTTTTTGGGGGGGTATTTTGTGGTTAGTTTTGGGGGGATATGTGATGAAAGGGATGGTAGGGGGAGGTAGGTAGAGTTGAGGGAGATGAGGGTGTTTATGGTATTGGAATTATAAGTGGGTGTGGTGGGTTTAGGGTGGGTTGGTGATGGGGAGATTGTAATGGGTGGAAGGGGGGATATTGGTGGGGAGGGAGGAGGAAGGTTTTTTGATTGAAGATAAAGAAAGTGGAAAGATTGTAGTTAACGTGAAAAGTTTTTGAAAGTAATTGGTTGGGGGGGGTGTTGTGGGGAAATAAAGGGTATGGGTTGAAATAAATGAGGTGGGAAAGGGGGGGGGTTAGATAGATATATAAGGAAAGTGGGATGGTTGAATGTGGGGAGGAGGTTGGGGGGGGGGGTAGGAATAAAGGTGAATGGGAGGGGGTTGGGGAAGGGGGGAAGAGGGGGGTAAGGTTTGATGGATTATTTTATTATGGTGGGTGGAGGGTATGGATTGAGGAGAGGTTGTATAGAAGGGTGGGGGTTTATTGTGTTTATGGGGGGAGTGTGTTAGGGGGGATATATTAGGTAAGGTTATGGTTGTTTGTATGGTTGGGGGATTTGATGGTGGGAGGGGTTTTGATGTTTTATTTGTTGGGGGATGTTTTTTTTGTTTTTTGTTTTGTAATTGGTGCAAGTGGAAAGTAAGGGAAAGTAGGGCGAGTAGGTAGTGTGGGAAAAGTAAAGGAAAGTTAGAGGGAAGAAGAGAGGGAAGGGAGGAGGGGAAGGATAGGGGAAGGAGAGGGAAGGATTAGGGAAGGAGAGATAGGAAGGATAGGTGAAGGAGAGGGTGAAAGGGATAGGGAATGAGAGGGGATATGGGGGGGTTTTGAGTTAAAAGTGGATATTGAAATGGGTATTGTAATGTCTTGTATTGTATTGTATTTGGTGGAGTGGGGTGGTACGGGGTAATTATGATGGATGAGATTGTAGGTTAATTTAATGGGGGTTTGATAATTATATTGGGATGATGTAGAATATGGGTTTTAATATGTTTTTTGGATTTGATCAAGTAATGTTTTTTGGGAATTATAGGGTTGTTTGGGGGTTTGGGGGAAGTGATGATAATTAAAGGGAGGGGGGTATAGATAGGAAATATTGTAAAGAAAGATATATTGGGGATTTTTAGAGGCATTTTAAATGGGGTTTTTAGGGTGTTTAAGGGGGGGGGGGGTGTTATGGTTTAAATATGGGTGGGGTGAAATGGAGTGGTTTGGGAAGGATGGTGGGGTGGGTATTATTGTGTGTTGGGAGAGGGGTTTAATGTAGATGATGGGTAGGGGTGGGAGGGGGTGGGTATGGGTATGGATGTGGGATGTGTGTTTGAGGATGTTGTGATTGGGGGAGGGTTATTTTAATTATTTTTATTATTAATTTGGAGTTATGGATTGGGTTGGAAGGGTTATTGTTGGAATTGTGTGGGGGTTGATTAGATTTAGTATTTAGTGGATATTAAAGGGAGGAGGGGTTTGATTTTAATGGGGGGGGGGGGGGTGGGGTGAATGTAGGGGGGGGTTGTTAGGGGGATAAGTTTGGGAGGAGGGTGGATAATATTGGAGAGGGGGGGGGTAATAAGGGGAAATTATATAGAGGTGGGGAATATGGGATGGTTGGTGGAGGGTGATGGAATGGGTATGTATGTTGGGGGTGTTATGATAGGGGGGGGGAAGTTGGAGGGGTTGTGGGAGTGGAAGTTGGGATATTGGTTGATGGTTGTAGGGGGGGGTGTGGGGGAATGTAGGGTTGGTAGGGTATGATTTTTTGAGTTTGTTGGAGGGGTGTGGTGGGGGGTGGGGTTATGGTGTGAGTGGGGTGGGGGGGGGAATTTAGATTGAGGGATGGTTGGGGGGATAAATGTGGGTTGGGTGTGGTTGTTAGGGTGGGTGTTGGGGGGGGGGGTATTGAGGTGGATGATGAGGTGGGTATGGGTTTTATGGTTGTTAGGGGTTTGGTTTGGTAGGTAGGAGGGGGGGAGGAGGGGGAAGGAGAAGGGTATAGTTTATTATGTGATTTGGATTTTGAATTTAAAGAGGGGTGTTGTTTTTTAGATTATTGTTTGGTATTGTTTGTTGGAAAGGGGGGGGTGTTAGGAGGGTGGGGGGGGGGGTGGGAAGGTGATTGGGGATAATTTGAGTTTTGTGAGTGTTGTTTGTATATGTATTGAATTATTATAGGGGGGGGGTGTATGAGGATGTTGGATTTTGGGATGAGGAAAAGGATTGGATGGGGGGTTATGTAATAATTGGAAGGAGGAGAGGGGTTTATGGGTTGAATGTTGGGATGGGGGGGGGGTTAGGGGGGAGATTGTTTTTAGATGGGAGTTGATATATATATTAAGTGGGAAATTAAGGGTGGATGGTAGGTGTTGTGTATATTATGGGGGGATTGAGTAGGGGTAGTGGGGGGAGGGATAGAGTTGGTTTGGATTGGTAGTTAGGTTATGAGGTGAGGGAGGGATTTGGAGGAGTTAGTTAATGGTATTAATATTAGGGGTGAGGGGGTAAGGGTTAAAAAAAAAAAAATGATGGGGGAAAAGTTTTGATATGGAATGGGGAGAGGGATGGATTAGTTAATTTAAGAATGTTTATTATTGGTGTGTTGGGTTGGTGTGTGGGGATGATTGTGGGGTAGGTGTGGGGGGATAAGGGAGGGTGATAAATTGGTGGTATGAGGTTGGTTAGTGGTAAGGTGTGTATGAATTGGTTATGAATTTGGGGGGGTGGGGTATAGGTGTGTGGGGGTGTTTTGGGGGGGGGAGTAGGGGAGAGGGGGTGGAAGATGATTTTGGGGGGGTGGGGGTGAGGGGTTGGGGTAAGGGGGGGGGGGGTTTGTTGGGGAATGGGTTGGGTATTGGGGGGGGGGGGGGGGGGGGGGGTGGTTGGGGGGGGTGGGTGGGATTTGATATGGGTTGGGTTTGAATGGAAAAGATGGGGAGGATGAGGATGAAGGATTGAAGGATGTGGATGAAAATTATATGAGGAATGAGGGAAAAGTAGGGGGGATATAGTAGGGAATGATGGAATTTAATAATTGATGTAAGGATAAGATGGAGAGGAAAGAGGATGAGGGGAATGAATTAAAGAAAGGGGGGAAGGGATAGAGTTGGAGGTATTATGGGATAATGGGATAAGGGGGAGATTTAGGGTGGGATTTGTAAGGATGGTTGATATGGGGGGTGTGGGAGATGAGGTTGGATGAGAGAAGATTATTATTATTAGGGTGGTGGTTGGGGTTTTGGTGTGGGGTTGGTTTGTGGGTTGATTGTTGATTTGTGGGTGTTGGGTAGGGGTGATGGATGGGAGAGTAGGGGTGGTATGAGGGGTTTGGTGTAGGGGGAATGGATGTGTAGGGGATTTGGGGGGGGTGGGTGGGGTGGGTGATTGATGTGGTTTGTGGTGGGTGGTTGGGGGGGGAGGGGGGGGGGAAGTGGGGATTGATGGTATTTGGGGTGGGGGGGGTTTTGTGGGTTGAGGGGGGGGTGGTTTGGATGGTGGGTTGGAAGGGTTGGTGGGTTGTAAAGGATGGTTGGAAGGATGAGGGTGAAGGGGAGTGTTAAGAATGTTTGAAAATAAATTTTGTTATATGGAGGGTATATGATTGGATGGGAGGGTTAAATTTATGGATGTGTTTTGGATTTGTATTGGGGGGGTGGAGTTGATATGTGGATTATGGTGGATATTGGGGTGATAGAGTGATGGGGTATGATTGGGGGGGGTGGGGTTGGGAGGGGGTGTAGGATGTTGGGTTGGAAGGTGGGTTGAGGGTGTTGATGAAGGGGGAATAGAAGAAGTAAGAAGAAGATATTTGATGGATGGAAGAGTTGGGGGGTTTGGGAGTGGGGGGTGGGGGTTGGTTTGATGATGAAGGGTAAGGGTGGGGGGGGTAATAGGTGGGGGGGGGGGGTTTGGGGGGATATTGTATAATGGGGGGGGGGGTGGGATGGGTGTGGGTGTAGAGGGTTGTATGTGAGTGGGGGGTGTTGGGGATGGGATGGTTGGTGTGGGGTTATTGTTTTTTGTGGTTAAAGGTGAGGGTTTTGGGGGGGGTTTAGGTGTTGGGGTTTGGGGTTATGTTTGGGGGTTGTGAGGGGGGGGGGGGGGGGTTGTGTTTAGGGTTGGGTTATATGGGTTATTTTATTTTTGGTTTAAGGTTGGGAGGATTAGGGGGATATGGTGTTATTGGATGGGGGGGGGTGGATATGGTAATGGGATGGGGAGTGAGGATGGGGGGGGGTTGGTGGATGAGGGAGTTTTATTAGGGGGGGGGGGAGGGTTGGGGATGGGGTATGAGATTGTGGTGGGGGGGGATGGGGGGGGTAAGGGGGTGTTTTAGAATTTTAAGAATGTGGGTTTATATTTGCGGATGGATGGGAGGGTTAGAGTGGGGGTGATGGGGGGGGTTTGAGTATGTGGGGGTGGGATGGGGGATATGGGGTTTGGGAGGGGGGTGGGGGGGTTTGGTTTGGATGTTGGTTTTTTTGGGGTTGGGAGGTATGGGAGGTATTGTATGTGGGGGGGAAGGAATGGTTTGTGGAGGTTGCAGAGAGGTTATAAAGAGAAGATGGAGGATAGGTTTGAAGGAATGGGGGGAGGATTTTGGAGGGATAGGGGTGGGAGGTAATTAGTATTGTGTTGGAGATAGGATAATTTTTATGAGTGTTATGATGGAGGGAGTTGAGGGGGGGGTGGTTATGAAGGATATGTAGGATAAAGATGTATATGGTGGAAGGTGGGTAGGGGAAGGAGGATGAGATTTGAGATAGGAGAATTAGGTGTGGAGAAATGGTGGAAAGGGTTTGTTTAGAAAATTGGTATTTTGGGGGATATGATGTGGGGTGGGGGAAATAGGGGGGTAATATGGTGAGGGGGGAAGGATGATGAGGAAGGGGAGATGGGAGGTATTGGGTGGTGTATATTATTTAGGGGGGGGAGGGGGAGAGGTATGGAAAGTAAGGGGGAGGGTTATTTGGGGGGGGTAGGAAGTGGTTGGTGTTGGGTAAAGTGTTGTAGAGAGGGGGGAGGTAGGATGGGAGGGTGTAGTGGGGGGGGGTAGGGGGTGTGGGGGGATAATGGGTGAGGGATGGGTGAGTGGTTTGAGAGGGGGTTATGGAAGATTTGTTTGATAGGATTAGGTATGATGAGGGGTGGTTTAGTGTGGTTTTGTGTGGGGGTAATATGAATGGAGTGAAAGGGATAGTTTGGGGAGAAAGAAAGGGGGGGGGGAATTGGAGAAAAATTGGGGGAGATAGGGGAAATAGGGGGGGGGGTTGTGGGTGGAAGGGGGGTGGATGGGTGGGGAGGGGGGGGGGGTATGGGTGGGGAATTATGTTTGGTGGGGGGGAGTGATGGTATAGGGTTAATGATATTATGGGTGGGTATGGGAGGAGGGGGGGGGAGGTATGGGGGGATGGGGGGGGGTTAAGGGGGGGTGAGAGTAAAGGGGGGGGGTGGGATTGGGGGGTGGGGTTGGAAAGAGTGTGTAGGAGGGGGGTAAATTAGTATATTGTAGTTTGGGGTTGGTGGGGTGGGGTATGGGTTGGGGTTGTAGGTGGGGGGTTGGGGGGGAGGAGGGATTAAATGAAATGGATGGAAAGTGGAATGGGAAAGTATGGAAAAGTATGAAATGATGGAAAGTGGAGGAAAGTGGATAAAGTGGATGGAAATGATGAAAGGTGATGGGAAAGTGGGAGGGGAAGAAGGGAAAGATAGGATAGAGAGGATGAGGAAGGAAGGAGAGGGGAGAAGGGGGTGGGGGAAGGGGGGATGGGGGGGGGTTGATTATTGTGGGGGGTTGGTGGGGAAGTATGTGGGGTTGTGGCTTTTGGGGTGGTAGGTTGGGTTTGGGGAAGGTTGGGGTATATTGGTGGTTTTTTGGGGGTGTGTGGGTGTTATAATTTAAGAGGGGGAAGTATGAAGGGATGATTGGAATGGTTAGATATGAAAGGGGGGGAAGGGGGTTGGAGTAGGGGAGTAGGGAGGTTATATAGTTAGGTTATGTTTGGGTGATGGGGGGGGGGGTAGTAGTTTATATGGATTGGGGGGGGGAGTTTATGGATTGGGGGGGGTGGGGGGTGGGAGTATTGATTGGGGTTTGATGGGGGGGGAGGGAGGAGGGAGGGAGAGGGAAGTAATGGTGTATTAAAGGTTGGGGGGAGGGGGAGGTGTAGGGAGAGGGGGAGGTGGTTGGTAGGGGGAAGGGAAGGGGGGAGGAGGGGTGGGGGATGGGAAAGTTAGTTATTGGGGGTGGTTATATGGGTTGATAAGGGGGTGGGTTGGTTTGTGTTAGTGTTTAAGATGTGATAGATGGTGTTAAGAAGGGGGGGGGTTGGGGTAGGGGGTGTTTGGGGGTGGGTAATTGAGGGGGGTGGAAGGTTGAGGTAGGATGGGAGAGAGGGGGATAAGGGGTGGTTAGGGTATAGGGGTGGAGAGGGGGGTGGGGGGGGATGGGGGGGTTGTGTGAGGGTGGGGGGGGGTGAGGTGGTTGGATGGGGGGATATTTGTAGGAGGTGGAAATAGGTTTATAAGTGTGATATGGTGAGTTAATATTGGAGTTTGGTGGTTTGGGTTTGGGATGGGGGGGTTTGGGGGGAGATTATGGTATGTGGTGGAAATAATATGGGGGGTGAGAAGGGTGTGGAGAAAATAAGGGATGTTTGTAGTTTTGTTGGAAGTGAGGGAGATAAGGGGATGTGGGGTTGGGGTGTTTATTGAGAGTGGGAATTTAGGGGGGGTTGGAGAGGGGGGGGGGATAGGGATAGAGGGTTGGGGATAGGTGAGAGGATGTGGGTATAGGAAGGGGGGGGGTGTGGAAATAGAAGGTAAAGAAGGGGAGAAAAGTTGAGAAAGGAAGGTTGTTAGGGTGAAAGAGTGAGGGTGGTGAATGAAAGAAGGGGGAAATGGGGGGAAGGGTGGAGGGATTTAAAGTGGGGATGGAAAGAAGAATAGATGAAAGAAAAAGATGATTTGAAAGGGGGTATAGGATGAGGTAGAGTAGAGAGTGGGTGACTTGAATAGTAGTGGTTTTAGAGAAGTTTGGTTGATGGGAAGATGAGTTGTGAAGGGGAATAAGAAGGGGAAGGGGAAAGGAGGTAAATTGGGGATGAATTGGATGGAAGATGTAGGGGGGTATGAATGAGATAATAAAGGAGATAAGAATAAGGGATGATGGATATGATGTGAATGAAAAAGATAAGGGGGGGGAGAATAGAAAAGGTATATATGAGTGGGGAGAAGGGGTGAGGGTGTGGATGAAAAAAGAGAGAAGAGAATGGGGGATGAGGAAAGATGGAGAGGGGAGGAGGAGGGGGTTAAAGAGGGGGGGGAATGGGAAAAAGTGAGAAGGAAAGTGGGAAGGAGAATTAGGAATAGAGGAGAAAGTAATAGAGGGTGGTGGGGGTGTGGAATTATGGGTGTATAGAAAGGAGGTTAGAGGGGATAGAGGTGGGGTGGAAAGTGAGTAGGGTAATGTAAGGTGATGTAGGAGAAAGAAAGGAGGAGTAAAGGAAGTGTAAGGGGGAATTGGGGGGTGAAGGGATGGGGGGTTGTTAGTAGGTTTAGGATGATGAATGTTGGGAAGGGTTGTTATGGGTGGGGTGAGGGGGAATAAGAAGGATTGAAGAAGTGGTGAGGGGGGTGGGAGGGGGAATTGAAAGTAGGGTTGATTGGTAGGAAAGTTTGAAGGGGGGGGGGGAGAGGAGGTGGGGGTGAATGAGTATGGATGGAAGGGGTGAGGGGGGAGGGGTTGTAGGGGAAAGGAGGGGATTAGGGTAGTGGAAGTGAGGGGAATTAGGTGGTATAAAATTTATGTGTAGGTGATGAAGGGTGGGGGGGGTATATGAGAAGGGGGGGGGGGATGAGGGATAAAGTGGGGGGGAGGGTAGGGGGTAGAGGGGTGAAAAAGAGGTAAATTTAAGGGATTGAAAAAAGGTAAGAAGGGAGATAATGTTAGGGGGGGTGTTTGTAGGGGGATTTAAAGGGTGAAAGGGAAGGAGGGAGGGGATGGTAATGGATTTATAGTTAGGGGGGAGGTAGAAAGGAGTAAGGTAGTTTGGTATATTGGGTGATATGGGGTGGAATTGGGTTAGGGGGGGGGGGAGAGATAATAGATATTTTGGGGGGGTTTTTTGAGATTTTTAGTTTTATTTTATGTATGGATGGGTGTAGGGAATTAGAGGGAATTGAGTTTGGAGGGAAAGGGGTTTTGATTGATTAATATGGTTGAGTAAGGGTAGGTGGGGTTTTAGGGATGGATGTGGATGTGAGAGTGGGGGTTATTTAATGGGTTGGTTGTTGGGGTGATAGGAGGTGTGGAGGTGGTGTGGAGGTTGGAGGGGTTTTATTGGGGATGGGTAATTTTGGATGGTTTGGGATGGGATTTTGTTGAGTATAATAATGGGGGTTGGAGTTGAAGTTGTATGTTATTTTGGGGGGTGGGGATTGTAAGGATGGGGTGTGTGGTGATAGGGGGGGGGGGGGGGAGAAATGTGGTTGGAAAAGGGGGGGTTTGGGATGAGGGGGGGGGGGTGGGTGTGGGAGGGTTTTTGGGGGTTATTTTGATGGAGGATTAGAGGGGATGGGAAGGTAAGATAATATGGGATGGGGATGGGGTTGGGTAATGGGGTAGGGTTAGTGGGGATGGAGGGGATATGTGGGGGGTGTGGGGGTGGGTGGGATGGGGTGTGGTTGGGGGGTATGGGGGGTGTTGGGGGTGGGGTATTTTTGATTTGGGGTGGAGGAGGAGGGGTGGGGGTGTAAGGGGGGGATGATGGAGTTTAGGGGGGTGGGGAAAAATAAATATGATGGGGGGGATATAGAGGGGTAAGAGTTTGTATGTGGGGGGGGGTTGGGGTTGAATTTGGGGTTGGGTGGGGGGTGGGGGGAGGGGATTGATGGGAGGGGGTGGGGGGTATGGGGGGGGGGGGGGTTAGTGTTTTTTTTTATGGAATAATGAGGGTGGGTATGGGGGTTTGTTGTTTATGTAGGTTTATATGGGGTTATTGGGGGGGGGGGGGGGATGGGGTTGGATTTTGGGGGGGGGTGTTTTAGAATGGAGATTAGGGGTGGTGGGTGTTAGAGGGATAATAATGGGGGAGGGGGGTAAGGGGGAGGGTAAATGGGAGAATGGGGTAGGGGTTTTGTGGGTGTAATGTTTTTTGAAAATGGTAGTTGGGATGTAGAGGGATGGGATATGGTTGGGATTGGGGGGTGGGGAAGGGGTGGGGGAAGTTAGGGTGGGGGGAGTTGGGAATTGGGAATGGAATGGTGTTTGAGGGTTTGTGGGTGGGGGGGGGTTGGTTAAGGGGGGAGTAGTGTTATGGTGGTTTGGTGGGGGAGGGGTATGGTGGGGGGTGGGGGGAAGGGGTTTTTGGGGAGGGGGGGGGGGGTGGGGGATTATGGGGGGGGGTGTGTGAGGGTTAAAATAGGTTTTGGGGGGAAAAGTTGGGGAAGAGTTGGAGTGGGGGGGTTGGGTGAGGATATGGGGGGATTGGGGTATGTGGGTATTGGGGTGGATGGTATTAGTGATATGAAATATGGGATAGTGTTATTTGGGGGGGAGTATAATGTTTTGAGGGGGGGGTGAGTTAGATTGGGGGATAAGGTGGAGGGGGGGTTTAAGGGGGGATGTTTTGTTGATGGTGGAGGGTGAGATGAATATGGGAAGGGGGGTGTGGGGAAAGAGGTTTGGGTGGTTGGAAGAAGGTGATGGGGGGGGGGGGTAAGGATTGGGTAGTTTTTGTGGTTTTTGGGTGAGGGGAGGATTGGGTTGGGGTGTGGGTTAGGTGTGGGTGTTTGTTTGGTGGTTGTGTTGGTTTGTTGGTGGGGTTGGGGGGGGGGGGGGGGGGGGTTGGTAGGTGGTTGGTATTTGTGGGTGGTGGGGGGGTTTGGTGGGGGGGTGTTTGGTGGGGGTTGGTGGGGGGGGGGGGTTGTTTGTTTGTGGGTGGTGGGGGGTTAGTGGGGTGTGGTGGGGGGTGTGGGGGTATTGGTGGGGGGGGGTGTTTTTTTTTTGGTGTGGTTTTGGTGTGTTGTGGTTAGTGTGGGGATGGGTAGGTTGGTTAGTGGGGGGTGGGGGGGGTTGGGGGTTGTGGGGGGGGGGGGGTTGGGGGGGGTGTGGGGGGGGAAGGGGGGTGGGTTTTTGGGGGGGGATGGGGTAATGGGGTGGTTGTTGGTTTTGTGGGTTGGGGGGGGGGGGGGGTGTGGGTGTTGGGGGTTTGTGAGGGGGGGGGGGTGTTATGTGGTTGGTTGGGGGTTGTGGGGTTGTGTGTTGGGTGTTGGGGGTAATGGTAGGGGGTGGTTTTTGGGGTGGTTGGTTGGTGTTGGTGGGGTGTAGGTGTGGGGTTGGGGGTGGTGGGTTGGTTTTGGTATGGGGGGGGGGGGGGTTTGAATTGTGGTTGTAGTTGTTAGTGATTGTGTGGTAGATTGGGGTGGGGGGGTGGGTGTTATGTTATTTGGGGGGTGGGGAGATGGATTGGGGGATTTATGGTGATGGGGGTTGGGGTGGATTTGTGGGGATAGTATGGAGTTTGGGGGATGTATTTTATTTTGATGGGGGGTGGGGGGGGGGGGAAAATTGGATTTGGGGTGGTGGTGTTGGGGGTTGTGGATGGAGTAGTGTAAGTTGGTTGGATGTATTGATGGGTTTGGGGGGGGGGGGTTGTTGGGGGGGGTTAGATTGTAAGTGTGGGTTGTGTGGAATATGTTTTAGGGTTATGATTATGAGGGGGTATGAGGTGGTGATGGGGATAATTGGGGGGTTTGTGTGGGGGTAATGGATGTAGGGTGGTGGAGGGAATGGGATGGGGGGGGGGGTGAATATAGTGTTGTTGGGATTTGGATGAGGTTGTGGGTATGTATGTGGAGAGGTTGGAATTGTTTGAGATGATTGTGAAGGGTATGGGGGTTAATGGTGGGGTGGTAATGTTGGTGAATGGAAAGATGGGGTATGATAGGGGATAGGGGTGATGGAGTATGTGGTTGTGTGGGGTTTTTGGAGAGGGAGGGGGGGTATTGAGAGATAATTGGAAGGGGATAATTTGTATGGTGTATGGGGGGGGGATGTTAAGGAAAGGTTGAGGTGGGGTGATAGGGGTTGGGGGGGAAGAAGGGGAGGGGGGGGGGTAATGTGGTTTAATTGTATGGGGGGGTGGAGGGAGGATTGATATGGATGGAGTTGGTGTAGGGGTTAGTGAGTAAGGGTTTTGGGGGGTGGGGTGGAAGTAGAGATTGGGGGATTTGAATGGGGGTTTGGTAGGGGAGGGGGAAGGGGGAAGTGTAGTGAGGTTGGGTGGGGTTGAGAAGGGAGTTGGGATGGGGGGGGGGGGGGGGGGGGGGGGGGGGGGGGGGGGGAGAGGGATAGTGGGTGGGGGGGTTTGGGGGGGGGGGGGGGGGGGTTGGGGGGTTTGGGGGTTGGGGGGGGTGGGAGGGGGGGTGGGTTGGGGGGGTGGGGGGGGGGTGAGGGGGGGGGGGGGGGTGGGGTTGGGGTTGTTTTTATGTTGGAATAATGAAGGAGGGAGGGAAGGGGGAGGGGAAAGATTGGGGGGGGGGGGATGGGGGGTATTGGGGTGGGAAGGGGGGGGGTTTGGAAAGGATGATGAAAGAGTGGTGTGAATAAATTAGTGGGGAGGGTATGAAAGGGGGAAGTAGGGGTTGGGGGAAAGGAGAGTTTAGGGGTGGAGAGGGGAGATTTGGGTAGTGGGGGGATTTTAGTGGGGGGGAAAGGGGGGGATGTAGGAGAGGAATATTAAGAGGGGTATAAATGAGGGGATGGTAGTGGGAAGATGTTAGGGGATTTGGGTTTGGGGGGGGGGGGGAGGGGGGGGAGGGGGGGGGGGGGGATGGGGAGGGTGATGTAGTGAAGATTTAAGTGGATGTGGGGTTAGGGGGGGGGGGGGGGGGGAAAAGAGGGGTTGGAAGTTTGGGGATAGTGTGGATGGTTTGAGGAAGTGGGGGGGGGGGATGGTATATGGTTTAGGTGTTTTGGGATGGTATGGGGTTATGTTTGTGGGGTTAGGTGGGGGGGGGGTTTGGGGGGGGGGTTGGGTAGGGATGTGATGAGAGGGAGTTTGAAGGGAGATGTTTATTAGGTGTGTGTATTGTGAGGGTGAGGGGAAGAGAGGTGGTGGGGGAATATTTATGGTAGGTGTTTTATGTTGGGTTTTGTTAAGGTTAGGGTTTTGAGTGATATTGGGATTTTTAGTTGTATAAGTGGGGGGGTTGTAGGGGGAGGGGGATGGGGTTAAGGGGGATATAGGAGGTAAAGAGGGATGGGTATTGGGGGGGGTATATAGTGGGGGAGGTTTTGAAGGATGGTTTGGGGGGTTATTGTGATGGGTTTTATGTTGAATTGGTGTTGGGTTGTTGAGGGGGAGGAATAGGGGTAGGGGGGGATTAGAATAGAGGTTTTTTTAGATGTTTTGGGGGGGGGTGTGTGTGTGAATTAGAAATAGAGTGATGGTTTATGTGGGGTGTTGATGGTGAAGGGGGGGGTTAGTATTTTGGGGGAAAGGTGGGAGGGGGAGTTTTTGAGTGTAGTGATTATGGTTGTTGGGGAGTTGTTTTATTATGTGTGGGGGGGGGGGTATAGGGGGGGGGGGGGGGGGGGGGGTAGTTTAGATATTGTGGAATGGGTGGTGTTTTAAGTTTTGGGTTTTGTGTGATGGTGTATGGGATGTTGGGAGTATGGTGGGTGGTTGTTTTTGGGGGGGGGGGGGGGGGGGGAGGTTGATGGGTATTGAGTGGGGGGGATGATGGGAGGGGTGGGGGGGGGGGGTATGGGTTGGGGGTGGGGATTGAGGTAGGATATAGGTTTTGGAGTGGGGGGTGGGGGGTGGGGTTGGGAGGGGGGGGGTTTGGGGGGGGGATTGGGGTGAGAGGGGGTAGAGGAAGTTTGTGATGATTAGGGTTGGGGGGTAGAGATTTTGGGGAGATGGATTTGTTATGTTAGGAAGGGGTGTGGGTGAGAAAAAGAATTATGTTTATTTTTGGGGGGTGTGGTTTTTGGTTGTGGGTGTTGGGGGGTGGGTGGAGGGGGGGTTTTATGGGGAGGGGGGGTTGGGGGGGGGGGAGGAGTTTTGATTGGGGGGGGGTGGGAGGGGTGGTGGGGGGGGGTTATTGGGTTGATAAGTGGGTGGGAGTTATTTAATAATAAAATTTGTGGGTTGTTTGGAAAGTGGGTTGTGAGTGGGGGGGTTGGAATAGGTATGGATGATTAAGGGAATATTAGTTAATAGGTGATTAAGTATATAGGGGGATAGGGGGTGGGGTGGGGGTTGGGGTGGGTGGTTGGTGGGTGTTGGGAGTTTAGAGTATGGTAGTTGGGGAGAAGGTGGGGAGAGTGGGATGGGGGGGTGGGGTTTAGGAATTTTTGTTGATAGGGGGGGGGGTGGGAGAGGAGTGTTTGGGGGTTGTGGTGGGGTGGGGGGGGTGAAAAGAGTTGGAAGGAGGGGGTGGGGTAGTTAAGGAGGGAATAGTAAGGTATGTGAAGTGGGGGGTTGGGGAGTGTGGGAAGAGAATGGGGGAGGGGTAGGGAAGGGGGGTTTTGGGGGGGTGGGGGTTTTAGGGTAAATGGGGAGTTGGTGGGGGTGAGTTGTAATGGGGGGGAGGGGGTGTTGGTGAGAGGATTGGTTGGGATTGGGGTTGGGGGAGAATGTGGGGTGATATATGGGGGGGGGGGGGGGGGGGGATTGGGGTAGGGGTGGGGGTAGGAGGAGGGGGGGGGTTATGGGGGGATTTAGGATATGGTGGTTATTTAGGTTGTGGAGGGTTAAGGGGGGGTGTTGGGTGAATGGGTTGGGGTGGGGGATGGTGGGGGTTGAGTTTAGGTATAGGGGGAAGGGGGGGTGGAAGTGAGATGTGTGTGGGATTGATGTAGGATTGAGAAGGGGAGTAGTTGGGGGAGGGGTGGGTGTTGCGGGGGTGTATGGGATGGTAGGGATGGTTTAATATGGGTTATTAAAGTAAGGAGTTTAGTTGGAGGAGGGAGGTTAGGGGGTGGTTGGGTAGGGGGGAGGTATAAGTGGAATTGGGGAAGAGGATGTGTGGAGGGTGTAGGATTTGGAGGGTTAAAATATTTTAATTTGGGATTTGAGGTAGTGGGAGTGAGGGTTAGGTATAAGATAATGAGATATATATATATGATATATATGGGGAGTTGAGGGTAGTGAAGGAGGTGGGAGTGGTTAGGGTTATGTGGGGGGGAGATGTGGGGGGGGGATGTATGAGAGGGGATAAAAAGATGGGAGGATGAGGGATGGGTGAAGTGATTTATGGGGTGGTGAGGGGGAATTTGGAGTGAATTTTGGTGGGGTAAAGAATGAGGGGGGGGGGGGGTGTGATGTAGGGGTAGGTGGGTTAAGGGGGGAGGGAAGAAAATTTGGGATATGAATGTGGGGGGGGATTATGTTATTATAATAGGAGTGGATAATGGAATGTATTTTAATTATAATGAAGAGGAGGGTTGGGGTGGTTTTATGGTTTTGATAATTTTGTGTTTTTAGATTGGTTTTATGGTTTGATATATTTTTTGTATTGTATTGGTTTTAGGGATGTTGGTATATTTTATGGGGTTTTTTGTTTGTTGGTATTGGGATGGGGGAATGGTTTTGGGTGTGTTTTGAAGGATGGGGTGGGATAGGGGATGTATGTTTATGAGGGTTTAAGGGTGGGGGGTTATGGTATGTGGTTAGAGAAAATATGGGGATGGGGTGTGGGGGAAATGTGAGTGGAGGGATGGGGGTGAGGGGTTTAGAGAAGAAAATGGGGGGGGGAGTTAGAGGGGGGGGATAATATGTGGTTGGAAAGGGAGAAGAGTGAAGAAGGGGGGGGAGTGGTATAATTATGGATAGGAGTTGGTGGAGGGGGATTGGAAATGGGGTGTGTAGGGTTATATTGATGTGGGGGGAGGGGGGGGTTTTGAGTGAGGGGGTGAATATGGGTAATGGGGATTGTAAGGTTGGGTAAGGTTGTGTGGGGGATGTAGGAAGTGGAAGGGATGGTAGATGAGGAGGATGGTGGGGGGGGGGGTGGGGTTAGGGGATGATGAGGGGGTATTAAGGGTGGATGGGAATTGGGGGGGATGGTGGGAGTAAGGATGAGTTATTTGGAAGGTATTGTTTGAGAATTGGGAGGATAAGGGGTGAGTGTGGGAGTTAGGGGATTGGGGAGGATTGGGGTTTTTGGTGGGGGGGTGGGGGGGGGGGGGGGTGGGGTGGGGATGTGTGGGTGGGAGTGGATGTGGTAAAAAAATTTGGGGAGGGGTATGGTGGAGGTTGGTTGTGGGTTGGGTGTAGGGTGGGGGTAATTTGGGGGGTTTTTTTTTGTGTAGGGGGGGGTAAGATTGAGGGGGGGGAGGGGGGGGGGGTATTTTGGTATTGGGGGGGGAGGGGGGGGGGGGGGGGGGGGGAAGTGTAGGGTGTTTGGTTGGGGTTGAATGGGATAGGGGGGGTTCGGGGGGGGGTGTATGGTTGGTATTTGATAATGGGGAATGGGGAATGAGGATGGATGGGTGTATGTGGGAGGTGGGGGGAGGAGGGTGGGTTGGGGGGGGGTATAGGGGGGGGGAGGGGGTGGTTAGGTAAGTGTAGATGATGGGGGGTGGTTTGTGTGGTGGGAAAAAAAAAATGGTGAGTAAAAGGGGGGGTAGAATATGGGATGGGGGAATATGTGAGGTGTAGATGGAAGAATTGAGAATATTTGGTAGGGAAGTGAAGAAGATGGGTTGTAAAGTTTAGTATGAGGGGAGGGGAATGGGTATAATTAAATGGAAAGAGTTATGAGAGGATGGTGTGAGATGGGGATAGTGGGATTAGAATAGATTGAGTTATGGTTAATTTAGGGGTAGGGTAAGGATGATGGGGGGGATTGGGAGGGGGGGGTAAGATGGTTGAGGGAAAAAAAAAAAAAAAAAAAAAAAGATGGGGAGGGGGGGGGGGAGTTTTAAAGGTAGGGGGGTATGTTGATTTTGTGGTGGATGGGGGTGTTTTTTGGATGTTGGGGGGGGTGGGGCAATAGGGGGATTGATGGGGTGAAATTGGTTGGGGGGATGTGGATGTGGGAGTGTTGGGGTTTGGAAAGATGGGAATGTAGGGGGGGAGATGGGATGGGGTTGGGGAGGTTGTAGGAGGGGGGGGTGGGGATAGTGGTTTTGGGGAAGGGTAGTATGTGGGTAATGGGGTAAGGTGGGGGATGGGGGTTGGTTATTTAGGAGATGATAGGTAGGATGTTTGTGGTGGGGGATTGTTGAAAGAATATGGGGGTGGGGTGGTAGATTAGATTGGTGTTGAGGGGGGGGTAGGGGGGATGGTGAATATGGATTTGGGGTGGTGAGATTTTTGAGGAGAGGAGGGGGGGGGATGGGGGGTGTTTTAGGAGGGGGTGGGGTTGGGGGGGGGGGGGGGAAGGGGTAGGGGGATGAGGTTTTTAGGGAGTAGATGGTATAAGTTGGGTGGTGGTTTTGGAGTGGGGGATTAGTATGGGGGGAGGGTTGAGTAATTAGGGTTTTATGTTATATTTTGGGGGGGTAGAATTAAGAATTTTGGGGGATTTTTTGTATGGGGAGAGAAGGGGGAGTAGGGGTTAAAGGGTTTGGATAAATTAGATGAGGGTTTGTGGGATGTGGGGGGAAAGGGGGTTGGGGGGGGGGGGGGGGGGGTAGGAGGGAGAATAGGAAGGGGAGGGAAAAGAAGGATAGAGGAGGAGGGGAAAGGGTAAAGGTGGAGGGAAGGTGAATGGGGGGAAGGGGGAAGTAGGGGGTAGTGGGGTTTAAGGATAATGGGTGATTGGGGGAGGAATGTTATGGATGTTATAGGGGGGGGGGTATATGTGGGTGATTGGATGATTATGTTATGGTGGGGAGATTTTGGTGATGGAATGGTTATGGATAGGGGGGGGATGGGGGTGGGAGGAGGAATTTATTGGGTTTGGATGGAGGTGGGGGGGGGAGTGATTTTAATTGGGATTTTTTGTATATGTTTGGTGAGGTATTTGGAATATTAATAGTATGGTTATGGGGTGTAGTTAAAAATGGGGGTTGGTATGGGGATTGTGGGGAGGAAAAAGGAGGGTGGGGGGGGGAATAGATAGGGAGGTTGTTTAATTTGGGGTAGATTGTATGTTGAATGAGAAGGAGGGAAGGGGAAGGGAATGATAATTGTTATTATGGGTATGTTTTTGATAAGTTTTTTAGTTTATGATTGAGGGATATAGTATGTTTGTGGGATGGTTTTGGGGATTGTTTTGAGATTATGGGTAGGGGGGGAAGGGTATGGTATTGGTTATGTGGTGTTGTGGGAGGGGGGAATGGGTTTTGGGTTGTGTAGATTTAGGGTTTTTGGGAATTGGGGATGAGTGGGTTATTGGGGAGCAGAGTTTTTAGGGGGATAGTGAATAAAAAAAGGGGGGGGGGGAGAGGTGGGAGTGGATTGGTTTAGGGGGGGGGTGTGGGGGAGGAGTGGTGGGTTAGTGATTAAAGGTGGGGGGGGGGGGGGGGGGAATGAAGGGGGGGATGAATGTATGAGTTTTTGATGGTGATGTTGGTTGGTTTTTGTGGTTGGTTTTTGGGTGGGGGGTATGTGTGAGTATGGTTGATGAGAATTGGGGTTTTTTGTTAGATTGAGGGTTGGGGGGGGTGGGGTGGGAGTAGGGGTTATTTTGGTGTGGGATTGGGGGGGTTAAGGAGATAAGAGGGGAAGGGGGGGGGTGGGAGGGGGGGGGGTGTTGGGTTTTTATGGGGGGGGAAGGGGGGGGGAGGTGGGGTTATATATATTAGATTGGGGGGGGGGGAAGTTTTGGTTTTAAGAGGGGGGGGGGGAGGGTAGAAATTGGATTTGTTGGGATGTTATGGGGATGGGGGGGGGAGGGGGGGGTGGGGGGGATAATGGGGATATGGGGGTGGGATGGGGGGGGGGGGATATATTAGGGGGTAGATTAAAGGGGGGGAGGGGGGTATGGTGGGATGGGGGTGGGGAGGGGGGAAGTGGAGATTGTGGTTATGAAAAAAAAAGAGGGGGGGGGTTAGAGTTATTATGGGGGAGATGGGTGAATGATTAATGGAGGAGTTATGGGTGAGGGGGGGGTTGAAGGGAGGGGTAGGGTAAGGAGGGTTAGGGGGAATGTTTTGGGGGGGGATTTGGTGGATATTTTTATTTGGGGTTTTGTGAGGATGGGGTGAAGGGGGTAATATGTGGATGAAATATTATAGTAGGGTGTGATTGATAAGAGGAGGTATGGAGGGTGGGGGTAATGTTTGTTTTTATGTTGAATGGGTGGGGTTGGTGGGGGGTTATGTGAATGTTTTGGGGGGGTGAGGAGGTAGGAGTAGGAGGGGAAGGGGATGGAGGGGTTGGAAATATGGGATATAGTAGGGGGGTTTAGGTATGGATGGTAGGGGTTATTGTGGTGTAGTGTGAGGTGGAGGGGGGGTATGGGGGGTGAGAAGGTTGTATGAGTGGTAAAGGGTTTGTTGAGGGTAGGGAGATAGTGGTTGAGATTGTTGATGTGTGGGAGGGGATTGTGGGGTAGGGAAGGGGAAGAGTGTTGTAGAGGGGGGGTAGTTAATGGAGGGGATAAAGTTTGGGATGGGTAAATAAGGTAGGGGAAGGGAGGGTATATGGGGGTGGTGTGGTGGAGGGGGGAGGGTAGAGATGAGTATGGAAAATTAGGAGGGGGGGATAGGGGTAGAGGGGGGTGAGGGTGTAGGGAGGGAGAGGGTGGGATGCGGGGAGGTAAAGGGGGTGGGGGGTGAGGGGGGGGGGGGGGGGGGTGGGTGGGCAGAGATGTTAGGAGTATATGAGGTGAGGAGGGATAGGGGGGGATTTAGTTGGGGTAAGAATTAAGGGAAGGGGGGTAAGATGAGGTAAGAAGGGTGTTAGGGGAGAAGGGTGGTGGGTAGGGGGAAGATGGTGGGGGGTATGGGGTGAAGAGGGGATGGTGGTGTAGAGGAATGGGGAATGGGTGGATGATGAGGGAGAAGGGTGGAAGGGTGTGAGATGTTGAGGGGGGAATGTAGATGTATGGGGAATAGAGGGAAGGGATGGAGAAGAGGGTTGAAAGGAGGAGAAGGGTGGAGTTAAGGGGGAAGGTGGGGGTGTTATGTGGGGAAGGGTGAGGGTAGTGAGAGAAATAAAGTATGGGGGATATTGTGGATGAGAGATGGGGGTATTTTGAAAGGGGGTTGGAGGAAAAAAGGTAGATTTTTGGGGGGGGGGTATAGTGTGTGGGGGGGAGATGATTAGAGGGGGGAGGGGGGTGTAGTTGGGTAGGAGGGGGAGTGGGAGGGATGGGGGTCTAGGAGAGAGATAAGGTGAGAATTGGGGGTGGAGTAGTTGTGGGGGATGGGGGGGTAATTGGGATGGGGATAGGAATGGAAAGAGGGGGGAGGGGGGGGGTGAAGAGAGTAGTGGGGGGATGGGAGGGTAGTTAGGAGTGGGGAGGGTTTAATAGGGGGGTTGTTGTTGTTTTTATAGATGTGTTTGTGGTTTTTAGGGTTATAGTTTTTAGGAGAGTTTTTGGGGTTTTGGGTAGTTTTTGGGGATATGTGATAAAAGGGGGATGGTAGGGAGGAGGGTAGATTTAGGAGATTTGAGGGTGTTTATGTATTGGATATAATGGGTGGGGGTGTTGGTGGGGGGGGTGTTGGTGGGGGTGGGGGGTGGATGGGGGAGGATTGTATATGGGTGGAGGGGGGGATATTGGTGGGAGGGAGGGGAAGGGGTTTTTGATTGGGAAAGTAAGGAAAGTGAAAGAGTTGTAGTTGAAAGTGAAAGGTGTTGGAAAGGGTATTGGTTGGGGGGTGTTGTGGGAAATGTAAGGTAGGTTAAAGTATATGAGGTGGGAAAGGGGGGGGTAGATAGATAAGGAATTGGGATTGGGGTAATAGTAGTTGGGGGGGGGGTAGGATAAGTGAATGGAGGGGGGTGGGGAAAGGGGGAGGAGGGGGTAAGTGATGGAATTATGTTTTATGTTGTTGGAGGGATGGGGGGAGGAGTGATGGTGGGGGGTAAAGAAGGTTGGGGTGGGTGTTTTTGAGTTTCGGGTGGTTGTTAGGTGGGGGGATATTAGGTATGTGTGATGGTTGTTTGTGTATGGTTGATGAATGTTGGGGTGGGTTTTTGATGGGGTTTTTTTGTTGGGGGGGGTTGGGTTTTTTTTGTTTTTTGGTTATTGTTTTTTTGAAAGTGAAAGTTTAGAAAGTTAGGGAGGGTGAGAGGGTTGGGGTGGGAAAGTGGAAAGAAAGTTAGAGGGGAGGAGAGGAAGAGAGGGGAAGGAGAGGAAGAGAGGGGGGAAGAGAGGGGAATGAGAGGGGAAGGAAGGGGAAGGAGAGGAGAAGGAGAGTGGAAGAAGAAGAGGGGGGTTTTGGAGTTTTTAAAGTGTATATTGTAGGTGTATTTAATGTATTGTATAGTATTGTATGGGTGAGGGGGGGGTTGTAAGGGGGATATTATTTGGAAGAGATTGTAGGTTATTTTAATTGGTTTGGATAATTATATGGATTGTTGGATTATGGTTTATATGGTTTTTGGGGGTTGATATAATGTTTTTGGGAGAATGTATGTGGGGTGTTGGGGGTTAGGGGAGGGTATATTATTGAATGGAAGGGTGGGTATAGTTAGGGAATTATTGTAAAGAAGGGATGATTATTGGTATTTAGAGGTTTTTTAAATGGGTTGTATGGGTGTTTAAGGGGTGTTAGTGGTTTTAAATATGGTGGTGTAAATGGTGGGTGTTTGGGTGAAGATGGGTGGGGGGGTATTTAGTATGTTGGGGTTGAGAGGTGTTGAATGTAGGGGGGAGATGGGGTTGGGGTGGGAGGGTGGGAATGTGTATGGACTGGGAAGTGTGTATAGGAATTAAAGGGAAAGTTATTAGACAAAATTGGATTAGATTAATGTGGGGATATGATAGGGGTTGAAGGTTATTGTGTAGGAAGTTTGGGTAGTATGTAGGATGTTGTAGGGTATATTTAGGGGGGATAAAGGGAGGGGGAGGGGTTGTGAATGGGTTATTATGGGGGGGGGGGGGGGTGAATTATGGGGTTGTTAGGGGGATTAAGTAAGATGGGGTTGTATAATATAGAGGGGGAAAAAAGTGGGATATGATAAAGAGGGGTGGTAATATGGATGGTTGGTGAGGTGATGGAAATGGGTTATATGGGTATTTTTGGGGGGTAGTTTATTATTGGGGGGGGAAGATGGAAAGGTTTGGGGAGGTGATTGGTTGGGATTATTGTTTTGATGGTTGTAGGGGGTGTGGGGGGGAATGTAGGGGTTGGTAGGGTATTGATTTTTGGTGGATTTGGTTGGGGGGGAAATAAGGGGGTGTGTGGGGGTGGTTTTGGGGGTGTAGTGGGGTGGGGGGAATGTTAGATTATGGATGGTTGGGGATGGAAATGGGGGGTAGGGGGGGTTGTGGTTGGTTATGGTGGGGTTGGGGGGGTATGTGTGGTGGGATGATGAGGTAGGTATGGTTTATGGTTGTTAGGGGGTTTTTGGGGAGTAGGATGGGGGGGAGGAGGAGGAAGGGTATATTTATGGTTTGTGAGTGGGGGATTTTATTTTAAATTAATAGAGGGTGTGTTTTTTTAGTTTATTGTTGGTGGGGTTTTGTTTGGTTGGGAGAAGGGGGGGGGGGGGGTAGAGGGGGTGGGGGGGGGGTGAGGGTGATTGGGGGGGATAATTTGATTTTTGTGAGTGTGGGTTTGGTTTATGGATAATTATTATAGGGGGGGTGGGGTTATGATGGGATGGTTGGATTTTGTTGAGATGAAAGATGGATGTTGTAATTATGGTAGTGGAGGAGAGGGGTTTTATGGTGTTGAATGGTTGGGGAGTGGGGGGGGGGGGTTAGGGGGGGAGATGTGTTTAGATTGGGATTGGATATATATTATATAAGTGTTGAATAAGGAGATTGGGGATGGAGGTGTTGTGGATATTATTTTTGGGATTGGAGTTAGGGTGTAGTGTGGGGAGGGGGGTAAGAGTTGGAGGATAGGGAAGGTAGTGTAATGAGGGAGGAGGGTGGATTTGAGGATTTAGTGATATGTTGAGATAATATGGGGAGTGGGGGGTAAGGGTAAAAAAAAATTATGGGGAATATTTGATATGGGATGGTTGAGGGAAGGGATTGATTAGTTAATGAAGTATGGTATTATTGGTTTTGGTGGTGTGTTGAAGGATGTGTGGTAAGGTGTGGGTGATAAGGATGTGGTGAAAATTGGTTGTATGAGTAGGTTAGGTGGTTAAGTGTTTATGATTGGTATGATTTGGGTGGTGGTTAGGTGTGTGGTTATTGGTGGGGAGTAGGGGGGAGAGGGTGGTAATGATTTTGGGGTTGGGGGTAGTGCGTGAGGTAAGGGGGGGGGGTTTGTTTGGGATGGGGGGGGTACGTTGGAGGTTGGGGGGGGGGGGTTGTGGGGGTGGTTGTGGATTTGGAGAGTAGGGTTTGTATGGAAAAGGGATGTGAGGAAATGAGGATGGGAAGGATGAATGATGAGGATGAAAATAAATGAGGAATGAGGGGAAAAGTAGGGGGGATAGTAGGGTAGGGATGAGATTTAATGAAATTGAAGTTAATAAGATTGAAAGAGAGAGGGATTAGTGGAAGAAATTTATAGTGGTAAAAGGGGGGGGGAAGGATGAGGTTTGAGGGGAGGATATGGAGAATGGGATAAGGGAGATTTAGTGTGATGTTGTAAGATGGTGATAGTGGGTGGTTGGTGAAATGATTTGGATGAGAGAGATTATAATTATTAGGTGTGGTGTTATTTGTGTGGGGTTTGGTTTGTGGTGTGATTTTGATTTGTGGGTGTTGGGTAGGGAGAGGGAGGAGATAGGGTGTATGGAGGGTTTGGTGGGTCTGGGGGGAGAGTGGATGTGGGTAGGATTTGGGTGGTTGGGTGGTGATTTGATGTGGTTGTTGGGTGGGTGGTTGGTGGGGGGGGGAGGGGGGGGGGGATGTGGATTGATGGGTATTTCGGGGTGGGGGGTTTGTGGGTTGAGGGGGGGGGGGTGTTTGGATGTGGGGTTGAAGTTGTGGGGGTTGTAAAGATGGGGGTTGAAGGGATGGAGGGGTGAAGGGAGTGTAAGAATGTTTGAAAATAAATTTTGTTATATGGAGGGTATAGAGGGGGGGAGGGAGGGTTAAATTTATGGATGTGTTTTGGAATTGTATGGGGGGGTTGGAGTTGATATGTTGATATGGTGGAATTTGGGTGATAGAGTTGATGGGTATGATGGGGGGGGTGTTAGTGGGAGGGGGGGTTTGTAGATGTTGGTTTTGAGTGGTTGATGGGGGTGTTGATAAAGGGGGAAAAGAGAAGTAAGAGAGGGAGGATGGGTTTATTTTGTTTTATGGTGTGATGGATGGATAGTTGGGGGGTTGTTGGGAGGTGGGGTGTGGGGTGGGTTTGGATGATGAGATGGTTGGGGGTAATAGGTGGGGGGGGTTTGGGATATTGAGGAATAAATGTGGGGTGGGTGGGTATGGGTGTGGGTGGTAGGAGGGGGGTATGGTGAGGGGGGTTGGTTGGTATGGGGGATGGTTGTTGTGGGGGTTATGTTTTTGTGGTGAAAGTGAGGTTTATGGGGGGGTTTAGGTGTTTAGTTATGTATGGTGGTTGTGAGGGGGGGGGGGGGGGGGGTAGGTTTTTGGGAGGGGTTAGGTTATATGTGTATTTTATATAGGGGGGGGGGGGGGGTTGGTGTTTAGGTTGGGAGGATTAGGGGATTTGTGGGGGTTTGGGGGGGTTGATGGGGGGGTGGAATGTATGATGGAGTGGAGATTGGGTGGTTGGGTTTGATGAGGGAGATTTATAAAGGGGGAGGGTTGGTGGGATTGGGTAGAGATGTGTGTTGGGGGATGGGGGGGTAAGGGTTTTTGGTATATTTTAAGAATTGGTTAATATTTAGGATGGATGGGGGGTTAGATGTGGGGGTTGGGGGGTTGAGTATTGGGGGGGGGGGGAGGGGGTTAGGGGTTTGGGAGGGGGAGGGGTATTGGTTTGATGTTGTTTATTTTGGGAGGAGTATGGGAGGTATTGGAGGTTGGGGGGAAAGGTAATGTTTTGGGGGTAAGGGTTGTAGAGAGGGATATAAATAGAAGATGGAGGGAAGAGGTTTTAAGAATGGGAGGATTTTGGAGGATGAGGGTGGGGGAGGGGGGTAATTTGTATTGTGTGAGATATGGGATAAGTTTTATGAGTGTTTATGGATGGAGGGAGTTGAGGGTGTGGGGTATGTAAAGGATATGGAGGGGGATAAATATTAAATGGTGGAGGTGGGTAGGGGAAGGAGGGATTAGGGATTTGAGGATGAGGAGAAGTAGGGTGGGGGGGAGAATGGTGGAAAAGTGGTTTGGGTTTGGAGAAGAAGTTGTATGTTTGGGATATGATTGGGGGGTTGGGAATATGGGGGAAATAGTGAGGGGGGGGGGGAGGATATGAGGAGGGGAGGGGATATGTGAGTGTATGTTAGGATGGTGTATTTTTATTAATTGGTGGAGGGGAGGATGTAATGAAAAAGGGGGCGGTTTATTTGTGGGGGGTAAGGAGGTGGTTATTTGGTTGGTAAAGATTTGTAAGTATAGGGGGAGTAGTAAATTGGATGGAGAATAGGGGTTGGGGGTAGGGGGGGTGTGTGGGGATAAATTTGGGGATTTAGGATGGGATGAGTGGGTTTGAGGGAGGGTTTTTGGGAAGATTGTTATGATATGATAAGGGATGATGGAGGTGTTTTGTGTTGTTTTTTGTGGGGGAAATAAAGATTGAGGAGAAATGGATATTAGGGGGATAAAAAAGGGGGGGGGAAATTGGGATAAGAAAAATAGGTGGAGATAGGGGGAATATGGGGGGGGGTTGGGTGAAGGGTGGTGGATGGTGGTAGGGGTGATGTGGTGGGAATTAAGTATTGGTGGGGGTGTGATGGTATAGTTATATGGATTTCAAATATTGGTTTGGTATGTGGTAGGCTGGGGGGGTGATGGGTAAGGTTTGAATGGGGGGGATATATGTTGATGTATATGGTAAGGGGGGGTGTAGGGGATTGGGTGTGGGTTGGAATAGAGTGGGGAATGAGGGGGGTAAAAGTATATAATGTCTTTAGGGGGGGTGGGGTGGGAGTTGTGGGTGGGGTGTTTAGTAGTAGGGGGAATGAGGGGGTGAGGAGTGATACAAAAGAAAGTGATGGAACAGAGGAAAAAGTGATGGGAAAGTTTGTGAAAAAGGATGGGATGATGGAAAAGTGATGGGATAAGTATAGGGAAAATGATGAAATGGATGGAAAGGGGAGGGAAAGGGTGAGGAAATCGTATGAGGGAGAAGATGAGGGACGTGAAGGGAGAGGGGGAGAATGGGTTTGGTAAGGTGGGAAGGTGGGGTTGATAATTGTTGGGGGGGTTTTGGGGATGGTGTATGTATGTTAAGGTATGATTGTTTGGTGGTTTGATGGATAATAGGTGGATGGGTAATAAAGGGGATGATTTATGGTGTGTGTTTGTGATATAATGATTAAGAGGGGTAAAGAATGAAGAAGATAGAATTGGATAGGATGATGAAAGGGGGGGAAGGGGTGGGTATGGAGTAGAGTATTAAGGGGGATATATAGGTATTTGTATATGTTAGGATAAGGGGGGTAGGTATATAATATGGATTGTTGGGGGAGTTTAGGGAATGGGGGGTTGGTGGGGAGGTATTATATGGGTTTGAAGTGGGGAGGATGAGGGGAGGGGAGAGGGGGAAGTTGTGTATTAAGGTTGGGGAGGGGCAGGTGTTAGGGGATAGGGGAGGTGGTTGGTGAGGGATAGGGTAAGGGTAGGGGAGGTGTGGTGAAGGGGGAAAGTTAGTTAGTTGGGGTTATATGGTTCAATGGGTGTATGGGTGTGGTTTTGGATGTTAGTATTTAAGATGGTGATAGATGGTGTTAAGAAGGGGGGGGGTTGGGGGGTTATGGGGTGTTTGTGGTGATTGGGAGGTGATGGTTGATGGTAGGGGATGGGAGAGAGGGATAAGTGGAGGTTTAGGGATATTAGGGGTGAGAGGGGTGGGGGTAAGGGGGGTTGTGTTAGGTGTGGGGTTTTATGAGGTTTTATGGGGTTGATGGATTTTGAGAGAGGCTGGAAATAGGGTTAAAAAGTGGTGATTTGGTGGAGTTATATTGGAGTTATTGGGTATGGTTGGGGGTATTGGTTGGGGGGGAGATAATGGAACATTTGGTGGAGAAGAAATGGTGGAGAAGGGGTTGTGAGTAAGGTGAATAATGTGGATGTAAATTAGTATGTTGGAAGTAGTAGATAAGGGATTGGGTTGGTGTTTATTGAGAGTGGGGAAATTAGGGGGGTTGGGAGAGGGGGGAAGATGGATAGGGTGGGATAGGTGAGAGGGGATGTGGGGGTATAGGGATGGGGGGGTGTGTGAAGGATGAGAAGGTAAATAAGGGATTATAAGTTGGAAAAGGGGAAGTTGTTATAAAACGCGGAGGAAGGGTGAAAAGGAGAAGGGGGAAATGGGAAGGTGTAGGGGATTTAAGGAGTTGAATAAAGAGAATAGGTATGAAAGGAAAAAATAATTTAAGGGTAGAGGGGGATAGTAGAGTAGGAGAGGTGTGAATTGGAATAGAAGTGTTAGAGAAGGTATTAGATGGATGGGAAGATGGAGTATGTGAGGGAATAAAGGAATGGGGGGGGGGAAGGGAAAAGGAGGGGGTAAAAAGGAAGATGAAGATTAGGGGGTTGAGAGAATGATGATAAATAAGGAGAGAAGAATAAAGGGATGATGATATGAATGTTGAATGAAAAGAGAAAGAGAATGAGAAAATGATATAAGAGGGGGAGAAGGGTGGAGGTGTGGATGATAAAAGAGAAGAAGAGAATGGGGGGATAGGAGAGATGGAGAGGGCAAGGAGGAGGGTGTTAAAGAGGGGGGAAGAAAAAGTGAGAAGAGAAGTGGAAGAGAAAAGGAAATATGAGGAGAAAAGTAATAGAGGTGGTGGGGGTGTGGAATGAGGGTTATAGGAGAGGAGGTATGGAGGGATAGAGAGGTGGAATGGTGAGTAGGGGTATTTTGTTTTTTGTTAAGAGATGTAGGGGAGAAAGAAGAGGGAGGATGAAAGGGAAGGTGTAAGGGGGGTAATTGGGTGAGGGGGATGGGGGGTTGGTTAAATGTTTAGGATGTGGAAGTGATATTTTTATTGGGTGGGTGAGGGGAATTAGAAGGATTTAAGAAGGTGGTGAGGGGGGGTGGAGGGGAATTGAAAAGTAGTTGATGTGGGGGTTAGGGGAAGAGTATGAGGGGGGGAGAGGGGGGGGGATGAGGGGTCGAATGGGAGTATGGATGAGAGGGTTATAGGGGTATGGGGGGGATGTTAGGGGAAAGGGGAGGTTTAGGGGTAGTTGCATTGAGGAATGTAGTGTCTAAATTTATGTAGTAGGGTGATAATGGGGTGGGGGTATATGGAGAATGGGTGGGGATGAGGGAAAGTGGGGGGAAGGGTAGGGGGGGGGAATGAGGTAAAAAGAGATAAAAAAAGGATAGTAAAGGGAATAAGGGGAAAAGAATAATGGATAAGGTGTGGGTATTAGGGATTTTATAGGAGAAGTGAAGGAGGGGGATGGGGATGTAATGGAAATTTATAGGGATAGGGGAGGTAGAATGGTAGAGGGGGTAGTTTGTTATTATTGGGGGGGATATGGGGTGGAATTGTGTAGGGGAGGGGGGGGTGAAGAATAATGAGATTTTTGGGGGGGTTTGGATTTTTTAGTTTGATTTATGGTGATGGGTGTAGAATTAGAGGATTTAGTTGGGAGGGGGGAAAGGGGTTTTGATAAGATAATATGGTTGAGGAGAGGGTAGAGGTGGGGTTTAGGGAGTGAGGTTGGGATGTGAGATTGGGTTATGTGATGGGTTTGGTTGTATGGTGTGATAGAGGTTGTGAGGGGGGTGGGGGTGAGGAGGATGGTTTATTGAGGGGTAATTTTGTATGGTTTTGATGGGAGTTGTGTTGATTATAATAAATGGGGTTTGAGATGAAGTTTGTATGTATATTTTGGGGGGGGTAGGATGTGGAGGGAAGAGGTGTTGAATCGGGGGAGAAATGTGTTGGAAAGGGGTTTGGGTGATGAGGGGGGGGTGGTGTGTTGGAGGGGTTTTGGGGTTATTTTGATTTATGAGTAGAGGGTATGGGGAAGGGGTATGGTTAAATATGGATGGGGAGTGGGTGGGTAATGGGTAGGGGGGGGGGGTTAGTATTGTATGGAGGGGATATGAGGGAGGTGTGGGTGGTGGTATGGGGGGTGGGGTTGGGTTATGGGGGTGTTTGGGTGGTATTTTGGAATTGGTAGGGAGGAGGGTGGGGGGGGGTGTAGGGGGGGGATGGATGATAGGTGTGGGGAAAAGTAAATATGGATGGGGATATATAGGGTAAGGAGTGGGTTAGTTGGGGGGGATGGGTGTTGGGTTGGTGGGGGTGGGGGAGGGGGATTGATTGGGATGGGGTGGTGGGGGTATGGGGGGGGGGGGGGAGTGGATTTAATAATAGGGTTGGGTATTGGGGGGTGGTTGGTTGTATATGTAAGTTTTATTTGGGGTTAGGGGATGGGGTTGGAGTTTGGGGTTTTTGAATGGAGAGTAAGGGGGTGGTTGGGTTTTAGAGGGGATAATAATGGGGGGGAGGTAGGGGGGAGGGGGATTAGAAATTGGGAGAAGGGTAGGGTTTTTTGTGGGGTAATGTGTTTTTGGGAAAATGGGTAGTTGGGGGGGATGTAGAGGATGGGATATTTATTTGGGAAGTGGAATTAGTTGGGGAGGTATGGAATTGGGAATGGATGGTGGTTTGGGGTTTGTGGTGGGGGGGGGGGGGGTTGGGTTAAGGGAGTTAGTGTTATTGTTGTTTGGGTGGGGGAGGGTATGGTTGGGGTGGGGGAAGTTATGGGTGAGGGGGGTGGGGATTATGGGTGGGGTGTGGTTAGGTTAAAAAAGGGTTTGGGGGAAAATTTTGGGGAAGAGTTTGAGTGGGGGGTGTGGTGGAGATATGGGGGAGGTGGTTTTTGGGGTTTTGTTGATTTTTTAGTGTTAAGAATATATAGTGTTAATTGGGGATTATATTGGTTGAGGGGGGGTAGGTTAGATAGGGGGATAAGGGGGGTGTAGGGGGGGTTTAAGGATTTTTGTGTTGATGGTGAGGGGTGAAGAAGAAGTTTGGGGGAAGGGTGTGTGGGAAAGAGTTTGGGGAGGGTTGGAAGGAAGGGTTATGGGGGGGGGTAAGGATAGGGGTATATTTGGTGGTTTATGGGAGGAGATGGGGGTTATGGAAGTGGGAAAGTTTTTATATGGGATGGTGGTAAGAGAAGGTTTTTGTGATGGAGGGTGAAGGGAGGGTAGGATTTGGTGTGAAAATGTGGGGGGGTTGAGGAATGATGGGTTTTTGGAGGGTTTTGGGGAAAAATTATTAGGTAGGTTGGGGGTTATTGGTTGATGGAGGGGGGGGGGTGTGGGGGGGAATGGAGGGGGGGTTAATAATAATAATAGGGGTGGTAAGGATAGTTGGGTGGGGTTATTTTATATGGATAGGATATAGGGTGGATGGGTTTGAATATGGGGGGGGGGGGGGGATGGGGTTGAGGTGGGATGGGGGAGGAAAGTATAGGGGAGGGTAATGGTTGAAGATGGGATTTAGGGGGTTAGGGGGGGGGGGGAATAGGTATATGGAAAGTGGAGGGGGGTGGGGAGGTATGGTGTGGGGTTGGTAGGGGGGAGTGGGGTAGGGGAGGATATTGGGAGGGGGGAAAGGTAAGGGGGGGGGTGTAATTTGGGAGTGAAGGGGGAAAGAAGTGGGTTGGAGAGTTTGGAGGGAAGGGTGGATGGGTTTGATTTGGTATTTGGGGAAGTAATATTGGTAGAAGGTAGGTATAGATTAGTGGGAGATAGGGGAGGATGGGTGTTTATGGGTAATTGTGGAGATAGATTGGTGAATGTAATGGTGATGGGGGGTAGGGGTGATTTGTTGGGAAAATAGTTTGAATTAGTTTATGTTTGATGGGAGGGGGGAAAATGTGTAGTGTTGGGAGATGGGGATTAGGATGAGAGAGAAAGTAGGAAAGGAGTATTGGGATTTGGGGGGGGGGGTTGTAGGGGTTAAAAGATTATGTTTGGGATTGAGGAATATGTTGTGATTGTTTGATATAGGGTAATGAGGGTTGTTATGGGAATGTGGGTGGTTTGTGTTGGAATGATGTAGGTTGGAGGGAATGGATGGGGGGGAGAATGGATGGGAGTGTAGTTAGGATTGGGAAGAGGTATGGGGGAGGGGGGAATGTAGGTGGGAGGGAGTATGAATGGGATGATGATGTGGAAGGGTATGTTAATGTTGGTGGTATGTGGTGAAGGGAAGATGGGAAGAGGGGAGAGAGGAAGGGGGGAGATTTGTTGTGTGGGGTTTTATAGAGGAGGGGGGGGGTATTGGAGCGAATGGGGGGAAGGGGTATAATTGTATGGTGGGTATGGGGGGGGGGGGATGTGTTAAAAAGGTAGAGGGGTGGGTATATGGGTAGGAAAAGGAGGGGGGGGAAATTGGGTTTAATTTTTGGGGGTGAGGAGGGATGTGAAGATGATTTGAGGGTTAATGAGAAAAGGGGTTTTGGGGTGGGTGGGGAGGGAGTAGAGGGATTGGGGATTTATATGGTTTGGGGTAGGGAGGGGGAAGGGATGTATGAGGTTGGGTGGGGTGAGAATGGGAGTTGGATAGAGGGGGGATAGGTGGGGGGGGTGGGGGGGGGGGGGGGTGGGGGTGTGGGTGGGGGGGGGGGGGGGGGAGGGGGGGTTGGGTTGGGGGTTGGGGGGGGGTTGAGGGGGGGGGGTGGGTTGGGGGGTTGGTTTTTATGGTTTGATATGGTAGGAAGAGAGGGAGGAGGGGGGGGTAAGATGGGGGGGGGGGGGGAGGGGGTAGTGGGGGGGGGATGGGGGGGGGTTTGATAGGAGATGAAGAGAGTGGTGGAATAAATTGAGGGGGGGGGAGGGGGGTATGAAAGGGGGGGAGTTGTGGGGGGGGGATAATAGGAGAGGTTAGGGGGGAGAAGAGGTGATTTGGTAGTGATGTTAGTGGGATAAGGATGTGGAGGAGAGGTATATTAAAGGTTAATATTGAGGGGGATGGGTAGTGGTAGTATGTTGAGTGGATTGGTTTTGGGGGGGGGATTGGGGGGGGGGGGGGAAGGGAGGAGTTGTAGGAAGATGTTATAGTGGATTGGGGGTTAGGGGGGGGGGGGAAAAGGAGGGTTGATTTATAGTGTGATGTTTGAGTAAGTGGGGGGGATTATATGGGTTAGGTTGTTTTGGATGTATGGTTGTTTGTGGTGAGGTGGGGGGGGGGTTTGGGGGGGGGGGGGGGGGGTTGGGGGTAGGGATGTGATTAGAGGAGTTTGAGTGGAAGATGTTTATAGTGTTTTATTGTAGGGGGTGAGGGGGGGGGGGGTGGAGAGAGGTGTAGGGGGAGATAATTAGTAGTGGGAGTTGTTTTAATGTTGTTTGGTTAAGGTTTGGTGGTTGAGTGTGTTGGGGGGATTGGGTTATTGTATGGATGTGGGGGGGGGGTTGTAGAGGGTTGGGGTTATGGGGGATATGAGGAGGGTAAGATGATGGGTAATGTAGGGGAGTATAAGGGGGGTGGAGGGTTTTTGAGGATGTTTGTTAAGAAGGTTTTTAGGTTTTATGGTGTGTGGTTATGAGGGTGAGGGATAGGGTATGGGATTAGAATTTAGGGTTTTATGGTAGGATTTTTTGGGGGGTTGGGAGTGTAAATAGAAGTAGAGTGGAAGGGAATATGGGGGTGGGGGTTTGGATGGGGAGAAGTTTAGTTTTTGGGAAAGGAGGAGGGAGATGTAATGTAGTGGATTAGGGTGGTGTTGATTGTTTTATTATGTTTGGGGGGGGGGGATAGGGGAAGAGTTTAGATATTTAGGGGGAATGTGAGATGGAGGTGAAGTTTTGGAATTAGAAGGGTGGATGGGGGGAGGTAGGGAGATATAGGAGGGTTGTAGTTTTGGTATGAAGGAAGGGTATTTGAGGTGTGGGGGGGAGAAGGATGGGTGGGGGGGGTATGGGGTTGAGGATGTAGGTAGAAGATAGGTGTAGAATGGGGGGGGAAGGGTGTTTGGATGGAGGGGGGGGTGAATTATTGGGGTGAGTGGGTTTTGAATTTTAAATTAGGGGGGTTGGGGGGGGTAATGGAATTATATGGGGGGGAGAGGATTTGTATGTAGGAAGGGGGTTTGTGAGAGAGAATTATAATATTAGTTTGGAGTTGGTTTTGTGTTTGTTGGTGATTGGTTGGTTGGGGAGGGGGGGTTGTGGAATGGGGAGTAGTGGGGGGGGGGGGAGGAGTTAGGATTGGGGGTGGAGGGGGGAGGTGGGGTAATATGTGGTATAAGAGGAGGGGGAGATATGAATGGTTGGGTATAGAATAAGGTTTGGAGTTGGGGGTTGGGATAGGTGGAAGAGGAAATTAAGGAAATAATAGTTTATGAAGTGATTATAAAATAGGGATAGGTGGGTGGGTTGTGGGTGGTGGTTTGTAGGGGGAGTTTGGGAGGGAATAGGGAATGGGGTGAAGGGGGGTTGAGGTGGAGAGGGTGGGAGAGTGGGGAAGGGGGGGGGTGGGGAGAGAAGGGGGGAATTTATTTTGAGTAGGTGGGGGGGGTGTAGATGAGTGGTTTGGGGGGTTTGTGGTGGATGGGTGGGTGGAAAGAGAGGGTGGGGGAAATGAGGGGTGGGGAGGTGTAAGGAGGGAATAGAAGGGGGTATGGAGAATGGGGGTGGGGGAGTTGTGAAGAGAATTGGGAGGGGGAGGAAGGGGGGTTTGGGGGTGGGGGGTTATAGGGTAATGGGAGTGAGTGGGAGTTGAAGTTGGGGGGGGAGGGGGTTTGGTAGGGAGGATGGGTGGGGATTGGTGGGGTTTGTAGAATGTGGGGGAGATAATAGGGGGGATTGGGTAGTGGTAGGATGAGGGGGGTTATGGGGATTAAGGATATGGTGGATTATGTGGAGGGTGGTGGGAGGGGGTTAAGGGTGGTTGGTGGGTGATGGGTTGGGAGGGATGGTTGGGGGGAGAGTTAGTAGAGAAGGGGGTGAATTGGAGAAGTTGAGGATTTATTGAATTGGAGAGGGGGAGTGTTGTTGGAGGGGGGTGGTTTGATGGTGTTTATTGGGGGTGAGGTAGGGTGATGGTGTTTAATATGGTTATTAAAGTAAGAGTGATAGTGGTAGGGGAGGAGGGGTTAGGGGTGGTTGGGTAGGGGGGGGAGTATAATTGGATTGGGAAGAGATGTGTGGGATGGTGTAGGATTAGGGGAATATATATGGGGGATTGAGGGTAGTGGGGGGAGGGGAGTTTTAGGTGATAGGGATATGATATATATAATATGGGATATATATGGGGATTGAGTAGTGAGGAGGTGGAGTGGTTAGTGGTTATGTGGGGGGGAGATGTGGGGGGGGGGATGGTGGATTGAAGAGGATTAAAGGGAAGATGGGATGATGAAGGATGGGGTGTGAGTATGTTATGGGGGGTGGTGGAATGAATTTGAGGTGGAATTTTGGGTGGGTAAAGAAGTAGGGGGGGGGGGTGTGATTGAAGTTGAGTGGTGAAGGGAGGGAAAATTTGGATAGAGAAATGGGGGATTATGTTATTAGAATATGGAGGGGTGGGATAATGAATTATGAAATGAGGAGGGAGGGGGAGGGTGGGGGGATTGGATTTAGGGTTTTATATATTTTGTGGTTTTATATTGTTTTATGGTTTGATATATTTTTGGGGTTGTTTTAATGGTTTTAGGGATTTGTATATTTTAGGTTTTTTTGTTTTGTTGGGTATGATGGGGGGATGGTTTTGGTGTTTTTAAGGAATGGGGGTGGATATGATTTATGTTATGGAGGGTAAGGGGTGGGGTTATTGGGATTGGGTGTAGAAGAAAGATATGGGTATGGGGTGTGGGGGAATTAGGTGAGGATTGGTTAGGTTTTGAATCGAAGAAAATGGGGGGGGGGGGAGATAGAGGGGGGATAATGATGTGGAATGGAAAGGGGAGAAGATTGGAAGGGAAGGGGATGTGGGGGTATAATTATGGATAGTTGGGGTTGGAGGGGGGATATGGAATGGGGGTGTGGTAGGTATATTGATGTGGAGGGGGGGGTTTTGAGTGGAGGGGTGAATATGGGTTGAATGGGGATTGGTAATGTGGGTAAGTAGTTTGGGATGAAGGAATGGGGAAGGATGGTAGAGTGAAGGGGGAGGATGGGGGGGTGGTTAGGGATATGAGGGGGGGTATGTAAGGTTATGAATGGGGGGGGAAGGTGGATGAAGAGGGTATTTGGATGGTATGTTGAGAATTTGGAGGAAAGGGGTATAGTGTGGGAGTAGGGATTGGGGGAGGATGTGGGGGTTTTTAGGGGGTGGGGTGGGGGGTTGGGTGGGGGGAGTGGGTTGGGTGGGAGGTGGGGGTGGTAAAAATTTGGGAGGTAAGGGGAGGTTGGGTTGGGGGTTTGTGGTAGGTTGGGGGTTATTGGTATAAGAGAGGGGGGGAGGGGGTTAATTTGTATTGGGGTGGGAGGGGGGGGTGAGGGATGGTAGGTGTTTGGTGGGGGGGAGAATGGATAGGTGAGGGGGGGGGTGTATGGTTGGGGGTGGATTTGGATGGGGGGAATGGGAGAGAAGGATGATGGGGGGTTATGTTGAGTGGGAGTAGGAGGTTGGGGGGGGGGGTGTAAGGGGGGAGGGGGTGGTTAGTAGTGAGATGATGGGTGTGTGGTTGGGGTGTGGGTAAAATGGGAGTAAAAGGGGGGGGTAGAATATGGGGATGGAATATGGGTGAGGTTAGAGGAGAATTGAGAATATTTGTAGGGAAGTGAAGAATGGGGTTGTAAGTTTATGAGTGGAGGGGGAATGGTATAATTAAATGGAAGAATGGAGAGGGATGGGTGGGGTGAGATGGAGTATGGGAGTTAAGGATAGTTGTAGTTATTGGGTAATTTAGGGGGTAGGGTAAGGGATGATGGGGGTTGAGATGGGGGGAGGGGGGTAAGGAAGGTGTGAGTGAGATGGGAGGGGGGGGGGAGTATTAAAGTAGGGTTATGTAATATGTAGGTGGATGGGGGGTTTTGGAAGTTTGTGTGGGGGTGGGGGTGGGAATAGTGGGTGATTGTTTGGGGTAATTGGTTGGATGATGTATAGTGGGGGAGTGATGGGGGTTGGAAAGAAGGGAAAGTAGGGAGAGGGTGCAGGAGATAGGTATGGTGGAATGAGGGGTGTGGGGAAGTGATATTGTGACGTAGTAAATGTCAGGGTTTAGTATGGTGGGGGGGTATGTGTTGGGGTAATATAGGGATAAGAGATAGGTAGTATGTTTTTGAGGGGAAAGTGAAAAGGAAAAATGGGGTGGAGATGCTGAAAAGGTGGTTGATGTTGGGGTAGGGGTGAAGGCGATCAGGATTAGGGTGGTGTGAGATTTTTGAGGGAGAGAGGGTGATGGGTTGTAGGAGGTGGAAGGGTGTTTGGTGGGGGGGGGGGGTGGAGGTTAGGGGTATGAGTTATTATGGGGAGTTATATGGTCATAATGTGGGTTGGTTTTGGAGTGGGGGATATAGTGTATGGGGGGGGAGGGTGCTAGATTATTAGGTTGAATATATGTATATATTTAGGGGGGTAGGATTAAAAATATTTTGGATGTTTAGTGAATGGGATATGGTGATAAGGTTAAAGGGATATTAAATAATTATTAGAGGGTTTGTTGGAAGATGAAAGGGTTTTGGGTAGGGAGAATAGGAAGGTAGGTAAAGAAGGATAGAGAGGAGGAGGGAAAGGATAAGGTGGAGGAATGTGGAAAGGGGGGAAGGGTAAGTAGGTTTAGTGGGTAAAAGGATATGGTGAATGGGGAGGCATGTTATGATTTATAAGGGGGGGGGGGGTATGTGTGTGTATGGATGATGATGGTGTGATGTTGTGGGAGATATTGGGTATGGAAAGGTTCTGGGATAGGGGGGGGTGATGTGGTGGGGGAGGAGGGAGAAAATGGGTTTTGGATGGAGGGGGGGGGAGTGATTTAATATGGGGATTTTAAGTATATGTAAGGTGAGGTATTGGATTATTATTAGTATGGTTATTTGGTGTAGGGTTACAAAAGGGGGTTGTGATGGGATTGGTGGGGGGAAAAGAGTGGGGGGGGGAATAATAGGATGGTAGTTTAATTGGAGATTTTATGGGGTAATGAGAGGGATGGAGATATAATGGTGACTTATGGGGGGTATGGTTTTATATAGGGTTTTTATTTAGTGATTTTGAGGGGGATAAAGGTTGGTTTGGTTGGGATGTTTTGGGGGATTGTTTTGAGATTATGGTAGGTGGGGAAGGTAAGGGTATGGGTTTGTGGTGTTGTGGGAGGGGTGGGGAATGTGTTTTGGTTTGTGTATATTTAGTGGGTTATTTTGGGAATTGGGGGATGGAAGTGGGTGTATTTGGGGAGAGAGTTATTTAGGATGGATTGGATGAACAAAAAGGGGGTGGGGAATAGGTGGGAGTGGAGTTGTGTTTATTGGGGGGGGGTGGGAGGAGTGGATGTTAGAGGATGGAGGGTGGGGGAATGGAATTGGGGATGATGAATGTTATGTATTGATTGTTGTGTTGTTGGTGGTGTTTTGGTGGTTGGTTTTTGGAGGGTGGGGGTATGTGTTGAAGTATGGTTGATGTGATTGGGTTTTTGTTAGGATTGGAGTGGTTGGGGGGTGGTGGGGTGGGATTAAGTTAGGTTTGTGGAGTGGGGGATGTGGGGGATAAGCGTTAGGTAGGGAATGGGGGGGGGTTGGAAGGGGGGGGGTGGTTGGGGTTTTTATGGGGGGTGAGGGGAGTGGTTTATATAATATGGAGGATTGGGAAGTTTTGGGGGTTTTAAAGGGGGGAGGGTGAGAAATGTGGATGTTGGGTTGGGATGATATGGGATGGGGGGGGGTAGGGGTTGGGGGGATAGGAATTAGTTGGTGATGGGGGGGATAAGGGGTAGATAAAGGGGGGGGGTGAAGTGGAGGGGGGGGTGGAGGGGGGGGGAAATGGGGGGAGATGGTTGGTTTATGATAAAAAAAAGAGGGGTTTAGAGGGTTATTATGGGAGGATGGGTGGGGATGATTAATGGGAGGAGTAAGGTAGGGGGGGGGGGGTTGAAGTAGGTATGTAGAGGGGGGTTAGGGGGAATGTTTTGGGGATTTTGGTGGAAATTTGGGTATTTGGGGTTTGTAGGATGGGGTGAAGGGTGAAATTGGGGATGAGAATATTATTAGTAGGGTTGGATGATAAGAGGGGAGGTATGAGGGTGGGGGGTAATTTTTTTTTTATGTGTTAAAGTGTTGGTTGGGTGGGGGGGTTAGGTGAATGTTTTGGGGGGAGAGGGGTAGGAGGTAGGGGAGGGGTGGGGATGGGAGGTGTGGAAATATGGATAGGTAGTAAGGGGTTTAGGGGGGAGTGGGATTGAGGTAGGGTTGATGTGTGGGGGTGTTTAGTGGTGATGGAGGGGGGTATAGGTAGAAGGTTGTATGAGTGGGTAAGGGAGGGTTTGTTGAGGGTAGGAGATATGGTTGAGAATTGTTATGTGGGGGGAGTGGAGTTGGTGGGTAGGTAAGAGGGAAAGAGTGTTGGTGGAGAGGGGGTAGGGTTAATGAGGGGGGATAAAGTTGAGTAAATGGAAGGAGAAGAGGTTATGGGTGTGGGGTGAGGGGGGGAAGAGGGGTAGAGATGATATGATAAATGAGGGGGGGGGAATAGGGTGGTAGAGGGTTAGGGAGAAGGGGAGGGATATGGTGGAGGATGATGAAAAGGGGGGGTTAAGGGGGGTGAAGGGGTGTGGTTGGCGAAGTAAAACAAAGTAGGGTGGATGGAGATATGGGGATTTGTTGGGGAAATGGAATTAAGGGGGAAGGGTCCGATAGGTTAGAAGGTGATAGAGGAATGGAGGTGATGGTAAGCAGGAGGGTATTGGGGTGAAAGAGGTGATGGGTGTGGTAAGGCTGTGGGAAATGGGTGGATGGGAGTGGGGAGGGTGGGCAGGGGTGTGGAGGAAGTGTAGAGGGGGGGAATGTAGATGGTAAGGGGGGAAAAGGAGGGGGAAGGGGTGGGAGAAGAGGTTGAAAGGGATAGGTGGGAGTAGTAAAGGAGATGTGGGGGAGTTATGTGGGGGGAAGTGAGGGTAGGTGAGAGAAAAATAGTAAGTGGATAATTGTGGGGGATAGCGAATGGTATGTAGAAGGTAGGAGGGAATAAGACGTAGGATTTATTGTGGGGGTATATTGTGTGTGGGAGATGAGATTGAGAGGAGAGTTAGTTGGGTCGGAGGGGAGGGTGGGAGGATTGGGGATAGGGAGATGAGAAAGGTGGAGAATTGGGTGGAGAAGTAGTGGGGGGGAAGGGGGTGGGAATTGGATGGGATATGGAATGGGGAAGAGGTGAGTGGGTTGAAGAGGGAGTATTGGGGGGGTATGGAGGGAAGTGAGATTGGGGAGGATTAATAGGGTAGGATTGTTAGTAATAAAGATGAGAGTTTTAATTTTAGGTAATTAATTTAGCCTTTTTTGGGGGTTTTGTGGTATTTAATTGGGGGGGGATAAAGATGAAAGGAGGTATGGAGGAAGGGTACTATTTGGAGGGGAGATTTGAGGTGTATAATGTGAATATTTGATTATAATGTGGTGTATGTGGGGTGTAGGGTGGGGGGGGGTGGTTAGATGGGAGGATTGTATATGGGGTTATTGGGGGGGGACTTTGTGGAGGGGAGGAAGGTTATTGATAAAGTCAAGGAAAGTAAAAGAGTTTAGTAGAAAGGTGAAAGTGTTGAAAGTAATTGGTTGGGGGTTATGTGGAAAGTAAAGTATGTTGAAAAGAATATGATGTGGGAAATGGGGGGGTAGATAGATATCGTAATTGGGGGGGGGATTGGGGTGGAATAGCAAGATGTTGGGGGGGGGTAGGTATAAGGTGAATGGGATGGGGTTGGGAAGGGGGGAGAGGGGTAAGGGTGATGGATTATGTTTTTTATGGGGTTGAGGAGGATGGGAGGGAGGGAGAGGGTTGGGTTTATAGAAGGGTGGGAGGGGTGTATGTGGTTAGGGGGTTGTGATGGGGTATGATTAAGGTATGGATTATGGTTGTTGTATGGTAGAATTGATGGTGGTGGTTTTTAAATGGGTATTTTAATGTTGGGGGGTGGTTTTTTTTTTGGGTTTTTGGTTTTGTTTTTGGTAAAGGGTGAAAGGTTAGGGAAAGTAGTGGGAGGGGAAGGGAGGGGGTTGTGTCGGAAAGTGAAAAGGAAATTAGAAGGGGGAAGGAAGGGGGAAGGAGAGGAGGAATGAGAGCTGATGGAGAAGGGGAAGGATGAGGAAGGAGAGGGAAGGAGAGAAGAGAGAGGAATGATAAGGAAGGGAGAAGGGAAGAGGGTGGTATTTGGGAGTTTAAATTGATTATTGTAGATTTATTGTATAGTATATGTAAATTTATATGTATTGGGTGGAGGGGGTGTAGGGGGATAATAAGTGTATAGATGTGGGTAGGTAAGTTAATGGGTTTGATAATAATATGGGGATGTGTTTATAATGGGGTTTTTTATATTTTTTTGGGTTTGGATATATATGGGTTGTTTTTGGAATTAGGGGGGTGGTTGGGGGGTTTGGGGGAAGGGGTGATGATAATTAAGGAAAGGGTGGGGTATCGTTATGGAATTATTGGGTAAAAGAATGATGCTTTAAAGGTTTTTTAGAAGGTGTTTTAATGGGTTTTGGGGTGTTTAAGGGGGATGTTATTGGGGTATAAATATGGGTGGGGGTTAAATTGTGTATATGGAGAAATGGTGGGTGGGTATGTATTTTGGTTGAAGGGGATGAATGGTAGGGAGGGATGGGGGTTGGGTGGGGAGGGGGGGTGGTATTGGTATGATGTGGGATGTGTTTAGGATGTGATTGGGGAGTTATTTTAGATTATTGTTTTATATTAATGTTGGAGTATGATTGGGATTGGAAGGGTTATTGATGTGAGAGTGTGGGGGTTGGATGTGGATGTTTAGGTATTTAGGGGAGAAAGGAGGGAGGGTTGTGATTGTTATTTGGGGGGGGGGTGGTGAATGTAGGGGGTTGTTAGGGGGGATGAAAAGTTGGAGGAGGGGTTGTATAATATAGAGGGGGGGAATTAAGGGGGGATATGATATAGAGTGGGAATATTGGGATGGGTTGGTGGAGTGATGGAATGGGTATGGGGGGTGATGTTGGGGTTTTATGATTGGGGGAAAGTTGGAGGGTTGGTGGGAAGTGATGTTGATATTGGTTGATGGTTTAGGGGGTTGGGTGGGGGGGAAGTGGTAGGGGGTTGTTGGGGTGATATTTTTGGTGGAGGGGGGTTGTTGGGAAGGGTGTGTGGGGTGGGGTTTGGGGGGGTGGGTGAGTGGGTTGGGGGGGGGGGGAATGTTAGATTGAGGATGTGGGGGGGGGGGATGGGGAAATAGGGGTTGGGTGGGTTGGTGGTTGGGATAGGTGTGTGGGGGGGGGTATGTGTGGTGGATGATGAGGTCGGGGTATGGTTTAATGTTTGTAGGGGTTTTGGGAGTATGATGGGGGGGAGGAGGAGGGAATGGTATAGTTTAATTATTGGGATTTGAGATTTTGATATTAATAATAGAGGGTGTTGGTTTTTTTTTAGATTATAGTTTGGTTATTTGGTGGAGAATGGGGGGGTTAGGAGGGGTGGGTGGGGGGGGGGGGGGGTGGAGTGTATGGGATAATTTGGATTTTTGTGAGGTTGTGGATTGGTTTAAGGATGAATTATTATAGGGGGGGGGGGGGGTGGTGTATGAGGATGGTTGAATTTTTTGGTTGGATAAGGAAAGATGGAATGGGGTTGTAATATTTGGAAGGGGGGAGGAGAGGGGTTATGGGGGGGTTGAAAGGTTGGGGGAGGGGGGGGGGGGTTAGGGGGAGATGTGTTTTAATGGGAGTGGATTAAATATTATTTCAGTGAGAATAAAGGTGGTGATGGGAGGTGTTGGGGATATTAGGGATTGAGTAAGGATAGTGGGGGAGGGGGTTTAGTTGTTTGGAAAGGTAGGTAGTTATGAGGAGATGGGAGGAATTGGTTGAGATTTAAGTGATGAATATGGTAGTAGAATATGGTGGATTGGGGTAAGGGTAAAAAAAAAATGAAGGTGGGTATGATTTTAAATGTAATGTGGATGAAAGGGATTGTATAGTTCATTGAAGTATGTGTATTAATGGTGTTGTTGGGTGGTGTTTGGATGATGTGTGGGTAGGTGTGGGAAAAGGGGAGGTGGTGAAATTGGTGGGATGAGGTTGGTAAGGTGGTAAGGTGTTTATGAATTTGTATGAAATTTGGGGTTGTTTAGGTGTGTGGGTTTTTGGGGGGGGAGTAGGGGGAGAGGTGTGTTAGATGATTTTGGGGGTGGGGGAAGGGTGATGTAATGGGGGGGGGGGGGGTTTGGGGTTAGAATGGGTGGGGGTATGTTGGTGGGTGGGGGGGGGGGGGTGGGTGGGGGTGGGTGTGATTTGATATGTAGGTTTGTATGGAAAAGGATGGGGAGTAATGATTATGGGAAGGATTGAAGGGATGATGATGAAAATAATATATGATGGGGAAAAGTAGGGGGATAGGGTAGGGAAATGAGGAATTTAATGAATTGATGTTAGATATAGATTGAAGAGAGGATGAGGGTGGAATGAATTGAAAGAAAGTGGGGAAAGGATAGAGGGTTGAGTGGATTATGGGATAAGGGATAAGGTAGATTTAGGTGGGATGGTTCTGTGGAAGGATTGTGATATTTTGATGGAGGGTGCATATGCTGTTGGATGATAGAATATTAATATTATAGGGGTGGTGGGTTAGGTATATTATGAGAGTGGTTGGAAGTTGTGATAAAGTATCTAAGTGGGAGTTGGTAGGAGATTGCTATAGAGTAGGGGGGAGTATGGAGAATGGTGATATGGTTGAGAGTTTATGTGGGAAGGATTTGGGTGGGGATGGGTTGGTTATGGTTATGTGATGTGTGGGTGGGGGTGGAGATAGTGGAGGTGTGGAATTATGGGATGTATGGGTATTATAGGTTGGGGTTTTGATGGATATGGGGGGGGTGGTTGTGGATGGTTGGTCGATGTATGTGGGTTGAACATGCATGGGGTAGAGATGTTATTAGGTAATGGATTAGTAAGACATTTTGGAAAATAAACATTAGTTCTATGGAGGGGGTCAATGAATGGAGGTGATGGATAAATTAAAGGAATTTTATATTGGATAATATTGTGGTGTGGCGGTTTGAAAAGGTGATTCTGAGAATTTGTGGTTATAGAGTAGATTGGTATGAATAGGGGGATGGGTTGGGAGGGGGTGTAGGTGATTTTGGGGGTGAAGGATGTGGTTAGAATGGGTGTCTAAAGGGGAAAAATCAAAGGAAATAGAGGATGAGATTGAGAATTTATGGAGAGTATGTGGGGGGGTAATGGGAGTTGGGTGTTGGTTATGGATGATGAGGGAGGGGTGGTGGGGGGGTAATAGGTGGGGGGGGGTTTGGATAATGTGAAAAGGGGGGGGGTGTTGATGGAGAGGGGGTGTAGAGGTGGTAGTAAGTTAGTAGGGTATTAGGATGGTCTGGATTTGTATTGTAGGTATTAATTTTAAAGTGTTGAAAGGTGAGTGTTTTGGGGGGGTTAATGTGTTAGTTCTGTTATGTTTGGTTGTTGATGAGGGGGTGGGTGGTGGGGTGTGTTTGGAGGTGGGTTAGGTGTATAATGGGTCATTTATATTTTTTATTATAGGGATTAATGATAGGGTATAATGTGGTAGATAGGCGGGGTGGGTTGTGATAAGTAATGAGAGTGATTATGGTGTAGTCTAGTTTGATGATGGATATATATAAAGATGTGGGGGGAGGGTTGTTGATGTCGTAATTGCAGATGTTTATGGTGGGATGTGGGTAATGATTTGTCCTATTTAAGAATGTGGTTTATATTTGGGAGAATGAAGGAAGTGTTAACGAGGTTGGGTTGGGGAGGTGTGTTGAGTATGTGTGGTTGGAGGTGGGTTAGGGTTTGGGATGGGTGGGTTTGGTTAGATGTATGATATTTTTTTGTAGTATTGTAGTAATGTGAGGTATTGGGTGGGATGTATGTATTTGTGGAGGTTTTAGATAGGGTAAATAAAGAGAATATGTATTAAGAGGTTTGAAAGGAATGGGGGATTATGGATGGATGGAGGGTGGGAGGGGTATATATTATGTGTGAGATATGGGATAAGAATTAAGTGGTAATGGATGGATGGGAGGGTTATGTGGGGGAATGAAGGATATAGGGGATAAATATTATCTGGTGCGAAGGTGGGTATGTGGAGTGAAGGAGAGATTGAGGATTAGGAGGAATTAGGGTTAGTGAGAACTTGTGAGAAATGGTTTTTTGGTAGGATAAAGAATTGGTATGGTTTGGGGGGATATGATGTGGGGTGATGGGAATATGGTGGGATAAATAGTAGTGGGGGAGATATGAGTAGGGAGGAAATGTGAGTTAATATGGGTTGTGTAATATTATTTAAGTGGGGATGGATATTAAAGAAAAAAGGGAGGTTAATTGGGTGGGTCGGAGTGTGGTTTTATAGTTTAAATTGTTGTAAGATGGGGAGGGTATGAAAGGGAGGGTGTAGATTGGGTGGTGTTTAGTGGGTGTGGGGTGTTAAAAAAATAGTGTGAATGATGGGGTATTGTGGTAAGAGGATGGGTTTTTGGGCAAGATTTTAAGATTTATTAGGGAAGATGGATGGAGGTAAAGTGTGGGAATTGTGATGGGGTAATATTATTTTGTTTTTTAATATTTTTTTTTTTATTTGATTTATAATTTATAATATATTTATTAGAATGAGTGGAAATTTAAGATAATTGGGTAGAAATAAAAGGTGGGGTGAAATTAGGTAGACCAAAATAGGAATAAATTGGTTAGATATTGGGGAAATAGGGTTTAGGTTTGTGTTGGTAAGTGTTGTTGATGAGGGATGGGGGAAAGTGTGGGAATAAAGTATGGAGGGGTGATGTGATGAAAATGTTAATGTCGTAAAATTGTAGGGTATTTGAGTAGGGGTGGAGGTTATGTGGTGGAAAATTGTGTTGATTAGGTGGATTATAGGTACTGGGGGGGGTGGGGATAGTGTTGGGGGTAGGAACAGATGTGATTGGAATTAGGTGGGTGGTCAACAGTACTAAACATGACTAATCGTGGTATTGTTATTGGATTTGTTATTTGGTTGGGGTAAAGGAGTGTGAATAGGGGAGATTTCAATCACAAGCACGTGCATGTAAGAGCTGGAACGTGATTGAAAGAGAAGCACGTGATGGGAAAGAGAAGGAAATGCAGCACTGAGCTGGGAACGAGCATAGGAAAGAGAGGAAAAGAGTGAGGGAAGGGCGAGACAGCTATAAGAGATCAGATGAGGGACGTTAAGGGAGAGGATCAGTTGTAGGTTGCACAATTTGTCATTGTGTTTGTATTCAAATGAGGTTTTTGGGTTAGGATGGATGTTATTAATGGAGTTGCAAGGTAATGGATTTTATGTTAATGTTATTTGTCAGGTGATTGGGGTAAATAATGGTAGTTAAAAGTTGTGATGTTGTTTATAAAAAAGATCAGGATGGAATATGAAGATGGGATAGAATGAAAGTCTAAGTAAAGGTGTGGCACATGGGGAATGAGTCGGGAATAAGAGTTAAAACGGTAAAAGTTACTGTTATGGGATATGGGGAAGTTACATTAATCAGTACAGTAAGGTGGGATTATAGTTGAATGTGGGATGGGTGTGCAGTTATATAAAAGGATTGTAAGATAGTGTAGGCGATGATGGGAGGGGAGAGGGAATAGATAATTAAGGATGTGGGTACGGGAGTTGTAGGGCTAGGGAGTTGTTTTTGAAGAGAGGGGAAGGTAGGGAGGGATTTGTTGTATAGGGACCGTACGTTATAAATAGGGTAAAATTGTTTAAAAGGGTTTGATGGTTTATGATTTAATTTAATAATATGGATGAAAATGATAACAAAAGGGGGTTGGTTTGTTACTGGTTGGTTTATTGTGGGGGTAATTGATGGGGTGGGCAGTAAGAAGTACGGCTGGGATGATAGGGGATAATGTGGGAGTTTTAGGGTGTATAATCTTTGTTGAGAGTGTGGAGTGGTATCATGTGTTTTTTTTAAGGTGGGGTGGTTATGTTTATGGATGGGGGTTGATGAATTGTTGGGAGATTTGGAAAGAAGGAATAAATAGTGGATGATATGTGGGAATATATAATGATATAGTGGTATGGAATGGTGGTCTAGTTAGTGGGGGATAATTAAATGATATTGAGTGTAAGCATAACTGGGTAGCTAAGGGTGTGAGTAGGTGAAAATAGGAAGTAATTAACGTAAAGTATAAGTAGTATAAAAGAAGATATGTGGATAAGGTAGTAAATTTAGATATGTGAAATTAGGGTTGTATGGAGAGGTGGGAAGATTGGATAGGCGGTGGGAACTGTAGATGAATATTGGGTGGTAATATGGGCTGGGATGTGAGAAGTAAAGAAAGGTAAATCAATGTAGTGAATAATAGAGAAAAGGGGTAAAGGATGTTAGAGAAAGAGGTGGAAGTGTGGAATTAAGAGAAGGGGGAAAATTGGGGAAGGTGTATGGAATTTAAAGTGGATGAAATATAATAGGTATCAAGGAAAAATATGAAGTTGAACAGGGTATAGGGGGATGAGGTTATAGATATGAGAGTGTTAATTGGAATATAAGTGGTTTTCGAGAAGTTTGGGTTGGAAGGAATATGGCTTTGTGAGGGATCAGATGGTGGGGGGCAGGGTAAAAGGAGTGGGTAAAAATGGATGATGACGATGTAGGGGGTGAGGTGAAATATGATAATAAGCTATAAGAAACGGGGGATATGAAGGATTATGGTGGAATGAAAGAATAAGAGAATGAGGAAAAGTGATATATGAGGGGGAAAGGAGATGAGTGGAATAAAAAGAGAAGAAGATAATTGGGGGGGAAAGGAGATAAGGGAGAGGGGAGGAGGAGGGGTGGTTAAAAGGGGTGAAGGGGGAATAAAGTGAGAATGAGAAGTGGGAAGAGGCATAGTAAATAGGAGAGAAAGTAATAGAGGGTGGTGGTGTTGAATGAGGGGGTGTATAGGAAGAGGAGGGTTAGAGGATAGAGGAGGGGGTGGAAAAGTGAGTAGGGTAATGTAAGGAGATGTTAGGAAAAGAAGAGGAGGATGGAAAGGAAGGTGTAAGGGAATTGGGTGGAGGGATGGGGTTGGTTAGATTGGTTTAGGATGATGGATTGGATAGTTGTTTATGGGTGTGTGAGGGAATAAGAAGGATTGAAGAAAGTGGTTAGTTGTGGGTGGGAGGGGTAAATGAAAGGTAGGGTTGATGGGGGGAGGAAGATTATGGATGGGGGGGGGAGAGGGGATGTGGGGTGGAATGGAGTATGGATGAGAGGGGTTTATGGGGAGGGGGTTGTTAGTGGAAATTGGAGGTTTAGGGTATTAAGTGAGGAATAAGTGTATAAAATTATGTTTAGGGTGGATAAGGGGTTGGTAGTATGAAATGGGGGGGGATGAGGGAAAAAGTGGGGGAGGGTAGGGGTTATGAGGTGAAAAAGAGGGGTAAAATAATGATAAAAAGAAGAAGGGAGATAATGATAAGGGGGTGGTTATTAGGGATTTATAGGGGGGGAGAAAGGAAGGAGGGAGGGGGGGGGATGTTAATGGAATTATATAGGGGTTAGGGAGGTAAGAAATGATGTAGAGGGTGAGTTTGTTATTATTGGTGTATATGGGGTGGATATAGGGTGTAGGGGGGGGGAAGAATATGAGATTTTTGGGGGGGGTTGGAGTTTTTTAGTTTGATTTTATGGTTATGATGGGTGTAGGGAATTAGAGGATTTGCGTTGGGAGGGGGAAAGGGTTTTGATTGATTAATATGGTTTAGTAGATGGTAGGGTGGGGGTTTAGGGGAGTGAGGTTGGGTAGGAGAGAGTAGGTTATTTTATGGGGGTAGGTTGTTGGGGGTGATAGGAGGTGGTTAGGGTGGGGTGGATTGTTGGATTTTGATGGGGAGGGGTAATTTTGTATTTTTGGGGATGGGAGTTGTGTGAATTATAATAAATGGGGGTTTGGAAGGTTGAAGGTTGGTATTTTTATTTTGGGGTGGAAGTGAGGGATGGGGTGGGTGTGGTGGATAGGGGGGATAAATGTTTGGGAAAAGGGTTTTGTGGATGAGGGGATGGTGTGGAGGGGTTTGGGTTATGTTTGATTGGAGGAGTAGAGGGGATGATGGGGGAATGGTATGGGAAAATATGGATTGGGGAGTGGGTGGGGGTAAATGGTTATGATAAGTCGGGATGTGAGTGTGATATGTGGGATTTGGGGTTGTGATGTATGGTGTGGGTTTGGGTATTGGGGGTGTTGGGGTGTATTATTTGATTTGGTGAGGCGAGGGTTTTGGTTAAGGGGGGGATGAAGATCAGGGAGGGGAAAATAACAAAAGGATGGGGGATATAATTGTAAGAAGTATAGTATTTGGGGGTTGGGGGTGATTTTGTGTTGGGGGTGGGTGGGGGAGGGGGATGATGATGGGAGGGGGATGGGGGTATGGGGGGGGTGGGTGGAGTGCTTAAATAATTATTGGGTATTGGGGGTGATGTGTATCTGTATTGTTTTATATTGGGTTATGGGATGGGGTTGGCGTTTGGGGGGGTGGTTTTAGAATGGAGATTAGGGGGTTGTATGGGTGTTAGAGGGGATAAATAAAGGGGATTGTAGGGTAGGGTAGAATGGGAGAATGGGAAGGGGGGTATAAGTGTGTAATGTGTTAGGAAAAATGGAAGTTGGATGTAGAGGATGGGATATGATGGATAGTGGGGCAGTGGAAGGTTAGGATGGGGGAGTTTGGAAATGTTAAAGGAATGGTTGTTTGAGTGTTTGTTGTGGGGGGGGATGGGTTAAGGGGGAGTAGGAGATATTGTGTTGGGTGGGGTAGGTATTTTGGGGGTGGGTGGATGGTTATTGGGGAAGGGGGTTGGTGGGATTAAGTGGGGTTGTGGATTGTTAAAAAGGTTTTGGGGAATAAGTGATGTTGAAGAGTTTGATTGGGGGGTTAGGTGTGGGAATATTGGGAAGGTGGTATTTGGGTATTGGTTTATTTTCTAGTGATACGAATATAGATAGTGAAATAGGATAATGAAGGTGGTTGAGTGGGGGGGGGTCGTTATATAGGGGATCAGGGGTTTAAGGGGGGGGGGGTTTAAGGATATTATGTTTTGAATGTGTAGGTGGAAAGAATATTGTGGAAGGTTTGTTGTGGAAGAGTATTGGATGGTTGGAAGGAAGGGAGATGTGGGGGTAAGAATATGGTATATTTGATGTTTATGGGATATGGAGGAATGGTTATGGAAGTGGGAAAGATTTAATGGATGGCATGTTTAAAGAAGGTTTTGTGGCTAGGAGGGTGAAGAGGAATGATTTATGGTGAGAAAAATTTTGGGTTGAGGGAATGATTGGGTTATTAGAGTGTTTTTGTGGAATAAATTATTAGTAGGTATGGTGTTATTGGTTTTAGAGTGGGGTGTTGGGACATGTAGGGGGGGTGTACAATAATATGGATAGGTTAAGATAGTTGTGTTGGGTTATTTAGTATGGAGGAGATATATGGAGGAAGGTTTGGATAAGGGGGTGGGGGGATGGGGGTGTGAGTTGGACGGGGGAGGAGGTAAAGGGAGGTAAAGGTGTGAAGACATGATGAGTTAGGGTGGTAGGGGGGGGGAGAAGGGGATATGAAAGTGAGGGGGGGTGGGAGGTAATGGTGGGTGTGTTGTAGAGGGGGGGTGTGGGGGTGTAGGGAGGGCGATAGATTGGTGGGAAAGGTAAGGTGGTGGTAATATGGGAGTGAAGGGGGGTAAGAGAATTGGGTTAATGTATGAGGAAAGTTGGATGGGTTGTAATTGTTTATTTGGGGGGGAATAATATGGTAGGAAGAAGTATAGATTGAGTGGGAAGATATAGGATGTGTTATGGGTAATAGGGAGGGGGAGAAGGATAGGGTGAATTATGTGATGGGTATGGTGAGTTGTTGGGAATAATGATTGGGGATGGTATTTTAAGGTTGATGTGTAGGTGGGGAAAAATGTTTTATTTGTGTGGGAGATGGGGGATAAGGATGGAGAGAGAAATTAAAGGATGTATTGGGGGAATGTTTGGGGGGGTTGTAGGGGTTAATATTTAATTTGGGATGTAAATATGTTTTGATTGTTATGATTATGAGGGGGTAATAGTGTTATGGGGGAATTGGGGGGTTGTGTGGGGAATGGGATGTAGGGGTTGGAGGGGGATGATTGGGGAAGAATGATGAGTGTAGTAGGATTTGGGAAGAGGTATTAGGGAAATTATTGGAGGGGATGGGGTATGAATTTTGGATAATGAGTGTGAATGTATGGTTAATGGTTGTTGTAATGGTGGTGAAGGGGAAGATGGAAGAGGATATGAGTAAGGGGGGGGGAGATATGATTTAGGGTAAATATGAGAGGGGGGGGGTATGGTAGAGAATTGGAAGGATAATGTTGTAAGTGGGGGTATGAGGGGGGGATTGGTAAATGGGGAAAGGGAGAAGGGGTGATATGGGGTAGGGAATAAGGAGGGGGACATTTTGGGGGGGGAGTTAATTTATGGGGGTGGAGGAGGGTATCATTCTATCTGATGAGTTTGAGGGGTTATTGAGAAAGGTTTTGGGGGGTGGTGGGAGGATAATGGATTTGTGGAATTTGGAAATGGGGGTTTGTAGGGGATGAGGGAAGTGATGAATAGGATTGGTGGGGGGAGAATTGGGAGTTGATAGGGAGGGATAGTGGGTGGGGGGGTTTGGGGGGGGGGTTTTGGGGGTATAGGGGGTTGGGGGGGGAGGAGGGGGGGTGGTGGTGTTGGGGGTTGGGGGGGGTTGAGGGGGGGGATGGATTGGGGGTGGTTTGGTTTTATGTTTTGAATTATGGAAAGAGGGAGGGATGGAGGGGGAAAGAGTTGGGGGGGGATGGGGGGGTATTGGGGGGGGGGGAAGGGGGGTTTGAAAGGGAGATGAAAGATGGTGTGAATAAATTAGGGGGGGGGAGGGGGTAGAAATGTGGGGGAGTAGGGTTGGGGGAAAGGAAGAGTTTAGGGGAGGAGAGGAGATTTGTAGTGGATGGTTAGGTGGAAAGGGGATTAGGGAGATGATATTAAATATGTAGAAAAATGAGGGGGATGGTATAGTGGAAAAGATGTTGAGTGTATGTGGTTAGGGGGGGGGAGGGGGGGGGGGGGGGGGGGGGGGAAGGGGGAGGGAGATGGGTAGTAAGATTTAAGTGATGTGGGGGGTTTAGGGGGGGGGGAAAAAGGAGGGTTGGGAGTTTGAAGTGTGAGTGGGGTTTGAGTAAGTGGGGATGTATATGGTTTAGGGTGTTTTGGTATTAAGGGTATGTATGTGGGGGAGTGAGGGTGGGGGGGGTTTTGGGGGGGGGGGTTGGTTAGATGTGATGGAAGGGATTTTGAGAGGAGATGTTTAGGTAGGTGGGTGTGTATTTGGAGGGGGGGGAGGGGGAAGAGAGGGTGGTAGGGGGGGAGAATGATGTATGGTAGGTTGTTGTTTTAATGTTGGTTTTTTAAGTTTGGGTGTTTGAGTGAATATTGGGGGGATTTGTTTAGTTGTATGGGAAGTGGGTTTGTTAGGAGGATGGGGGTTAAGGGGATATGGAGATGGAAAGATGGATGGGGGTAATTTAGGGGTGATTATAGTGGGGGGGAGGGTTTTGAGGATGGTTTGGATGATGAGAAGTGTTTATGGTTTTAATGGTGGGGTGGTGTTGATGAGGAGGGAAAAGGGGGTTTGGGGATTAGAATATAGGGTTTTATGTAGGATGTTTTGTGGTTTGGTGGGGGAGTGGAGGGGAATAGAAATAGATAAGGAATATGTGGGGGTTTGGATGGGAGAAGGGTTTAGTATTGGTTGAAAGGGAAGGAGGGAATTTAATTGTAGTGGATTAGGGGTGTGTTGGGATTGTTTTTATTATGGTTGGGGGGGGGATAAGGGGGGGGGAGAGTTTAATAGTTAGGGAATGTGAATTGAGTGAGTTTTGGGAATGAGATAGTGAGGGGGGGGGGGAAAGTTGGGAGATAGGAGGGTTGTTGTTTTGGTATGAATGAAGGGGTATTGGAGGGGGGTGGTGGGGGGAGAAGAGGGTGGGGGGTATGGGGGTTGAGGATGTAGGGGGTAGGATATAGGTGGTAGAGGATGGGGAAGGGGTGTTGGAGTGGGAGGGGTGGAATTGGGGGATTGTGGGTAGTGGGGGGATATGAAGATATTGGGAAAGAGTAGGGATGGGGTGTAGGATGGAAAGTATGGGGGAGAGGATTGTATGTAGGAAGGGGTTGTTGGTGAGAGAGATTATTTAATTATTAGGGGGTGGTGGTGTTTTGTGTGTGTGTTGTGATGTTGGGGTTGGTGGGAGGGGGGTTTGTGAGGAGGGGTAGGTGGGGGAGAAGTTATGGATTTGGGGTGGGGAGGGGTGGTGGTAATATTGTGGTGATAAGATGGATGAGATATGAATTGGTTGGGTGATTAGGAAAAAATAGGTTGTGAGTTGGGGGGGTTGGGGATAGTGGAAGGATTAAGGTAATAATAGTTATGATGGTATTAAGATGAATGAGGGGATAGGTGGGGTGGGTTGGTGGGTGGTTTGTTGGGGTGTTTGGAAGTATAGGGGAGAGGGGTGAGGGGGGTTGGGGTGGAGAAGTGGTGAGGATGGGCTGGGGGGGGGGGGTGGGGTTGAGTAGGGGAATTTATTTTGAGTAGGGGGGGGTGAGGAGGAGTGGTTGGGGTTGTGGAGTGTGGTGGTGAAAATGAGTTGGGAAGGATGGGAGGGTAGGTGTAAGGATGGAATAGAAAGGGGTCTGGAGAAGGGGGGGGTGGGAGGGGTGTGAAGAAATTGGGTAAGGTAGGAAAGGGGGTTTGGGGTGGGGGTTATCGGGGGGTAATGGGAGTAGTGGTGATTTGAAGTTTGGGGAGGGGGGGTTTGTGAGGGAGGATGGGTTGGGATTGGTTTTAGAATGTGGGGGGAGATAAGGGGGGGGGGAATTGGTAGGTGGGTAGGGAAGGGAGGGGGTTATGGGATAAGATATGGGTGGATTATGTGGGAGGGGTGGTGGGGAGTGGGTTAAGGGGGGTGTGTGGGTGATGGGTTGGGAGGGGATGTGGGTGTGAGTTAGGTAGAGTGAAGGGGGGTGAATGTGAAGTGTGAGGATTTATTGAATTGATAGGGGATGTTGTTGGGAGGGTGGTTGTGTTGGAGGGGTGTAGTGTGGTGAGGGTAGGGATGGTTTTAATATGGGGTTAATTAAAGTAAGAGGTGGTTAGTGGGAGGGAGGGAGGGTTGAGGGTGGTGGTAGGGGGGAAGGGTATAAGTGGGATGGGGAAGAGATGTGTGGGAGGGTGTAGAATGAGGGGTTTATATATATGGGAATTAGGTGTGGGATGTGGAGTGTTTATGATAGATATGATATATATATATATGAGATATATGGGGATTGAGTGTAGTGAGGAGGTGGAGTGGTTAGGGGTTATGTGGGGGGGGGGGGGGAGATGTGGGGGGGGGGGGATTGATAGAGGATAAAGGAAGATGGAGATGGAGGGGGATGGGGTGGATTGGATGTTATGGTTGGGGGAATGGGAATTGGAGGTGGGAATTGTGGGGGTGGGTTAAAGGAATTAGGGGGGGGGGGTGATGAAGGTGAGTGGTGTATGGAGGGAAAATTTTGGGATAGAAGGGGATTATGTTATGATAATAGGAGGTGGGATAATAAATATAATGAGGGAAGGGAGGAGGTTGGGGGGGGTTGGTTTTATGGGTTTTGATATTATTTGTGGTTTATATTGGTTTTATGGTGTTGAGATATTTTGTTGTTTTAATGGTTTTAGGATTTTTGGTTTATATTTTATGGTTGTTTTTGTTAGTTGGATGGATGGGGATGTGTTTTGGGGTGGTGTTTTAAGATGATGGGGGTGATATGATTTATGTATGAAGGGTTAAGGTGGGGTTATTGGGTAATTGGGTTAAGAAAGATATGGGGATGGGGTGTGGGGGGGAATGTGAGGGTGGGGGGAGGATGGTGAGGTTTAGGATGAATAAAATGGGGGGGGGGGAGATAAGGGGGAATATGGATGGTGGGAATGAAAGGGGGAGAATATGTGGAAGGGAAGGGGTATGTGGTATAATTATGGATAGGTGGGGTGAGGGGATTGGGGGAATTGGTGTGTAGGGGTATATTGGAGGTGAGGGGGTTTTGAGTGAGGGGTGAATATGGTTGAATGGGATGTGTAAGGGTGGTAAGGGTAGTTAGTGGGGCTGTAGGAAGGGGGGAAGGATGGTAGAGTAGGAGGGGATGGGGGGGGGGGGGGGGGGTGGTAGGGGGGATGATGAGGGGGGTATGGGGTAAGGGTTGATGGAATGTGATGTGGAGTTAGGAGGGGTGTATTTGGATGGGGGTATTGTTTAGAATTGGAGGAAAGGTATAAGTGTGGAGTTAGGGGGGGATTGGGGGAGGATGTGGGGTTTTTGGAGGGGGTGGGGTGGTGGGGTGGGGGGAGTGGGGGGGGGTTTGGGTGGAGGGTGGGGATGGTGGTAAAAAAGTTTGGGAGGGGGTAAGGGGAGGTTGGTTGTGGTGGTTGTGGTAGGGTTGGGGGGTATTGTAGGAAAGAGAGGGGGAGGGGGGGTAATTTGGGTATTGTGGGAGGGGGGGGGGGAGGGATGGGTGGAGGGGTGGGTTTGGTGGGGGGGGGCTTGAATGGATAGGGGGGTGAGGGGGTGTATGGGTTTGGGTGAATTGAAGGAAGGGGGGATAAGGATGGATGGTGTAGTTGTTGAGGTGGGGAGGAGGGGAGGTTGGGGGGGGGGGGTGTATATAGAGGGGGGGAGGGGGGGTGGTTAGGGGGAAGTAGGGATATGGGTGTGGTGGTTGTGGTTGGAAATGTGAGGGGGGGAAAAGGGGGGGGTAGATATGGGATGGGATATATGGTGAGGTGTAATGGAGATTGAGAATATTTGGTAGAGAAGGAAGAATGTTGGTAAGTTTAATGGTAGTGGAGGGAATGGTAGATTAAATGATAATAAGAGGAGGGTGGGTGAGATGGGGAGTATGGGGGAGGGTTAGGGGAGGGGATAGTTTGTGAGTAAGGGTAATTTTAGGGGGGTAGGGTAAGGAGATGGGGGGGTGGAGTTGGGAGGGGGGTAAGGATGTTGTGAGGTAGATGGATGGGGGTGGGGGGTATTTTAAAATAGGGGATATTTGATTTTGGGTTGGTGATGGGGGTTTTTGGATGGTTGGGGGGGTGGGGAATAGGGGATGTTTGTGTGAATTGGTTGGGATGGTGGGATGTGGGAGAGTTGTTGGGGGGGGTGGAAAATGGTTAATGTAGGAGAGGGGATGTGTGGAGTTGGTAGGAGGGGGGTGGGGAATGTGGGGTTTGGGGTGAAGGTAGTATTGTAGTATTGGGGTAATAGGGGGGGATGTGTATGGGGTTATTTAGGATAAGATAGGGGTAGTATGATTTGTGTGTGGGGATTTTGTTAATGGAAAATGGGGTTGTGAGATGTAGATGGTTGTGAGGGGGGGGGGGGGGGGTAGGGGGGGGATGTGTGAATATGGGGGGATTTGGGAGTGAGATTTTTGGGAGAGGGGAGGGGGATAGGGGGTGATAGGGGAGGGGGTGGGTGTGGGGTGGGGTGAGAAGGGTAGTGGGTGATGAGGTTTTTATGGGAGTTATATGGTAGAAGAGTGGGTTGGTTTTGTATTGGGGGATTTAGGTATGGGGGGGGAGGGTTTGATTAATAAGGGGGTTTTATGTTAATATTTTTGGGGGGTAGGGATTAGAATGTTTGGATTTTTGTATGGGATAGGGGAGTAGGGTGTTAAAAAGGGGGTTTGGATAAATTAGATAGGGTTTTGGTGGATGTTGGGGAAAGGGTTTGTGGTAGGTTAAATAGGAAGGTAGGTAAAGTAATAGAGGGTAGGAGGGAAAGGTAAGGTGTAGGAAGGAGTAAGGGGGAAGGGGAAGTAGGGGTAAGTGGGTTTAAGGGGATATGTGA